GGCTTGTTGTGGATTTTTAGTTGTTCATTTCTAAGGCATAACTAAGTCAGGTTAGAAACTAAAGCACAACATCCATGGAGCAGTTGCTGTTATATTTCACCTTGAGCCTCATTTTTGTAAAAAAAAAAAAATTGCTATACCTAATGATATATTCTACAGTAATAATCATTGTGCACTTTAGCCACGTTTTTGCTTCATAATCCAAGCAAAGTGACAATGTACAAAACTGATAACCTCATTTTGTCAGTGAGGGCTTTGATTTGGTGATGAATATTTAGGGGTGATCAGGAAGAGGGGAGGCAAGAAGGATGACCGGGAAGACCATGAAGATGGGAATATTCCTGTGCTTTGTTTATATAAAAAAGGCTGAACTACTGGAGCCAGGCTGGCAGCCCTCAGGCATTGACTTTGTGCCTGTAATTTAATTTCTCTTTTGCTTCATTTAGTTTGGGTATTTGTACTTTTAATTACCCTCGTGGGAAAGTAGACAAGAAATGACTGTATCACACTGGAAACTTGGCTTTCCTATAAAAACCATTTAATCAGGACTGATGGGAAGAACTTTATCCTGGATGGAGAACATGAGCTATTTTAAGGGGTAATAAGGATTTGTGTTGGCCTGAATTTCCAGTTGCCTGTCAGTGTCTGCAAGAGGAATGTGGACTGAAAAGTTTAAAGAGAGATGGCAGGGTTCACATTTTCGGTACCATCTTGCACTGGGAAAACTCTAACACAAAATCTCTTTCTCTGCAGATGATGTCTATCGTAGGAAGCGCTCTGAGAGGCAGTACGAGGCGACGATGGAGAAGAGTGAAGTTTAGCTGGAACATCTCAAGGGGGAGGTCCCAGTGCTTTAATTGCATCAGTGCCAAAGCAGCATTACTGCCACGTGGAGGGTGGGGGAAGATGCTGGCTCTGCGAGATGAACTGTGATCCACATGTCTGGGTAACATCCTCTCAGATGGCTTTGGCAGTCCATATCTTTAATATTTTGTATTTAAATCCACAGTGAAATTTCATTGTATTTGGGCATCCCCCCCTAATTTAATGTTTGCTTAGTACTTTTAAATAAACTGAGCTGAGTAAGCAGTTTGGCTAATGCTTTTGTTTGGTTGGTGAAACACCCTTCTTGTGACAAGACCGGTGGGAAAGAAATGTTACCATTGCATCCAGCTCAGCAGAATGGAAACAGTAATTTTTATTTAGTTTCTGTTGGACTGGCAGAAACTGCTCTGGCATCTGATTTGTTTTCTTTCCAGTGTGGCATAATTTTAACTGGATGAAAAGAGCATGGACTCACTGCTCAGTGTTTGCTTATCTTGGAAAGCCACCCATGTGTTCAGGCTCTGCTGCCCATAAGTGCAGCAGCACCCCTTGTTGCTGCTCTGGCAGTGACCTGAGCTCAGCCTGGGGGAAAAGCCTGACGATGTACCAGGTACCAGAGCAATGGCAATCCTGGCAAACCCGAGTCCTGACTGCAGGGTCCTGTCCCCAGAGCAGGAAAGCAGGGCTGGCTGTGTGTCCTGCAGTGACACTGTGGCTCGGGGGTGTGTTGTGACTGAGCATCAGGGACTGGTGCAGTGTAATCACTGAGGGTCCTACATTGCTACCACTGTTCTATTGCTGAGGGGGTGTGTGCTGAGGGTGCCACAAAGAAGCCAGTTATTAAGGATACAAACCCGAGGGAGTTCATTCCCTTACCTGTGCTCCTGTGCTACCTCCTGCCAGCCTTTGGAAGTCTTGGTCCACTGAGGAGGCTGCTCTGAAGATGTTGTGGTGCAGGTACTCGAACCACTGTGCTCTGTGTGTTTTGACTGGGCAGCAAGTGAAGCACTTGAGGAAAGCCTCTATTCCAGAAGTAATAAGAACTCTGCCTTTGGTTCCAAGGTAGAGCCCAAGTTTGAAAACTCATGCACAAGCTGCTTTTTGCAGTCACAGATCATCACACTGAAGGCACTCCTGACTCTAGCAGTACATTAGAGAATAAAGCATAAATGAAAAGCCAGATTTTTGAAAAGTGCTGAGCTTCAGCTCCATCTGCTTTTAATTCTTGAGCTTTTTGGAACTCTCTTGTGCTTGGTTTCCATAGAACAAATAAGTTTTTCAATGTCTGGGTTTTTTTCAAGGAAGAGCCCTGTGCCCCAGTTAATTCTCAGGACTCGGGAGCCTGGTGTGAAAACTTCCCGTGGTGTCCCTGAAGGCACTCCTATAACAGCAGCAGAGCATTCCACAGACACCAGTGAGCCAAGCTTTTCACTTCAGGCCTTTTGCTTGTTTTGCAGTGACTGTTCCCAGTTGCAGCTGAGAGCTCCAGGCACGTCTGGAAGATCCCTCACGTGTCTCCAGCCAGGTAAACACAAAGGGAGCCAGGCTGCAGTTGCTCACAAGGAGTCTGGCATCAGGAGCTTCTGTGTCACTGATCTTTGTGAGCACTGCAGGAATAAAATCCTTCTCCAAGTTAGCATTGCACCATTTCAGGCAGCACAGATCTGTTGTGACAGAATATGCAGCTTGACATTTAGAAATCTGAGCTGTATTCTCCGTTTCACAATGTTTGCTATTGCTGACCCTTTGGCATTCCTGCATTTTGCCAGTCTCTCACTAACGCTGGGAATAAGAATAGCTATTAAAGGCCCCATTCCAGAGTTTCAGCCCATTCTGGAACTGAGCACTCTCAGGGATTTAGTATTGATTTTAAGCTACACCCAATTGTCATCAACCACAGTCTTCACTTGGTTTTGCAGTTTTATCCCTGCTGACTCCTAGTTCTGTGCTCTTTGCCTTCCCCAGCAACCTCTGACTCCCACATCCCTGTTTCCTTCCCATCCTCCATCTGCTGTGGCAAAGGCAAAGCGGAGGAAGCAAGAGCTCTCCTTTGGCCAGCGCTGGGAACACCATGAGGCTGCTCCGTGCTGCAGGAGCGAGCCAGGAACACACTTCCAGTCCTGCTGAGCCCCTGCCAGCTCTGGGGTTGAGCACGTTCTTCCTCCTGCTGGGAATTCAGCAGCTCCTTCTGCTGGAAGTTCAGCAGCTCCTTCTGCTGGGAGTTCAGCTGGGTCAGCCCAGAGCACAGCCTGGCATCCACCAACAGCTTTGCAGCGGCCACAGCAGGAGCTTCTGAGATTCAGCAAAGCATTCCCGCTGAAAGCTTTCCAGACTGTGGGAGCTGGGGCAAGATATATACCAAGCATGGAAAAATTCAACTCAATAAACAGTCATCTGCAAACAAAGCGCGATACTTGTGTACAAGCAGTGCTGCTCACCACTCCAGCACTGGAGAGGGGACAATTTCACTGCCAGTCCAGAACGATTCTGTGGAAAGAATGGATCTGTTGATCGTTTCCCTGTGGTTGTGCACACAAGGATGTTGCTGTCTGCTGAAAAACATGTGGTGAGCCAGGGAAGAACTAAAAGAAGTTATGGTAAAGGCAGTGTTGGTGTGCCCAGCCTGCAATCCTCCCTGCCACAGGGGGTGGCAGTTCTGTTCAAGCTTTTCAAAAGTACAAAAAGGAAAAAAATAGTCATCTGATGTACTGGTGAATTCTTCCTTGGAGCAAAACTTTTCCTGTCTTCAGTGGAGGCGAGTTTTCACTTTGGACTTAATACACAGATCCAGATCTGTACCTGCACTCTGGCCATGGCCACTCCCAGCTCCTCCTGAGAAAGGGGCAAAAATCTCCAACAGGCAGGATGGGCTGACTGCTCCTGAGGAACTTCCCAAAATCAATACTGCATGTTGATGCTTCCCATCAAGGATGAGGATTAATTATAGTCCTGCCAAAAACCATCCAGTGGAGGCTGAGTTTGGACATCCCCTGTAGAGGCAGTGGCTCAGACTCCATGGACTGACCATCCTTCACCGTTTGTGTCCCAGGCTGTCGCTGTGCTCGGCTGAGCCTCCCTGGTTACACGTGTTGCTGTGCAATTCTGTGCTTTCTCCTCCATTCCTCTTCCCATCTTTCCCACTGCCTCCTTTAACAGATGTTAATCTGCACGGCCAGGCTCCTTCCCTGGATTTCTGATCCCTCTTGGCACAGGAATGACTGATCACATGAGTGCCTCTGAGGCCTGACAGAGACTGGGATCTCCTGATCCAGGATCACCAGATCCTACTGCACTGCAGCAGCTGTCATTTTGTTCCTCTGTGTGAAGGTTAAATTAGACTTGCTGGAAAATGCAGTAAGCAAAAGGAACGTGAGGTTTATTTCATTAATCGGAAAATTTCCCAGGTATCAGCAAATCAGATTCCATTCCTGACTCCATGTTCAGAGTGCCTGGCCTTTTTGAAACTCCAATTTAGTGCATTTGCTGATCTTTAGAACCTCAGACTGAGCAAATGTGGAGGATGGTTAGGATTAGTCTCCTCTGGGCAAGTGCAACAGCACATTTTGGAAGAGCAGAAGTTCCCTGAAGCCAGCAGCCTGTGTGACAGGCACTGTATATCCCCCAGATTAAAGACATGGATGCATGGTAATTAAATATAATGCTGTCTGTTCTGGTTTCTCTGTAATTTCTATGTTAGAGGCACCTTGAGAGGTTTGCAGTTTGTAAAATTGAATTTCTACCTTTGTTTCTAATTTAATTGTGTAAAAGACGCTTTTCCCATTATCGCTGATCTGATTTCCTCTACTAAACAGCTACACAGAAGACAGTCCTGAACCAAGTCAGCTTCCAGTATGAAATGAAGACTGGCTGTTTATTTTCAAAGCAGTTAATAAGGGGGCATCTGGGACTGACCTGAATCTCATCGTCTCCACTCAGCTGGTTCCTAAGGCATCACATATTTCTCTAGGTTCATGCTTGTCGTGGCTCAATTTCCAACATCACTGTTCTATCACCTACAGGCAGGTCTCACAATACACAGGACAGTAGAAAAAGGGTACTTTACCCCCCCCACAAGCACACGTGAACCAAGGACTTGATAAAATCTGGATCAGCAAAATCCAGAATTAATTGAAATAAAATCCTCGCAGAAGTCTTAATGGGACACTCAAACCTGGTTAATCCAAAACACTTTGCAAACTATTTTTATTCAAATTAAAAAGACTCAGGTAAACAAAGTGATGGTACATACATGTTATAAACCTGGTCAGCAGCTCAGCCCTCAGGAGTACAAGGTCTAATGAAAAGCCAAGCATGGATAAACCAGGTCTGAAAAACATATGCTGAAAAAAGGTCACCAACATCAACGCTTTGAATTTTTACACAAACAGTAAATTTTCTCATGGAAGGGAAGGACTGAGGAAGAGAACAAACAATTATTAGTTGTCTCCAACTGGTTTATGAAAATACCGGTCCTAGTTGAATCTATTTCCCACTCTCACAGAAGCCAACCATTGCCCACACATACTTTTATTTTAATATGAAAGTTTTGTTTACGCCAGTACAATGAACGGCAGTGAAAAACAGATGAGGGGTTCAAACACCCACAAAGAGAGAGAAAGAGACAGACAGACATGTCTTTTTTTTTTTTTTTCTTTTAAACCAGAGTGAGAAAAGTTTCTTTTGCTGGTTTTGAATTCTAGACTGTAGCCATTATATCCTAAATTCCACTGCAATCGACTGAAATGCCTCCAATAGAGAGAGAGAGAGACGATTTTGAAATAAATAAGGCTTAAAATAATTGATCAGGGCCAGCCCAGTGGCTTAGTGGTAGTGCTCTGCACTGCCTTGTGGGAGGACCCAGGTTTTGTTTGCACTTCCAATCTCTTGCTCCTGGGCCAGGAAGAGCAGCGAAAGGAGGGGTTCAGCTGCTCGGCAGGAGAGAGCCAGTGCTGCACATCTGCTCCTCACTGACCTTCAGATAAATTAAACATCTCAGTTATACAGGCTCCACAGGGAGTCCCATCCAGTCCTCGAAAGAAAATAAATAAAACAATAATTTAATTAAAATCCATCCCAGGTTCTTTGGTGTAATTTTTGTTAATGCTGAGAAGTAGGAGAATCTGGTGGTGTGTTATTAGTACAATCCATGATAGTTCCAAATGCTCAAAAACTAGGATTTGCTGCCTGATTCGCTTCAACGTCCCGTCTTTGTGGCCAAAAACTGCCAAACCTATGGTAACTTAAACACATTTAGAAATGGTACTGTATGTATGGGGGTGGTCTAAGACTATTCAGCTTCTACTTTATTAAATAAAATGGGTCATTTACAAAGGCCAGTAAATATTTCTGTACCGTGGGTGTGCTACTTGTAGAGTTCCAAACTGTCGTTTCCCTCCGTGCTGTTTTGCTCCATTTCCTTCCCATCCATTGCACATCTGACCTAAACTGTCCTTAAGTGCCTATTTGTAATTACAAGGGGGGTTTTGTGCAATGACTGGAGGTTTGCAATAGGAGAGGGAAAAGAATTGGCCAGTAAAATGAAATCATAGCTTATACCTGCAAGTGTCGCTTCCCTCATCAGTATTAATTACATCAGCAAAACAAACCCCAAGATATCCAGTATTTGAAAAAAAATATTTAACCTTCTGCCAAACATACTGAAAGGAAAATGTTTTGTACTGCTAGACTTTAAAGCTCATTTCCACATGATGAACAACTCTAGCAGTAAATGAAGAGTATCAATAAATCAGTTCTTTTGGGCTGAGTTGCAATGCCCACATTCCTGCCAACTTTTTTTTTTTTTTCAAGTTCTTAAGAGCTTTCCCAGTTACTTAATGCAATCCAAAAGTATTAATTCTTTTTCTAAAATTAAATAAAGGATTTACCTTTAAAAAAAATAACTCTGCAGTCCAAAAGGTCGGTTAGTTATGAGGACAGGTAAGTCTTTAGCAGAAGGCAGCCACAACGCTGAAATTTGGCAAGAAGAGTCAATATCTACTTTACTTAGATTTAAAAAAAAAAAAAGAAAAAGACCCCAAACCCTCAGAAGACTGCAATACAAGTACTCTATTGCTCTATTTCTCCAACACACTTGGTATGCTGACCTTACACATACCATACCATACAGCAGTATTTCACTTTCAAGTTAATTTAAGCATCAAATTTCACTCAAAGTTGCATTGCAAAACTTTCATTAAGGTCAATGAATACACTTAAAGAAAGCATACAAAAAAATGTCTTACAATGCCCAATCACGAACAGAATACGTGTGAATTTAAGAAAACATCACGTAACATCACTAACAAAACAACTCAGCTTTTCTCCCCTAAGTTACCTCCCGAGGCCTGAGCTGGTTGCAGGTTCTGCGCTGCCCCTCCCAGCGCAGCCAGAATCACTCAGGGGAGGGCAGGAGCTCCCCCACCCCACTGCTGGGTGTGAGGGGCAGCACGGAACCCCCAGTGCAGGTCACGGGAGATGAAACACTTCCCCTCGAAGGACATGCCAGCACAGGTGTCCTGGGATCGATTTAGGATCACAATGGCTTTGGCTACACAGTTAAAACTGGACAGGACTGGACAACATGAGCGGTCAAGACACCCTTGTCCTGCCCACACGAGCACTTCCACGGCTGCTGGGCCCACTCGGCCTCAGTGTTGACTTGAAATCCAACTTTCCTGAGTGCCAAAGCACCTCTTACCTTCAGCTTCCTTTAAGAGATCCTCCCTGTTCCCATCCGAGCGAGAGTTCTGCTGGAAGTGGCAAGCACACACAAGCACAGGTACACACATTCTTCTAAGATGTAAACTATGACTAATTCACATTCCACTGTATCAATCTGTAAATACTTTGTTTTCCTTTTTTTTTTTCTATAAAAACAATGGCATCAGATTCTCAGCAATAAAGTATAAGAAAAATGAATCCTTGACTACACTTAACCAATTATGAAATCGCCTTTCAAACAAAGGAAACAATATGCAAAAATCTGTGTATTTGATAAAGTCAACTTAATATAACAAAAAGTGAAATATGCTTATTAAAAGTGTCCTTATATAAAAATGGTCTTGCAATGTACAGTAAAATGCAATACAAATTATTGTTGGTTATCTCTTCCCACCCAGTAACTAAACCAGCTATTGTCCCACAGAGCTCCGTGGTGCCGGGAGGGCAGCCCTGCTGTGCCTACACGTGCTCGATGTTGTAGGCCTGGCGGATGTTGAGGGTGTCCCGCAGCATCAAGTCTCGCAGGCGCCACAAGGCATCGGCCATGGTGGTGTGAGCCCCTTTGCTCTTCAGCCAGTGGGAAGGGAGCCGGCTCTCCTGCTCCTTGGACAAGTGGACGTCTCGTCTTCGTGCTGGCGAGTCAAGAAATGGTTCTGTTACCCACTGGATTTGATACTTGCTGCAGCTTTTCTAGAAAAAGGCAACTAACTCTACAGCACAGCTTTTGCTCTTAGTGTTTGAGCCCAGAGAATGGAATTAGCCTGTGGATGACATACATATTCACAGTCTGCTGACCTGTCTTTAGGAATTAGTTGCACGTGTATATTTTATTAAGCAAACGGCAGATTTATTCAGCATTTTCCGCAAAAGCGAAATTATTGGTGACAAAGAAGCGTGTTCTGGTGGGAACACTGCACTGCGTGCAAGGCCTTACCTGCCAGGGTCTGGTCCCACTTGCTGATGCTGTTTGACTCGGCACTGAGGCCCTCGATGTATTTCAGGTAGGCTTCGGAATGGAGCAGCCTCTGTGTCTTTGGTGGGGGGGAGACGAACATGGGGGTCGTGGGCTGCTGCATGACCGGCGCAGCCGCCGGGCTCTGCCCGGGGTACGGAGGGGGCGCCTGCTGGCCTGGGGGGCCAAGGATTCCTATCTGCAACGACAACACCAGGGAGATCACAGCTGGGGGGACTGCAGGGAGCACCCTCATCTCAGGGCCATCCTCACACAGTGGAGTCTCAGATAAGGAGATGTGCAAAGGCCCAAGAAGATGTCCACTGGAGGCGCCCACTTTGTGCATCGCAGTGACCCCTGGCCAGAGAGGGGAACTGCAAACCAACCATAATCATATTTAACAGACTTTGTTCATGTTCTGATCTACGTAAACATACTCTGATTATCATCACCATTTCTTTTCTCTCCTATTAACCTTAACTTCATCTTTTGCCTCCTTTTTATTTCATGTTTTCCCCAATTTGATCAGAAACCGTGTGGTCTGTGAAGTGCAGGGTTTAACGCTAAAATGGAAATAAATAGTCAGTAAAATTGGAACTGTGCTGAACAGTTCACCTGTATTAAACACTGAGAAGGAACATCTGCTCATCACTGCTACCCAAACTCACACACTCTGAACTGCCAATGAACAGCTGCTCCATCGGTTTGTGAAATATGGGAGCAAACAAATTTAAAACAAGCTTTTACCCACTCCTCAACAACTCAGAAAGTGGACAGCACCTTCTGTTCAAAACATGCAAAGCCTAAATTACCAGCAGTTTAACAGTGTGTGCAAATTACTTGATTTAGTTTAGTAGAAGGAAAGCAAAACAAAACACTGCCTTGATTATACTGCACAAGTTACCTCATACCTGGACAAACCTCATCAGTGTAATAACAGCTCGACAATCAAATACAGACACACACAGAGTAAAATATTAACTGGTTTAAATACACAAGTGTGCAATTCATATTCCCTGGGATACAGCCCATGTGCATCCCTACATGTATTGACTGGGATTGCTCAAATGCTAATTCAGAGCCCTGGAGCCTCACAAATAATGCAGAAACGACTCACCTGCTGTCCAAAAGGACTTGCTCCTGGTGCTGGAGTGCCTACCATGGGGGACACATTTTGGCCTATAACACCTATATTCCAAAATATAAAATAATTAGTCTTATTTCAGAGCAGTGACAAACACTTCTTTGGTCTTCTATAGTAAGGATTTATACTTTGATATCGCTGCTCACAGTTATTTTAGGCAGATGTACAACATTCAAACACCCCCTTCTCCCCCAACAAAAAACTTCAGAAACTTCTGAATGAAAAAACCACAAACTAGTGTGATAACTACCAGACACTGATAAATGGCCTGTTGAATTATTTAAATTAGAGAAATGCAAAGTGAATAATTTTTGCTTTTCAAGTTTTTTTAAATTCCTTAGCAATTACCTGACTAAATCTTTTCATTTATAATACGTGCCTTTGGCTTGGCAGGATCTTCCTGTAATCCTTTAAGAAAGGAAATGCTGACCTGCTTTAGCAACATTTAATATTTCCTTGTGTTCAGTTTCATAAAATAAGCTCACAGTAGGATAAAATTCAAGCCACTGCACAAGTTCTGTTAGATCTCAGTGATACAAAACAAAACTTGTAGGTTAAGCTTCAACAGTTTTACACATTTCTGGACTAATGAACATTTGAAATAAATGTCAAAAAAAAATAAAAGGTCTTTGTTTCTCTCAAACATATTGAGACTTTTCTCTCCTGCACAGAGTGCAGCACACCTGTGTCTTACACACAAAAATGTACAGACCTACAGGAGTCAGGGAGTTCCTGACATTTTACATACAGATGCTTTGGTTCTGAAAAAAACGAAAGTTATGTGTGCTACTGCTTTTCTTTCTGCTTGTGCCACTTCTCATATTCATTAATTAGAAAAGCTGCGAACTAACTGTGCTCTTCCTGAGGGTTTAATTTACATTAATTAAATGCACGATTTCTGTCTCAGTGATCACTAAGGATGTGCCACTGCATTTTGCAGAATCAAGCATATTTCAAATGCATTTTCCACTTGATCACAGCCCCCAATTTACATGTATCTGTACCAACAGCACGTCAGAAGTTGGGAAAAACATCGGTAACCCAAGTTGTGGAATATGGCACGGATTGGTTTTGGTCCAAAGGGAAGAGGCCTGGAGGAGGGCACCCTCACCCTCCCAGCATCTGAGCACAGTCACCCTGAGCCCACCCCGCCCAATTTAGGGCTACTTCATGTGTGCTCCTCCCTTCCCAGGCATTATTTTTTCCCTAATCCATATCCTCTGGGTTTTAAGCACCATCCATACAGCCTGCTGCAGTGGGAAAAAAACCCTTCAGAGAAGCGCATTGTCCTGGATTCACCTCCCACACAGCTGTGGTGGCCGATGTGTGCTAAGCGTCAGGGACAGGCTCCCAGACACAGCTGCTGTCCTGCTCCCTCTCCACGACATCGTGGGGAATTATAACTCCAGCCAAGCTGTACATGTAACACTGATGGGTTTAAAAAATACCAAGCAAGCAAACAAATAAAAAACAAACAAAAAAAAAACCCAACCCAAAATAATTTGCATACAGATAAATGCCTTAACGGAGCTTCTGATAAATAAAGTTGCAAGGGGGCAGAGGGAGGTAAATGAGGTCGTTTTGTCCACAGCTTGTCTAACAGCTGAACAGAGGGATGCACATGTTTTACACAGGCACATGAGTTATCAGAGGTGAAAGCTGAGAGAATCATCAGGAAACAGAATCAGAGGGCAGACAGATATTCTTCCCCCATAACGAGGACACGTTAATGGCATTAACACTGGAAAAATGTTTGTTTCATTCAGCCTCACTTTTCATCAAAAGTGTGGCAAAAAGATAGTACAGGTGTAGTAGAAATGCTCTCAAAAATCAATTGGAAATGTGGTCACATAGAATACTGAATTCACATTGTCCCCACCTGTCTCCAGTCACTGTTCTGTCAGCAAGGTTTAATCTGAACAGTGTTTTACAATAACACATCAGTGCCCTGGTGGCCAAGGGGTCTCGGGTGACCAGGTTCATTTCCGTGCAGTCTGACACTAACACACCGAAAAAGCACCTGGTAAGGCATGAGAGCAATACATTTAATTTACAAGCCCCCTTTAAATAAGAAAGAATGGAAGGATGCTTTCAAACGACATAAGGGTGTGATAAGATTATTTCAGCTTTTCACGTTTCTGATAAACTCAAGCACAATTATCAAGTTTTTTTGGGCTGAAGCAAAACTCCTGCTGGAGCAGCAGGATGTTTCTCCAGTAACCTTTCTCCGAGGGTTCACTGGACATGCTGTTCTAGCTGGACAAATCTGCCAAGACAAGCTGCAGAGAACTCCTGTAAGAACTGGTTAAACAGCAAGTACATGACAATGAAACAAGGAGCAGAATGAGGATGACGTTCTTACCGGGTGGTGGGATGCCTGGGATGCCTGGCATACCTGGCGGAAGTTGGTGGGGTGGGGGCACCCCTGGGTGAAGTGGCTGCATGCTGCCCATGCTAACAATGCCATCAACTGGGCCCTGCAAAGGTGGCAGCACCGGTGGATAGCCACTTATCATGCCTTGAAGGACACAACAAATTTCAAACATGCATCAATAACATGCAGTATGACCTACACAGTATGACATGCACTATCCACACGCACACACACGCACACGCACACACACAAAAAAAGCACCTTTAGTACAGCAAGACCACACTACAATTAGTATCTTGCAAAAAAAAAAAAAAAAAAAAAAAAAAAGAACACAAACTAAAAATTAAAAAAGGGTTGTAAATGTGAAACACTGCTCTTCTGATGAATTAGTATTTAGTGTATTTGTATGTTCTCTCACGGGGCAATACACGCTGAATACTCAGGTATGTTAACACAGGGAATAAATTCAGCCACAATTCAGTGTTACCAACGCAAGCAGTTTTAATACAGCGGAAAGCTCTGCCATCTGCACACAGGTCACAAACACAACACTGACTCGCCAGCTCCACGCCCAGCCCTGCTCTGTGGGCTGGCTCAGAGGCCACAGACACAAAAACCCAGAGGTTTTTCTGCAGTGCAGATGCAACACTGACACACAAAAGCCCTACAGCATTCACGTCCAGTGACGGGCGACTTTTGTTAAACCAGCTCCTGTGTGAACTGAGACAGTAACACCAACTGAAACCTGGGTGTGCTGGGCTGCAGCAACTTAAACTCATGGCACTGAGCTGAAGGAAAGGGACTTTAAAAGAGCACCTGCAGCCCCTCACAGAATTTCACTGTCTGTGTTTTCAAGGTGCCTTTATAGGAAAGTTAATGACACTGAGAAGACTGTATTGTGCTGCTGCTCATAAATTCAGTTCTCTGCATGTGAGGGAGGATCATTCAGAGCTTTTTCTGCTTTCGGCTCAGATTTGCTGCTATCCATGTGGTGAACCAACACAACATCACTGCACTGTGTTTGTCAGGCCCTGGAATGTGTGAATTAAACAGATGCATTGCCAGGTAAGCAAGGAAAGGGGTTGGAAAGACAATGAAAAGATGACAGAGGACAGAAGCAGGTCTAGAGAGATGAGGAAAGTTTAGAAATGCAAATTTGCTGAGGATTCTACAGTCTGTTCCAGGAAACCACCCACTGAGTCTTTGCCACACTCCCTGTAACTCACAAAAGAAACTTTCAGAAGAGGGATTCCTAGAATAAGACTGGCCAAAAACTCTCACCAGTTCTGACTGAGAACAAAGCTGTCACAAGCTCAGGGTTGAAACAGAACGAGGAGCTCCAAAACACAAACTAAATTTGTCACTTCCTCAGGAAGTTACAAAGGTGAGAAACCTGAAATCCCAAAAAAGGTTTACACCTTTGAGAAAACACCAAGAAAATAAAGAACTAATCTCCTTCAAACCTTCATTTTCCACAGCTCCCCTAGACTGACACATTGAATATGCCTTAGGTACCCATTTCAAATATCTGGAACGTCATCTGTACCTCTTTATTAACACTGAAATCCATATTTCTAATGGAAAAAGTTAAAGAAAAGCCTCCCTGGCATAAAGGGCTTTCACTGCAGCTACTGCCTGGTACTTCCAGTGCACCCTGAGCTGCAGACACATCCTCAGGGCATTTACATGATCTTCTAAAGCTTCAAAACAAACCAAAAAACCTCCAAGGAGTCAAACCCATATTTATCCATCATGGAAGCTTATTCTACATTTCCAATTAAAATAATCAACAACTGCCTCTGCCAATAAAGTTGTCAGCAAACATCCATGAGAAATCAGTTCTTGTAGCTCATTCCATGCAAGAGCAGCCACTCTCTGACCCCGTGTATGACTCACAAACTTTCATTTTAAACTACTAAACATGGCTAAGCTATTTCCAGCTCCCACACCTGTGATTTGTGTGTTTGAAATTACTTGTTCTCCCATTTTTTTTACTACACCGATGTAAGATCAAGTAAACTTTTGTCATACCTAAATTTACAAGACACTGAAGCGCTGTGTGCCAAGAGAAACACAACTCAGGAGGCATCCAGACTTCCTGCACCCCTGGGCTACAAAGAAGTTCTGTGAACTTCTGGGATGGAGAAGTTCTCTGCACTAGAGAAAAGCAATCAAATGATGGAGGAGGATGTCAAAGAAGTCCCAACAGAACAAGATACTTCTAAGTAAGACTTGTGGAAATGAGAGACTGTGTTTTTCAAATGGGTCACAAAAATAGAAAAGAGTTCAAAAAGATCCACTCGACCATCTACTTTAAGAAGTACTTCCCAATGCCAAAGTGAAGAGACTTGAATGTGTAACTGCTCGAGTAAGATGATGGTCTGAAATGCAGGTTTGCTCTTGAGGAGGCTGCTACAGGAAGGAAGGTGTGTAGTTCACAGAATGCACAGTTTTGGGAAAGTTTTAAGGAAGTGGTAATAGCAAGTATTGCTGCCCATCAACACCTGCCTCCAAAAACTGGCAAAGTGACTCAATGCCAAAAAAACCAAGAGCCAAACCAAGGAAACATAACCACAAGAGGATGACGTTTCTACATATCCTAGATTGAAGGAAGTTACTCCCAAAAGAGATTAGCACTGGGGAACTCTTTTTTTTTTTTTCTTTTTCCCTTTTTCTTAATATATGCACAGTACACACACACAAACATACACCAACTGCAAACAGTTCAGAGGAAAATTATCAAGAACACAGTGGAAAAGAAAGCCAAAAGAAAAATGCAAATAAATGTGTAAATAAATGCTTTGTAACCTGGAGATCATGAACCAACTAAGGAATGTGCCTTCAGTTAAAACAACCATGCAGGCTATTTACTGAAAAGGGATTTAGAGACCACGATGAAAAATGCTTCAGGCTGTCAGCTCGAAATATGGCCACAGCCTGTGAGATGAGAAAGAAAAAGAAAAATGACAAAAGAATAATGGAATAATTGGAATGTCTTAAGGGAAAGTTAAAAAGGCCCCCAAACTCAAACCAGAAAACCCTCCAAATACCCATTTTTACCTACTCGGCACTATTTTGACCTCGACTGAAGCAATTTATTTTAAATAGAAATTGGGGAAAGGAAACAACCTCTCAGGTCACACCTAATTAATTTTCTCACCCACGTATGGCTGATTTCCACACAAGAATCTTCGGTGGACTACATTGTCTTCAGATCTGATCCTGAAAATACTTACTCCGAGCATACTCCCTATGAAACCAAGCCGGATTACAACTGGCAACGAGCACAACACCCAGCAACAGGGACCTCGTGGAAGAGTTCTCCAAGCCCAGTTCTATTCTGAAAAATAACCTGATAAAACCGGCAACGTTGGCATTTTGTCTTTGGTTCTGCAACGGCTCTAGATCCCGGTCTGCTCTGCTCACCAGTGCCCAACAGGCAATGCAGTAAAGCTCGTGTTTGGATTTGAAATCTGGGTTAGGTTCTGCTGGCCTCTCACCTTCCTGCCAGGAAAACCCCCGCTAATTCCCCCTCCTGTTCAGCACTGCCACAGATGCCGCATGCACTAGAAAGGCCACTGAGCTCGCTGCCCTCCTGGGCTGAACGGGAGCTCCGCAGAGCAGAGCGAATCAACACGACTGACACCACCAGCACAGGCCCAGGGCACAGGCAGGACCCTGCTCCCTGCAGTCTGCACGGGATACTCACTCCTGGAGCAAGTCCCATTGGACACCAGGCTGCCCTGCACTAGGTATGCTCATTACGAAGAAAGACGGAAGAGTTTTGAGCTTTTTTTTTTTTTGGTTTTTTTTTTTTTTTCTTCCGCAAGAACAACGTGACCCAAGAGAGTGTTCAGAGTTATGAAGGGGGTTGATAAAGTGGATGAGGAAAAAATGGTCATAGCTCCTACGTTTTACCTGCAACGGGTGTCAACTGCTGATTGAGCATTCCCATTGGTGTTGGTGGCGGCACCACCCCCATAAGAGCCCCGACAGGAGTGCCTGCCCGGGGGGAGGAATTCTGCTGCTGTGCTGCTCGCTCTCTCTCCTGCTGCTCAGCAACTTTAGCTGCCCGCTCTGTAAAAGTATTTTAGATTTTCAGTTCTGTTTTGTAACCCAGAGTTTCAAAATATTTATCTGTTCATTAAAAAAAAAAAAGGACTAGTCAAACACTGGCATTAGTTTAGTCAAATATAAAAGTAGAACAGATGAGTCTTTCTACACAGCATATGATTTGATTTCATGTGGCTGCAGCTAAGACTTTTAGAGAACCTTTCATGAAAAATATTCCACAAAGTTTTATCTCTTTCTAAAAAAGAAAAAAAAAATTAAAACAAATGATAAAATGAAAATTTAAAAAAAAAAAAAGGTAAAAGAACAAATTTGATGATAATAACACCAGTGTTACCAACATGAAGCAGCAGCCCAGCACTAGGCTCGGTCCGCACTAGGAGAACATGGCAAAACATTCCCTGTTTTGACACCACTGGCTCAGCCCAACCAGCTGCAGCCAAGGCCAGCAGCTCTCACACAGATCTGCCACCAGCTGCTGTGGGAATTGAGGCACCATGCCTACCACACATGCCCTAAAGAACGATGCAGACAGCAGTGCCAGCCAGTGGCCCGTTTATTTCTGGGCTCCCCATTTATTTCACTACTGATGCAGCTGAAAAGTGGTGGCAAAATCGGGGAGCATTTGTAAAGTTTCCCTAGTGTAGATTGGTCCTTAGAGTTTGGAACATAACAAGCAGCAGTTTGATAAACCAAAAATAATTTTCTGTGCCTCTTTCTGTCATTTTCCCCATTTGGTCCCCTTTGAGCTATTTTTTTTTTTGGCTGAAGATGTCTAACTCACATTGTGCTGCTCACTGGAGGCCATGTGTGTCCTTTGTACGGTGAATCTGGTCATTATCTCAATCAAGTTTCTCACTGTGACTGCAAGAACAAAAGAGCTACTGCAGGGTAATCTGACCAGAGGACAATCTGATATTAAGGGAAGGGCAAAGGGTCATGGGAAGAAGAAAGAAAAAAAACAAAAACAAAAAAACCCCAACAAAACCCAAGCAAACAAAAAAGAAGATATACTGAATGCCCACTCCAGGTGTTTTGGGGACATGCAAGTTCCTGATTTGTTTACTCTGAACGTTGTGTCTGTCTGGCACAATGAGGAACAACGGATAATGGACGCAGGGAACATCTCCAGTAATTTTTAACAACAGTGAAGGCAGGGCTATGGGTTCTCTTGCAGTTGGTGAGAGATGGAAACTGTCACTAAACCAGCAATGAAGGTCCTCTGTCAAACGAAGGCTAAGAAGAAGTTCATCAAGGAGATTAAGTTATGCATCCTGCCAGTGTTACTTTCTCTAGTACATGAACATCTACCACGCATTTCACTCCTCTAGAACCTGCCTGTGCAGCTTCCAGCACTCCTTCCATACACTCCAAGACCCGTTTCATTTCCAAAGGCATTTCCCTCCCTCTTTCCACTTCTGTCACTTCAGGGAGAGATGACGACGCAGAGAAACCCCTACATTTACTGCAGGCAACTTAGATGTGATTGAGCACAAAATACACAAGAGGTTTAAAGGTAGATCCTGAAGCAGAACAACGAGACAATCCTCTCCAGAGCAGAGAAAGCGTTTGGGGGAAAGACGAAGCAGTTGTTCAGACCCTCACCTATTTCTGGCCAGCCAAAAAAAAAAAAAAGGTCAGACCAAAGCAAAAGTTCTGGAGACACTCTGATGAATGAGAAATTACTGTTAAGTGTTCAGCTTTATCAGACTTCAGAGTGCTGAGGTTTGAAGAAGGACCTGCCCTAGGACAGCACTTAAGTTTCACCTTGCCCTGACTGACACGGAACTAACAGATGGAACAGCCCTGCCAAGGGGAACTGGAGGAGCTGTCTGGAAGTTCAGCCTGGAACATTCACCTTAACACTCAATACTAAACCCAACTCACTTAGGCCACAACTTGACATCATTCAAATATTTCCAACACATCTCAAGAGACAGGAAAGAGACCTTCTGCTCTGAACAGAGTTTTTCCTTAAAACAGGCCTTTCCCTCACTCCCATGCATTATTGTCTTTATTTAGCCATGCAGGCACTTCTACTGCTAAAAAAAACCCCTGAACTAATACCCTGCACACACACCAAGTGAAATTTTCAGCGGGACAAAATGGATCTAAAATGCAAGCTACTTTTCACCAGCAAATGGAAAGGCACTTTTTCACTGAGGTGTCAAACCATGCTCCCTGGTGCATGTCCACACCAGAGAGCATGGGAATTTTGACTCATCACAGTGGAAGGAGTGAAGTTTCTCTCCTTCCACACATGGTAAGCAAACACAGTCTGGATGCTTTGTTGCCCCATCCCAATGCCTAAAAACCAAATAGAAGTAAGTCTAGCTCTGGGCAGACACCAAGCCAGGGAAACTGCAGCTCAAAACCCAAAAGCTTTGGAAAATCTTAATTGAGAAGGAAGATTAAAAGGGAAGCACACAGACAATCATTAACACAGTGGACAGACAGTGCCTTCCTGCAGAAATGCTCAGGCTGCTCTAAGTGAGGGAGCAGTGACATGCCAGCCATCCTCCTGCTTAAGGATTAGGCTGCAAGGAGGGATCTGCCAATAAAAAGACACCACGTGCACCGAGAAGGGTGTGAAAGGAAACGACTACAGAAAAAAGTAAGGCCCCAGTACTTGCACAAAGAAAGAGCATTAAACCACTTCCCTTCACAGCATGTGCAAACAAAATCTGCACACAGCAAAGGGTGCTGTGCTACCCTCCAGAACTGCAAAGAGCTGCTACAGAAAATTCAGGAAGGCCTGAGGTGGCCGAGAGGGGACAGTGACAGCATGCAAGCTTCCAGCCTGAAGAGAAAAGCTGCCTTTGAGTTATGAGCATGCAGAAAACCTACAAAATGTCATTTGCAAAGAGTTACAACTTAATTGGGCCTTAACTTTCCAGGGTGTTGAAATGTTCCTATCCAAAGTAGCATTTTCTCCCAATACAACTGCATCAATACAATAGTTAATATTGTTAATATAGTGTTGGCATGCTATTAACTAGGGAAATAACAATGGATGTTAAGCCAATGTATTTGACTTGAGTAAGGGCCTGCTGTTAAAGATCAACTCTATTTTATTCTAGTCAAGTTGGAACAACGTCCACTATCAGAAGGGAGGGAAGGAATGGAAGGAAAGGAGGGCAGGAAGCAAAGGAGGGAAGAAAAGAAAGGAAAGTTGGGAGGGAAGGAAAGAAGGGAAGGAATTGAGGAAAAGAAGGGAGGAGAGGGACAAAAGATCGGTCTGAAATATCTCAGGACTATGAAATATTCCTAGGCTTAGTCCAGGATATGAAATAACAAAATCAGTTACAACAGTTGATTAACATTGTGACTGAACAACAGGTCATATTTACAGTATAATAACAGATTTGTATCCTTGATTCCATACTACCAAAGCCTCTTAGGATTCTAAGTACTGTTAATAATGAACTTTTCCCCAATCCACTGTAAGTCTTTCTTACCTGCTGCTACAGCTCTCAAGAGCTTCTTGTCCAAAACTCCCCCCGGTCCTTGTTTAAGGAAACTTTCACAAAACATTTTTCCAACTGATTTCCAGCTCAGGGGCTTCATGGCCCTTTACTTCTAATTTATCCCCATTCTCCTGGTCTCTGTTAATTTGGTTATTTGTGGCAAAGACACATTATCAGCTGTGATCTACATAACTTAAACATGCACTTTGCTCCTCTTCAGTCACCTCTCCACATGAACTTCTCTTTAAGGTGAGTCCAGAACACAAACATAAATACTTGCTTTCATTAAACTTGTCACCTGAACAACAGCAACGAACGTGTTGAGAAAGTAAAAAAAGGCAGAAAAGAGTTTAGGATCTCAGCTTTTATTTACCTTCATATTCTGCTTTCTTTGTTGCTTCCAAGTTTCTCCACTCAGTTCCTACAAGCCTGCTGAGCTCTCCAAAGGAGTAGTCTGGGTGCTGAGCTTTAATCACAGCTCTCATCTCGCTGCTAAATAAGATGTACCCACTCATGTTGATCTTCCTTTTGGATCCCTCCTTCTTGGTGCCGCCCTTAACAGACTTGGGAGTGGACTGTGAGAAAAAGCAGTTATGACCACAAGGGTACAAGAGAGAAGGCCAGAAGAGAACAAAAGTAATTGTGTTACGTCACAGATTTCATCCACTTTGTTGTTCAGAGATGTTGCCCAACATAAGGTGAGTAAAATGTTTTATTTGCCATTGTATATTTTAGGAAAGTGCTGCCCCACTTCCTCCTTGGCCTTTGCAATCCCTACTCTCCCTGGTTCCATCTTCCAAATGCTCCCCAATTTTCCTGCCAGACTTTCCTTTCTCTCAAGTGTTTACCTCCCATAACATCCTTACATCCAGAGCCATTTCTCCCTGAAAGACCCAGAGCCCAGCTTTGCTGATCACCACATCACATTCTTATGTTGATGGGTAACAAAAATAATGCTCCTTTGCTTTTCCCACCACGGACGTTCCTGGTGAGAGCTCTTTGATGCTTTCAGCCCTCAAAAAAAATTAATCTACTCTGACAGCCACTGAGATAGCAGAGCTGGAACCCCCTTTCTGAAGGCTCCTTCCAGCTGTATTTGTCACTGGAGACCGTAATTCACCCACAGTCTGATTGATAAGACCTATAAATGTATCATCATATCACAACCCTCAAAAGGCCTTTCTAACAGCCCAAATTACAAATCTGTCACATCCTGAAAAGTGTAATTGTTTCCAAACATCTGGCTGGGTGAAAAAGATAAAGAAAAATAAATTCAACTGTTTTCCTTCTCTCCTGAAACTGTGACCATGTTACTACTCCTACCTGTCACTTTGTCCCCACACTTCAACTCTTCTCTCAGCTAAAAACAAAGGTTCAAAGTGACACCAAGATGTTTAACAAGTCTTGCTCATCAATTTAAGCCAGGCACTGGATTAACTGAGGCCCATTTGTGGGTGATTCCAAACTTCACTGTGTGAACTTCCAAATGTCAGTGCACCCTTAAAGGTTCCATTCTGAACCTGAAGACAGCACTGGTCTGGGGGCAGTGAAGAAAACTCCCTGCAGGTTCTGGGATGGCACACAGGGCACAAACAATTCCAGCCTGGCTTCTCAGATAAGCCCACAGGGGCAAATGGAGAGCTCTCACATCAAAAATGGGGCATTCTAATCATGTCTTTGGCCTCTTATACATCTGCAAATAGAGAGCTACAAGTTTATCAGCTGTTTTAGCCTGTATATTGCTTTCAGCAGTTACAGTAACAGTAATTTAATTTAAAAGCCTCCCCATCAGTCTGGAGGGGCAAACAGGACTTTGAGAAACCACAAGAATTCCAAATTTTCTTCTTGTATTCTCTGTTCTTTTACATCTCCAATGCACCCATTTTTAAATGAAGAGAGTCTTTCCCACTGGAGTCAGACACCTGCATATTCAGTATCAGATGTGTTAAAAGAAGACATGAACCAGGACCCCCTTTTATGCCTTTTCTCAGCCATATTGCTGAAGCAAAGAATGAAGCTGCACATCTTTTTCTTTTTTAGGTTTGACTCAATTCACAGCAAACTGCAGCAGGAGAACATCACCCACCTATCTGGCAAACCCCACAATACCACATATTCACTTGTCTGGACTCCTTTTATCCTTAGGTGTTGTAAGACTTTCTTTGCTAGCAGAAGAAAAAAAAAGTTCAGAAGTTCTGGGGTTTAATAGTTGTTAAATAAAATCCCACTTCTATTTGCAATACTCTGCTTATGAAATTCAGCACACCAAAAGAAGAGCAGCCTTGCATTGTCTGCCCACATGACAAAACATCCCTCTCAAACCAAGCAAAAGCTTTCAACTTCAGCAGCTCTTCTTCATTTCCTCCAGACAGAGAATGCTGTCCCAGGGTCACATCCACTCTTCTGCTGCCAGTGATGCTGTCACAGTCAATGCCACGCAGAGGAAATTCATGTTGTTAGGTTACAAAAGTGTCTGAAACTCCCTCCTGCTCCAGCAGCTCATTCCCTTTGCCTCTGTAATGCTGGCATTAGCTTGGATGTGGGAGTGTGAAGGGTTTCATCCAGCTTTTTGGTTTAGGTGAATTCCCACTGAAAGCAGTCCCTCCCTCTGCTTTAACATTCATCTGCACAAATTCCAGGGCTTGTGTAAGAAACACAGCAAGAGAGGGAAGTACGAGCAGCAGTGATGATGCATTTGAGTGGTGCACAACCACACACCGTTTGTCTTGGACTTCCTATCCATTATCCAAGCAAGAATGGCAACTCAACACCAAAAAAGTGATTTTTTTTTTCCCATTTGAGGATGATGCACAGCATTTTCTAAAAATGCAGCAAACCCACAACACTCAAAATGCTGGGTTTTTTTCAAAATTTAAGGAAAAGCTGAAAAACGGGCATGAGGTCAATTAAGAATTACAATTAAACCCTTACATTCCAACTTTAACATAAAGACCTGATACTTCTGTCATAGAAAAGCTACTAATTCAAAATAACATTAACATGTCAATTAAAAGTGTACCCTAAGCTTTCCTCAACCGAATGACCTCCTTTAAATATATTTTAATGGACTTCAATATTATCACCTGGATATCACATGGGATATGCCAAAGCTGCTTTGTACACTTTATTCCACAGCTCATAAACCAAAGTATAAATCCATTCTGTGTACATGATAAAACATTTCTTCTTTTTTTCTTCATTTGGATTGGGAAAAAACCGCAGAATATAAAGGTTCAAAGTTTCCTCAGGGAAAATCCTTACCTGGGGAGGAGTATAAGGCATTATATCCAGGTCACTGGCTAATGGGGCCTGAAGCTGAGGCATAGACGGTGTTTCAGTCATATCAGCCTCCTCTTCTCCCATCTCTTCCATGTCCTCATCACCTCCTTCCAACTCAGCAAATTTTGCTTCCAGCTGCTGAATCTTCTTTTCCAGTAGAGGAGATGGTTCCTTCTGAGGAACTATGGGTTTTCTGGAGGGTAGAGGAAGAAGATAAAAAAGCAGCTGAGAACACACTCAGGCTTTACAGGAGAAAGCACGTATTTTTGAGGAGAAAACCAACTTTTCTTCCTTTATCATTGAACAAAATGGAAACAGTGGTGACTTGGGATGTGCTTGGGCTTCCTTTCAGAACCTGAGCAGAAATCACTCTGTGTTTATGGTGTTTTATTTCAGTCAGTGGTTAGAAGGATTTATTTTATTTTTTTTAAGAGTTAGAAATGGGTTTCAATGCAGAAAGTACTTAATTTCAGCAACAGAAGGCAGTAACATCACATCTTCCTCAGATTTTCCATTTCACTCAAGTAAATTCAAATTTATTATTTTTATTACTATGAGTATTCACCAACTGGAAAGCTATTTGTTACCCATAATAAGGAGTTGACTATTTTAATAGCATCCAAGAGAATTTATGAATCTAATAATGTAATGACTTTTCCTGAAGTCAGGAAAAGAAAAAGAGAACATATAGCAGTATTAAGACCATGATAAGACTGATGTTACCTGGACTTCTTCCCAAGAGTGTGATTAGTCAAAACTACTCTCCTACAACTTGAACTTCTGTTGCTGTCCTGGCTCAGGCTGGGATGGGGTTAATTCTCTGCACAGCAACCCAAATGGGGCTGTGCTTTGCACTGGTGAGGTGACAGTGCTGGTAACACATCCCATTGTAATTACTGCTGAACAGTGCTGGCACATCAGGACAACAAAAGGTCTTTGCCTTTTCCCACTCTGCCCCCCCAGCAGGCTGGGATGGGCAATAATTTGGGAGGGGGAGCCAAACTGACCAAAAGGGATATTCCATATCCTAGGACATTGTGCTCAGGCATGAAAGCTGTGGGGAAGGAGGAAGATGGGGGCACATTCAGGGCTATGGTGTTTGTCTTTCCAAGCAACCATTGCAAATGCTGAGGCCCTGCTTTCCAGGAAACAGCTAAACATCTGCCTGCCAACGGAAAGTAGGGAATTAATTCCTTATTTCACTGCTTTGTTTGTGCCTGTGGCTTTGCTTCACTTCTCAAACTGCCCTTAACTTGAGCCAGGAGTTTTCCCTCCTTTTGCCCTTCAGATTCTCTCCCCCACTGGCTGTGGGGAAGCGAGCAAGTGGCTGGGAGGGGAACTGAGCTGCCAAGCAGAGTCAGACCACCACACCCCAGAAGGGTGCTCAGGTGACGCCCCCATCCCACCACATCTTTACCTAAAATAGTATATCTCATCATCTACAACTTTCGCAGAGAGGGAAAACCTCTTCAGCCCTTTGAATTTCTTCATCTGTTTGTCGCTCTCGTTGTAGCGGCTCTCGCAGAGAAAAACGTCGTTTTCGGAGATTTCTGTTGGTCTGCAGGAGAGGAAGTCTTTGAATGACAGAACGACACACTTTCCTGCAGAAATGAAAGAGCTGGGTAAGAAGGCAGCCACACTCGCAGACTTTCCGTAAAAAGCGGGGAAACTCCAGTTTTTCTGCCTGTCCCATAAGTCTGGAAGATTCCTGGTATTTGGTGCAACTATGGAAAATACACCCATCGACATTTTAGTCAAATAATGCCACTCACAAGAAAGCTCCAGCTACTTCCTGCAGCTTTTGGGTTTTTTTAAAGCTCCAGAAAACCCCGATGGTCTGGCACTATATTTATCACAGCATCAGAACTCCAAAACAAAGTACACACCATCACCTTCTCCAACAAACCAAATTTCAACCTCCCGCTCCTCCTTTCAACTTTCCACGTAATATGCACAGGAATAATTACATCAATTAACAAGACTAATGGAGTTTTCTGTTCTCTGGCTGCAGACAATGCTCACTTTGTCATCACACATGTAATTCCCTTACTGTAAGAAAGCTTCCTTAAAGTGAAAATTCTCACCACAGGCTCCTAAGACAGGAATGTGCATTAGAAACCCACTGAATCTCTTGTCCCTCTCTCCCTCAATATGAAAAAACCTACTTGGAATCAAGCCTATGCATAGCTATCAATCACTTCAGATTGTGCAGGAAAGGCAGTGTCCATTGAATTTAAAGTTGTTAATAATTACCCAAAATGCAAGTCATTGGACAGGTCTCCTCCAAGTTACTCAAAAACACTTCCTTCTTGTAGAACATCTTGGTTGGTTCGTGCTCCGTTTCCTCAGGATGGATGAAGATTGGACCAAAGAAATATGCGGCTCCATCTCGCACCCACATCTTTTCAATCCTGGAGAGAAACCAAAGCACTGACATAAATGAAAGGCCGTTCCTCCCAAATGAGACAGAAGTGGGTTGTTCAGGAAGGCTGGCAGTGGCAGATGAGAACAGAACAGCCTATTCCACATGTACAACTGTAGCAGGTATTTATTAGGCAGCTAAACTTCCACCTCAGTCCATTAAGAGCTTATAACACTACATTCCACTCACGAGATTTTTTTCCCTACCCTCTTTTATGCCTTTTGCAACCAGCCTGTCTTTGATCCAAGTTATTTTTACAGCCACAAAGTGCAAATAAAGAGGCTGCACCCACCTTCCCACTCGAGGCCGCACCAGCCCGTGGGATTTTATGAAGACACAGTCCCCAACTTTAAGCCACATTTCGTTGTAGCAGAGCTGCTCAAAGTAATGGCAGCCAGGTTCTCCATTGGACATTTCTACTGGAACATCTTCTTTCTCCTGCAGAAGAACAGGCATTTAGCAACTTGCAGAAGGAGGAAAACCAAGAGTTCATAGAAAGGTGCCTGGTGCTTGTAAAAGGTTTTGCTCTGTCTTCATGTTAACAACAGCACGGAAACAGAGCTGTACATGCAAAAGCCTTCAAATTTAACAATGAAACTGCAAAGCCAAAGACACTCTCCATGTCTGTCACAACCCTTCGTGTTTCATAAAGTTGTCATTTTGCCAGAACAGCAATTTACAGGTCTTTTTTGTTGTAGTGCTTCAAAGTCACCTGGCTAAGCCAAGCCTTGTCAGCTTACACTGATGGTTTAAAGCTCAGTAATGTGCACAAGGGGCAAGAATTGAGTATATGGCCAAGATAAAACACATAGAAATTTAATGACTCAACTCTCATATGCAATAATAACAACCCCATGAATTGCTTGCAAATTTATACCATTTGCCCTATTTAATTTCCTTCTTTTTAGGAACAACTCACATTGTGCCTCATTTGATCTTTCAGTCTGGGTTTTCAGAAAGCCAATGTCTACCCATGACATGGAAGGAAAATACCAAGAGATTTCATTCTCTCAGCAGAAGTATCTTTTCTCATGATGTGAATAAATACAATAATACACACTAAATGTCTAATTAAAGCCAACAATGTGTGTGCTGGGTATTGTGTACTCAGGTTCTGTCAGAGAACTCAATCTAAAGTGGATTTATTTTATGATTCTCTTATTTTTTTCATGGCTCTAAATTTATTTCAGATAAAATTAATTCAACTTAATTGAATTTAATACCTTAAAATTGAATTAAATACCTTAAAATTTAGTTGTTTTTAAGTACAATAAATAAACCATTTTATCCAGTATGTTGGACAGAAATATTCTTAAGCATTTTGACAATACACTACTTAGTTATCACCACAGATAGGTCCCAGACAACAGAATAGTATATATTACTTACTGCTGCCTAGCAATAAGTAAAATACTGACTATTTTACTGAAATGCTACAGAATAAAGCATTTCAGCCTTGTCATGAACTAAAATCAGACTTTTAGCTCTACAGGTTCTTTACGCTTAAGACAAGATTTACAGTAAAAGTGTAATTTTCTGAAGTGGTAAAAAAACCAGACCAAGCTCTTTACTTGATGACAGGAAAGAGGCTGTCAAATCTAACAAATATGTACAGTTTATTTTCTGTTGAGTCTATTTATGTTTTGTTTGTATTTATTTACAAACATGTATAACGTGATTTATACCAGAACCACCATGTTTATTTGTATGTGACTATGTCTAGACCCTGTGAAACCCAAATCATTATCTTTTGTCACTCTTCATTCGGCAAACGCACTCAATGTTCCTCTTTATTACCTGACGTACCTTTTCAAGATGAATGACACTCTCTCCCACCTTGCTGTCCTCCAGTGTTTCACTGTGTTTCTCCTCATCTACTTTGTCTGGATTAGCAAACACAGAAGCAACACGGACCACGGGCAGGGGCACGTCTCGAGGGACGAACCTGACCGAGCTCACGGGCATGGTCCACAGCTTGATCTTCTTGAAAGACTTTGTCTTGGCAGAGTAGCGGGACTCGCACACGTAGACATCCTCATCCCGGAAGTTTTCAGGGCACAGTTTAAAGTATTCCTGCACAGTGAAGAAAAAATATGAAAGATTTCGGCGACGCCCACGCCCCACAGACACGCAGTGAACTCTCTCTCGTGTTTCCCGTTTTTTCTGTGTTTCTGTCAGCAGCCTTTCTGCTGAGCTCTCTTCTTCTGGTTTGACATCAAAGTTTTATCAAAAATAACAAGAAGTTCCAAACTTAGAGAAGAAGCTAAATGCAGTGCTGGTTGACATGTGAGAAGAGTTAAGGCTTATTCATTTACCAAACTGCTGCACGAACAAGTACAAGATCTGGAGCCTGAAACCACCTTTATGAGATTTCTGAGCTTTGACTTGGAAAGAGGAACACGATCACCAAGCTGGGGTGATCATAAACATACAGTTCTACAAACCAACCAGCTCAGGGAAACACCATCAGCTGGCTGAACTACGTATCTCATGAAGCAAAGGAAAAATACAAACAGCCCATTGGAGCAAATCCTATTTTATTTAAGAATTAGCAGAACATCTCTATGTCAAAGTGCCCATAACCCTACAACAAAATAGCAGAGAACATTATTATTTGCTTAAATAAACTAGTCTGAACAGTCTCTCACCTTGACAAACATGACCACACATTTGCCTAAAATTTTGTTAACGGGAACTTTATTGTAATAGTCACTTTTAAAAACTTCTTTCTCCAAGAATTTTCGTGTTGCGAGATGGAACGTTTCATTTGGTCGGTAAAACCAACAGCCATAGAGCCACTTCTCTCCTTTAAAATAGACAACAACAACAAAAGAGAAGGGAGATAGAAAGAAAAAAAATGTAAAATTACTTTCTCTAGTTCATGAGCAAGAAAGAACAACTATAGCTTAATTAATTAAACAAATAGCCATGTAGTCATTTATACTGAGAGCTCTCTGCTTTGAAACAGGACAATATTTATGAAACTTTTCAGGATTTAAGGAAAGTTTTTAGCTTAAAAAGCCTGCCAATTGTTTTTAACCCAGTAAAACCTGACTCAGAAAAATAAAGGAGGAACTGGTTCTTATTTATAAATCTTGACTTTCAGGCCTTGAAATGGTTTCAAAGTCTACACAACAATCACCTGATTATTTGAAGAACCATGGATCATTACAAAAAGTCCATCTCACTCTGAATCCCATCTCTGGGATGCTTACAATTTGAGGGTAGGTAGAAATGAACACCAAAAAAAAAACATGTCCTGATCCAAGAACTTTCTATTTGTAATATCCTTTGGAAAAAAGTCATTTGGAAACAAGAAGGATACTCACACAGCATGTGAGTGCACACATAGTCCTGCAAATAAAATAAATAACATCTACACGGGGGTGGTGGAATCAAATGGGAAGCTTAAAATAGTACTAAGAAGTTTCAGCAGGCTGGTTTTTCCCCCAGCAAAGACACCCTTACCAGCTGAATCCTCCCAGAGCCGCTCGATGCAGACGATGTGGGGTTGCAGGTTGGCCTCTGCAGGCTCCACATACACATAATCCCCCACGTGGTACATGCTGTTCTTGAAGCTGCAGTCCTGGCTGTAGGTCCGATGCAAACTGGACAGCCCAGCTGAGCCAGAGGAGTCTTCACTCTTTTCAGCTTCTTGTTTGGAGAAGGGAAGAAGAGGTGTTAGCACTGCCACGTTCCCACAGCAGCCGGGATCACCCGTGTGGAGGCTGGAGCAGCCAGGGTTTATTGCTGCTGACAGGGGTGTTGTGTGGGAAGGTGAGCCATGTTAGAAAGATAATTCAAGGACAAAGAGCTAACAGCTCTGCTGCCATCTGTGGAAAGGGGCAACAGGAGAGATTTACTCATCCCCTTAGATATGTTCCACAGGAACAGCCAGGAACTGTGGGACACAAAGGAACTGTGGGATACAAAGGAGTTGTGGGATACAAAGGACCTTAGCAGTAGGTTTCTTGCCCTACAAAATAGTACCAAGCCCCTTCATCTTCACCCTCACAGCAGTCAAATAAAAACACAAGTTATTGCTTAAATACCACTTCTTTAGCAGGGCTAAAAGCATGGTCATGGACAACACCATCAGCACAACATCAGCTGGAACCGTCCGTGCTAAGTTTATTGTCAGCAGAAAGCTAAAGCAAAAACCTATTGTTTTCTTTTCTGCTGTCCTTGAAACAAGAACACAGGTACTCCAATGCATTCTGATTAAAGAGTTTACATGGGGTTAGTATCTACTTCATCTCTTTCTTGTGGCTGATAAGAATCAAAATAATCTTGGTGGACAACCAGACTATTGAGGCCCCTTCCACAGGCAAAGTCGCAGCAACAGCAGAGCCCACACCATGGGCATAGATCCATTTTTCAATTAATATATTTAAAATTAACGAAAAGGAAGCAGCTACCTCTCTTCTCCTCCTCCCTTTTGAGTTTATCCTCCTCTATTTCTTTGGGCAGCTTCTCCTTCTTTTCCTTTTCTACATCGTTGTGAAGATGCTTGGTGGTGTAGCTGAGAGCAGGTGACAGAAGAATCTCTCCATTCTTACACAGCTCATCTCGAATTTTAATAAAGAACTGCTGAAGTTCAACTGCATCCTCATAAATCTCCGAATCAGTCCTGTACAAACACATGTAAATCAGGGCAAAAACAGTTTGTGCAGAGTCAAACAGGAGCCTGAACACTCCCATCAACTGCCACACTGAGTGATCAATCTAAAGCTTCACTCTGCCAACAGGTTTCTGTGTTTACACAGCATAAGCAGCAGCAGAGACTGACAAGTCAAGCTTCACCTGCTACTCTGCTGTCAGTTTTCATTACAGTTTACCCAAAACTATTTTGTAAACACCAGCCCTGAAACACCAGGAAAATTAAAGGTTGCGACCAAGATTACTTTGCCACTGGACCTCAACAATCTGTTGACTTCTGAAAAATTGAGTAATAACAGTGTTATTAACAAAACTGACTTATTTTAATTATCCATCCTCCCATTAGTAGACACTTTAATGTCATTTTAGTCAAGATCTCACCTGTACACCCTCAAATATGCTACCGAATTCCAATAAAACACTGCAAGAAGTTGCAAGCTTTTGCACAGTTTTACCATAACTCATCTAAATGTGATTGCTCCAAAAGAATAATTCACTAGTCAAGCAGTCAGTGAACAGCTCCTCTTCTTCATTTTTTCAATCTGAAAGTTAACAGGAACCTGGATTTTGTGCAGATTCCTTCCAGTGACAAAATTATCTCATGGCAGACACCTAACTTCTTCCTTGCTTTTAAATGAAAGCAAATGTTCCACTGAAGACCTGATAGAACTTCTGAGATTTAGTCTTCAAAAAACCCATATCAAAATAAGTGAACACCTTAAAAAAACTTCAGCCTCTGTCTAACATTAAGAGGCAAAACTCACGTGATAAAGGATACCCCAAAAAATAAGGCTTTGCTCACCTATTCATTCTCCTTGCTCGCTCCAGGACCTCAAACATATTCTCCTGGAACAAATCCAGTCTCCTATAGCGATTATTTTCAACATTTTTTCGGATAATATCAAAAGTCAGGGAGGTTTATTTGGGAAGTTGGGATCGACAGCAGGAATCTCAGCTAAGGAGTCGCTGTAGCATCTGCCCTCATCATCCTGGTGGCTCATAACAGATACAAAAAGGTTGTGGATGAGTTCTTGAATTAGCAAAGTGACATTGGGCACGTGAGAATCCTCATCTCCTTCTATTTCTCTCCGAGTTTCAAGCAGAACTTTGTGCAGGACCAGGGCATCTTTATAGATCAAAGACTCCGGCTCGTTGTACGTGCAGGCGTTGTTGAACATCATCACGAAGTCCTCCACCATGGAGTCGATATCCTGGTACTTATTTGCCATCATGTGGCTCCTGATCTTTTCCATGTCCACGGGCTTTTTGATGGTCACGTAATAGTCCGGGAGCTCGGAGCGGGACGGCAGCCTCAGGAAGATGGCGCTGAGCCGCCGGCCGCGCTTGTCCGTGTAGTTCTTCACCGCCTCGTACACCTCGTTCAGCTTCTGCTGCATCGGAGTCATGTACTTCGATTTTTTGGGAGAAATGCCACTTTTTCTACCTAAGATGAGTAAATAGAAATTAAAAAAAAAAAAAAATTACAGAACTGAGAACCTGGATGCTTCTTTGTGCATCTCCTTTCTGCTGGAGAACCACTTATTGAAGAACCACTTCATGGTATGAACAACAGATTAATATTGGGTTTTAATGTTATTTTTGGCAAAGACAGAATGATATGCCTCCCACACCATGTGGTCTACCTGGCAAACACCTCTTCAGACTGAAGCATGGAAAACAGCTTTTCCTACCTGATGTTATTAACAAACTCCTCTAAACTCAAGTTTGGTCTTACCAGCCCTACAGGAATTTCTCTCTACAGGTGTTAAAAAGTCCAGTCATCACAGGGGGTTTGCTATCACTAAAATTAGGTATTCTAAATATTATCAGATTCCTTCATGGCACGTTTGTGCCAAATTACAGAGGATTATTGTAGGTAAAATGTAAAATTAAGCCTCCCATGGGGTTACCAATCAGATTAGCTTTCTGACGAATTCTGGATCTCCCACTGCACTGCACATTTAATTTTTAAGAGCTGCACATTTAATTTTTAAGAGGACTGTGTGCAGTTACTTTCTTTAAGCCTTTCTGTGCAATTCTACCCCTCTCAGGTTGCTAAATTGTGAACACCTATGAAAGGGACCTAAGATTTGAGCAGTAACAAATCTCATTATTAAGGGCAACAGCTCTAGGAACAGACATGGGAAACTTTAATTCCGTGTTTTTCATGGCTTTCAAAAATATTTCAAATACAGCTCACCTTTTTTCATCATTCTGTGGAAATCCCAGACATTTAACCAGGGAAATGAAGAGCTTTGCTCAGCTGGAGAAGCACCTTACTTGTGAGCCTGTAGCCATTCTATGTGCTAATCAAGTGTGACTGAGCACATAATGCACCACCTAACATTTGGATAACACTGCAGGACTAAATCCCACTCTTTCCAGCCATTCCTCAGAACACGCTACATGCAACAACTTAATTCTATCTCCTGTGCAGATCAACATACCATTGCTGTCATAACTTTGAAAATATAACTCTGCTTTGCATGTGCAGCACATGTTCATTCTAAAAGGAAGATCTGTTCATCTGTGTTGTTTTTGAAGTGTTGAAATGAGACAAAGCAGTCACAAGGTTTTCTTACTTAGCTTTAGTTTAGGGGATGCCACGTCATCGTCTTCAGCCAAGGGTCCCAGCTCTTTCCTTTTCTCTTTAAGGATCTTTTCCAGCATATGGGCATCATTGTACACCTATTAATCAGTAAAGCAATCAAAAACCAACCAAAACAAGGTGTACTGTGTTTAGACTAGTTTAGAACAAGCCCCCAAGAAACATTTAAATGTTAACTCTGGAAAAGCTGAAAGCAAAACTGAGTATTTTATTCAAGGTGTACATTTGAGAAATAAGCCCTTCTTTTTAACTGGCTTATGTAGGTAAGCAGAACTGATGAACACCATCTAAATCAGGGAGCTAAAATTCTTGAATAAATTATCCAATTCAGCTGCATTTCTATTTGAAAGACTACAAAATGGCAGGGTGCAGCTCTCCTACAAACTTCCTCATCAAGCCCAAGAGCAATCAAAGACCTCTTGAGCTACTGTGATTCCATCAAGGTACAAAGGACCTAGAACAACCTGGGTCTTCCAATCCAATTCCAGTGAAGGCAACCTCACCATAAAATCCTGTACAGCAGTAGCTCATGTTCCTCACTAGAAATAGGTTTTCTTTAGGGTCCCTACCACCACCCTGTTCCACAACACCACGCTTGCTGCCTGAGAAACATCACAATACAGGCACAGACTACAACATATTTGCCAATGAAAAACATATTCCTTTCAGGCCCATTTTGCTGGGGTAAACAAATCAGCTCTTCTAGTCTGACCTCCCACACCCTCCACACCCATGAAAACACAGCTGGCTTCTCTCTAAGAGCTCCCCTCCCAGAAGTCCCGAGAGCTTCTATTTTAGTTCAGTAATCGATTCCAACACATAATGTGAGTAACAGTCAAAGCTAAACCATCCTAATGTGACGTCTACGCCTGCAGAGGAGCAGAGAGGTGCGAGGGCTGAGCCCAGGCAGTACCTGGGAGCCCTCCTCGTTGTAATGCCTCGCGTTGCGGAACATGAGCTTCATGTCCTCAATCATGGCCTCCTCCGCCGCGTACTTGTCGTTGCGGATGTTGTGCTCGATCATCTTCAGGTCCATTGGCTCCAGGATGATTTTGTAATAGTCTGGATAGTCCTTTTTGGATGGCTTGACCATGAACAGGTCACAGAGCCGCCTGCCCGTGCCCGGCTCTCGCGCTTCCAGCACTGCGTTGTACAAGATCTTCATCCGCTGCTTTCGTATGTTCTTCTTACTGTGAGGTCAAGGAGGGGAACGAAAGGGAAAAGAATAAATGTCAGGGGCTCTTCTCCTCCCTTCCAGCATTAATATCAAAATGACATTATCCCCTGCCACGAAAAAACAGCCTGAAGGACCTAAACACACACAAGAAGTTCAACAAGAATTCGCAAACAGTGACAGCGTCACAGTCATCAGGCCGTACAGGAACAGGAAACTACTGCCAGTTATGATTTTTCTCTCATTGACCTTCAGTGTTCTACAGAATAAAACAGATCACTTGTTTTCAGAAGTGCAGAGGCCAAAAGGAGCTTTAAAGCACTTTCCAGCTGCAGAGAAAACAGACCAGTCAGGAGCAGGCATCTGAACCTAAGACCTCAAGACCCAGAGCAAACAGGGGAAAAAACCTCCAGCCAGAATCTTCACAACTACCTCTGCTGAATACAGAATATCAAAGACTTGAGTCATTTTTTCTCAGGTAATTCTGTACCTTCTTCAGTACCAGATCAAAGAAAAAAAGGACATCAAGAATGTAGCAGAAAGAATTACTCAAATATTTATCAACCCCAGACAAGTGAAGTTAGAAGACAACAAAGCTCACCAAAATTCAAAATATATCTTCTATGGGTTAAAGACTTATTTTTTCTGCATTACTGTCACTGCTGTAAAATGCTGCTTAGCTGTTCACAGCAGCAGATGAGCAATGCCAGAACACAGACATGCTGCCAAATTCCCCATTTTAACATGTTTCCAAGTTTTAACATTTAGTTCCACAGAAGTAGGTAAAGCAAAACCCAAGCAGAAACAAGAAAAGGCCTGCCAATAACTCAAGATTCAGGTCATGCATCTGACACATAAAAGGGGACATTCAAAGAACTTTCTTCTGTGCAACTGTTATTTTCCCAGTGGGGTGAATTTTGCATGGGTTATTAGTTTCCTTTTTCAGCAACACTTTGGAATTCCCTGCAGTGTTTCCCTTCTGCCATGAGCAGCATTTACAATCTCCTTTCCCTTCCTACCCTTCAGAAAGTGAAATGGATAACAAGTATTGAACCAACAACATCAAAAGCATTTCCAGGTTCTCTTCAGACATTATTTTGATTTCCCTTTACCTATGAACACAACTTTTTTCTCTTTTACTGTTCACAGATGACAAGGCCTGACAGATTTTTTCCTTTTAAGCATTTCAGTATTGCCTCACCCCAGGTGATCAAAAGCAACATGAGGTTAAAAGGACACCAATGCCAATGTGACTTGCTTGATTAAGTAAATACTTCTCTTTGAGCCCAAAGATCACAAAACCAGCAATTTTTCCAATTTGTTCCTTCCTGATTACTTGGTACTGTGGTCTGTCTTACCTTTCCACTACATTTCTTCTTCCCAGCATCTCTAGACTCTACCACCTCCTAAATCATGTTCACATTTTGTCTCTGCAGATTTTCCATGAGTGTACACTGCTGCACTTACTTGATTGTTCCTCAGTGACTCTTTGCTGATGCTCTGTTTCATTCCCTTCCTCCCCCCACAACTGCTGATACTTTGACAAAACAAATGAAAACAAAAATATTTGCAGAGCAAGAGTTTAAACTTTAAAAGTATTAACTACAGTTTTAACTTTAACTATATTCTAAAATTGCCACCCAAACTACATAAATAGTCATATAGTGGAGAAGCAGTAGAATAGAAGCAGCAAGTGCTAACAACCTCTGAAGATATTCCACTCACCAGGCTAAAAAAAAACACCAAAAGCCCAAATAAAAATCCTGAAATCCACTGACAGATTTACCTAATTCAGTGTAACTACAGTGTCCATGCCATTTACTGAAGTGATGGTGACAATTATCAGCTAATAGGCCAAAATAGGAAAACAGAGTCAGAAAACAGTTTTGAATTAATTAGAACCAACACTTAATTAAAAGTTTCAAAATTACGAATCCTTACACAAGAGGTAAAAACCACGGTTCAGTATTTTCTTTAGCAAATAAAAGCTGCAGTGATGTCATGGTCTACAGGAACTACAGGAGCACAAACCTTTTCCTTTTGGAGCTTCCAGTATCAGACGTAGCCGAAGAAATCATACTGTCCCCATCCTCAATGTCATCTCTCCGAGCAAGCTCCTTCTTCTTTGCCTGAAAAAAACCCAAAGCCCTGAGGCCAAACTCACTGCTGGACACCTGCAGAGCAGTGTCAAACATCTGAACAGGGCAGATGCACAAAGACAGATGCAACTACAGGTTTTGAGACTAAGCCAGCAGCAAAATATTTCCAGTGATTTATTTAACGTAAGTTGGCTGACGTAAAATAGCAGCACAGCTCTTTCGAACTGTCAGAACAACTTCTGAGGAATCAATTTGACAACAGTGCCATTTCAGACTGCAGCACTCAGCTGGAACCCTTCATGAAACCTGAAGTGCTTTAGCATCATCCAATTACATGCAAACACTAAAATAACCCCCACACGATCAATTTTCTCTCAACTTAATCGGGTTAAGAGTCATAGTAAGGAATAAATTGACCAGCAGAAATCACAGGAGGCAGCAGGTGTGCTGAACAAAACTCACTCCGTGATTCTCTTCATTCCCATACCTCCCCCTAAGCAAGAAAATACTCCTGCAAGCACAGGTCTAGTTAAAAATTAGTTTGGAAAAATATTCATTAGAGAAATAAATTGACACGTGAAGTCATATCCTTTTGACTCCCCATACCTGCATAACCTGCTGCATTTTCAGGACTCTTTTATAGATGGCAGAATTGGGAACATTGTAGCGCTTGGCATTTTCAAACATCAAATTCAGATCAGCCTCCAGCTGATCTAAAGTTTCATATTCGTGGTTCTTCAGCTTGGTTCTGCCAAAGAGAAACACCAATCAGATATTGCACAAGTTACACAGCGCAAAACAGTTTTTTAACGTATTCATTTTCAGGACAAATCAGTACCCAAAGAGCTCCAATTACAGGAATGTGTTTTTCCTGATGTTCCAGTCACATCTTCCAATTCAACCATATTAGGGAAACATATCTCCTCCTAAAGGATGGTTTCAGTGATTTTGGAAGTTGTGGAGATTGAAGTCTTGTTTTCCTACTCAGATGAGATGTTACAGATGATGCAGCAGCACAACCTGCTGGGACCACTCCAGTACCCTCAGCCCTGACCTGAGGCCCTGGGTATGATGCCAGGTCAGCTCACATAGACACAAACACCACATCAATCCCACTCACATTCTGGGAGACCCAAAAGTGCCCAGCACCTCTCATGCTACCCCCTCCAATTTTTCCCTTCTCTTAAAAAATCTCCTGGTTGCTGACTGGTGCTACTTGCAAAGTGTACATCATGTGAAAACAGTTAGAAGAGGACTAACAACAACAACAAAGTCATTTTTCATAGGCTAAACACAGGAACCAGTGCACTGTTTGCCAAAATCTTAATGTGGTTTGTTGTATTTCCTTGCATATGTGCTAAAAGTTCTTTTTTTAAACCTTCCAACGCTTCACTGCACACGGCAGAAAACATTAATCTACAACAACACAAACCCCAAAGCCCACTCATCCTCCTCCACAGCTCCCTCTCCCCCTGCCTGCCTGGCACATCCACCAGTTCCACACCTTCAAATCCACTCTGGGTTCTGCAGCAGCTGGCTGAAGGTGAACCTGCCTGATGGAGCATCATCATCACCACCACAACACCAATTTAATATAAAACCTTTTAGTCCAAGCTTGTGCCTCCCACCATTTGTTCATCCCTACAATCAAGGTGCAGGCCAGCTGACTGTAAGCAAACCACCTGCAATCACAGCTGGGTTCATCCAAGGCTCCACAACTAAAGGAAAAATCCAGACTAAAAAATCCATATGGTTTGGAAGGACTGACAACTCCCAACCACAGCTGTGAAGAATGAAAAATGCACAGGACAGGATCACTTTTGTGCCTGTCTGTCTGCAAAGAACCTCCTCCCTTACCATCCTCTTCACTGCATCAGCAAACAACAGGATGATTAATGAAAAAGGTTATTCACAGAATGCTTTGAATAGATTTAATTACAGTCAAACTCCAGTATCGTGACTTTTCTGGAATCAGAGTATAAAATGCAGCTTCACAATAAATTTTTAATGATCCATCTGACCAATCTTGGAAGGAAAGGATTTTATAAACTTCGGTTTAGTTACCAAAGTGAGGTTAAAATTAACCAAATCCATAGGTCTACAGAAAGTCACTGCCAATGTAATACAAATTAAATTTATATACTAGAAACTATGAGAAATTTCTGTCAAATGATTGACAGTGACACAACTGTACCTGAAAACATGACTAAAACTTGGGACAATAACCTTTTAAATGAAATGATGTTTGTGAAATGAGGAGAGACAGTTTAAAAGGTAGGTTACAGATTCATAAGGCCACTAAGCCCAGAACAACACTGGCATAACATTTAATTTGGTCAAAATCAGAAGAGTAATTAAAAAAAAAAACACAGTAAACTGGCACTCATCTCCCTAAAAGGTCTGTTGGAAACTCATCAGCTCTTCCAGGTGGAATATCTGAAAGAACTGATGATGAGAGAGATGCTCTCTCCATTTTATCAAAAGATGCATCTTATTAGACACACACTGTGCCTAAAAATTTCCTACAGAAACAATTCAAACCATGGTTAAAAACAGTTATGTAACTTATTTTCTTTTCTTTAGAAATTGTGGAGTGCTGGTCCTGCCTCTCCAGGAAAAAAACTAATCCATTAACAAAGAATGTGTGGGATGAAAAGAGGCATTTGACAAATGTCCTCCTGAGGATGACAGTCTTATAAATACACTGGGAACACTGTTTACTTGAACCTGTGATGTTGTAAAGGCCTTTTGTACAATAGGCACTGAAAGCACTTGTTAAGGTGGGAAAACTGGATATGCAGATAGATGATTTAAAATTATGCAATAGTCAACAAATATCAAGTGACAAAAGGAATGAAAGAACTGCAAAATTTCAGGTATAGTGAAAAATTACAGTGTATTCTAAATACTAGAGACATCATTGTCTCTGTAGAGAACATTTTTCTGATTGGCTCTTTCATAAATTAAGCAAACAGAAATAAAGAAGTTCTCTATAAACCCTCCAGACTTTAACCCAGGCAGCAGCTCCATTACTTCAAGGTGAGTCCCACTCCTTCATTTGCCATCTTACTAAAACTGGTTAAATTAAATGGCAAAATATGTTTGACCAGGTGATGACATTTACTATAAGCTCTACTCGAGTAATTAATAACTAACCCAAAAGCAACAAGAACCTCCAACAAATCTCACCTTTTTGGAAGAACCTCAACACACCCCAGTGCAGGGAAATGTACCATTTACATTCCTGTGTGGCACATCATTAACCAGAAAGTGGCATGCTCATTAGGAAAATGCATTTTAATGCCCCAAACAGCAGATGCCACACAAACCCAACCGTGTTTCACACTGGATCCCTGCACATTTTTAAACCACAACCATAACCCCGGTTTTCTGGAGCACAAGACACCAGGATGTGCCAATGAAGGTACCCATTTCAGTGCCTGAGCTGCTGCCAGGGAATTCCTCCCTGGCACACCTTCCTCTGCTATAAAAGAGCCTGACTCACCTGCTTTAGGGATCACACTTCCTAATGCTGTAAAATTTAATAAGGAGCACAGTTCCTGTGTACTGGGTACTGAACACATTCTCCTGCATCATTATCCAACTATTCCTGGGGCTATTTGTCATTTCAGAATGACTTTTCCCCGGCAAAGTGTTTGCAAAGTGACCTCCACACCAGGCATTTTTCCACACATGAAAGTCATGGCCTTCACAGCTTCCTGCTTTTCTTTTTCATTCATGCCTGTCAGGATTTTCTTGCCTGATTAAGGCAGGGAATTCTCACCAGTGTGTGAAGGGAATGAAGGGGGAGCCAGGCTCACCTCAGCTGTGCCCACTGACTGGGCAAGAGGTGAGGGGAACAAATGGAAACACTGGAAATTTCAGCTGAACACAAGTGGTTTTACTGTCAGGGTGTTCAGACACTGGCACTGGTTGCCCTGGGAGGATGTGGAGCCTCCATCTGTGGAGACACCCAAAACCTCACTGGGCACCTGGCTCTGGGTGACTCAGCCACAGCTGGGTGCTCTCCCTTCCAGCCCCGGCTATTCTGGGACTCTGTAAAGAGCAAGTCAGGAGGAATTTAGGAAACAACTAAAGCCATCAGCAGGATTCCCTCCCACATCCAGGAAGAACAGCTGGGGACCAGCACTCAGCTCAAACGACTGAGGTTCACAACACTCCTGAAGGGACTGAGAGGCTGGGATGGGTAAAGTGTACATCTCATTAAACCAAAACATACTCACATGCTCCCTCTAGAAATCATGTATTATTTTTAAGTCTTTTCCCTGCATTTATCACACACAAAACCCCCTGCAATATATGACTAGCTGTACAATTTGCAGCAGCCACACATTTCCCAGCTCACCCTGGAAGGACAGCTCAGGCAGCCAGGTGCCAAAGCCAAACAGGTATGAGACAGGAAGGGTAGGCCTGACTCCAACTCCTTCAACTTTTCACTGGAACACTCAACTTTTCTGTCCCCATCTGGGAACAGAAGATATGCTCTTCATATGTACATGTCATAAAACCACAAACCCACAAACCCCAAAAAACAGCACCACAAAAAAACACCCCTCCACCCCTAGTGAGTGGCAGTACAGCCATGCCAGCTTCAGTTTTCCCTGTAACACATCATTTCCCTGCACAGGCACGAACCAAGGCTTTCCAGGTACAGCAAGAACTGAAGATTACACAGTAATTTAAAAAACAGCTGAATTTCAGAATCTGCAGAAAGAAGTTGGACTACTATAAACATTGTGCTCTGACTTGTGAGCCTCAAACATTATTTCTAAGAAGCCTGTCTGTTCCTTTTTATTTTCTAAGTTCTCAGGCAACAAGTCAAGTCATTTTTCTCTACAGTTCTTCATGCACTGGCATGGAATTCCTGTACTGCTCATACTGCAATCTGCCCACGCTGTAAGGGAAGCAGAAATGCAGCTGCCTCTCCATGGCAAGTTATTTGTTCTATCACTGATAGCAAGGATATTTTTAATGGAAAAGTGTCTCCCAGTTAAATCTGTTGATATGTTATTTGAGCCAATACTTTTAAGCACATCCAGACAAAAAGCTTCCTGACAACTGTCAATGATTTTTCTCAATTTCTACCTTTTTTTTCCCCATCAAGTACATTTTGTGCTTCAATCAAGGCAAGACACTTTCTTTGCCAAGCCAACAGCTGTGCTAAGACATAAGAAAAAATGCTTCAGAGCCACTGATGGACAAGCTAACCAGCGTGGCAGCTCCAGAACTGCTCCCCAGCACTGCAAAACACCCTCCAACAAGTTAGGAAAACAAAAAGCAGCTTTGTTAGCTTCTGATTTAACGAAGACACTGCTTAATCAACAATTACACCAAGTCCAGCAGATCATATTATGGTATAAACACAACTTACAGACCTGTGTATTACAAGCACAGGAACAGTGGAAGGATTCAGCACTCACCAACTGAGGATGAAGGGCCAGCACTCCTGAGGTGCAGCTCTGGCAGGGACTGCAGCCCCAGTAGCCACTGGGCAGGAGGTCTGGGCCACCCAAGGCTGGTCAGCACCATCAAAGACTCTTAATGGTGCTCAGGACCCTGAGCATCCCTCACATCAGCCTATCTTGGGCCACTAAAGAACGATATTGCTCACTTCTCTTCACTCAGGGTTTTAATCTGACAGCTGTGCTCTGGCAGCTGATCAACCTTCCATGGTTCACAGGTTTATAAATGATGAACTGCTTATTTCAGTCCAGAACAGCTACACCATGAATGAAGATAATTATTCTCCACAGTCACACAGTGACCCAGACGAAAGGAATGTAATTGCAACTATCTTTCTACAGTTCACATTGCTGAAGAATATTAATTTAAAACAAATGGCAGTAAGAGGTAATCAAGCCATCATGGTCAAGGAAAGAGAAAAATGGGGGTTTACAGAAGCTTTCACCTCTGCTGCACAGGTGGCCTTCAGAATTATTGATATGGCAGCTTTCAGGCCCATTACAAATGAAACTCCACAGAAAATAAACCCAACAGCAGCCACCTATAAATGATCAAAGGACTGATGCAGAGTGAGTTGAGACAAGCAGCAATCAGGTGGAGAGGAAAGATGGTGCACATAATGCCTTAGGTAATGACAGCCTGACCATAGCAGAGGACTCTGCAGAGAAAACAGTTTCCCACCAGATGTAGTTTGCAATCTGTTTTCTTACCTGATCTGCTGCAGTGAAATCGGCGTTTTAATTTGCTGATAATAATCCGGATATTTTTTCTTGGAGGGCAAGTGGAAAAAGGGTTCAGAGATGAGCTGGCCCTGATTATTTCGGCAACTCCTGACTGTGTCGTAAAGCTGATAAAGAGGATTAGAGGTGTCCATGAAGGAGGTGATGCTCTCAGCTTCAGACTCCCCCTCCTCATAGCGAGCAGCAGCTGCACAGAGACAAAGGGGAAATGGCAAACTCAGCAGGACAATCTGAGCGGGGTTTTTGGTGGCTAAAGGTCTGAACCAGAAGAAAAGGCAGTCCCTCAATGGAGGCTGTTCAGCCACTCTGTGGCAGTCAGGTTCATACCTCTGAAAAGGGCACAACAAATATATCTAATGAGCCTCAAACAGACAAAAAAAAAAGGCTCTTTTTATCTAGGTGTTACAATCTTTAGACCTTATTAATCACAGCTCAATGCAAAATTGTGAAGTTTAGCAGACAAAACCTGATGCTAAAGCCTGAAGGTGCACTCTAATATATGCAGCAAATGAAGAAGAAATAAATATATTAGAATGATTACATGATTAGCATAAAATTCATGTGCAAATTTTATAGCAAACTTTCCTAGTTATCTTGCTTCAGGATTAGGATGAATGAAAGCAATGCTATGAGGAGCTAATATTTACTGCAGATAGAATAAGAGAAACACTACATGGGCAAGAGAAACACAACAGGAATGAAAAAATGCCCTCTGTCAGTGTGACACTGCAGACCTGTGTCAGGGCAGCACACATGGGGCCGACCAGAGCACTCAGAGGCAAAGCTAAAACACCAAGAGGCATCAGCTGATGTAACCACAGAATCACAGAATATGCCATGCTGGAGGGGACCCACAGGGATCAGGGAGTTAAAACTTCTGGCCCTGGACAGGACCAACCTCAAGAGTCACACCATGTAATGAAGATGGACAGAGTAACTCAGGTAAAACACAACACAGGAGGTAGCACAGTGTTTGCCTCTACCTGACTGTGCAGATGTGTGCTCACAGTTAGGAGACTGCTGTCAGATAAAGTGTCAAAAACGGATTATGATTTGGTTTATTCAAACCATTTGTTTTGTTTACTCCAATTGTTCAATTCTGAGTGCTCCAGCAAAATGGAAGAAACAGAACAGAAAAAGCAGAATAACTTGGATTTATGAAAGAGAAAAAATCAGAAACCAGTGGAGTATTTTGCTGTACTCTAATATGTGGCAGCCAGCAACAAAGCAGTTCAATACCCTAAATGAGAAAGGTACTTCCTTTGTATTAAAAGTGGAACACAAGGCATTCCCTAAAGAAAAAAATCTAAGTAAATGAAAGAGGCACTATAGGGAAGGTGTTTATGTAATCCTGTAATACAGTCATTAACATTTTCATTATGTGTATGTTCTTTAAAAAAGATGAGTCAAACATTACACATTCTTACATATTCAGAAAATAAGTGTTCTCCTAGTATGAAACCTGTTATCTTAAGAACCAATAAAGAATGTATTTTCAGACCAGAACACAGAAAAAGCCTTATTTTTGCCATGGAACAAACAATCTACTGGAATACTGTACATTCTTTCATATGCAGAAGCACCAGGTCCCATATCCCCAGCAAGCACATGGTGGCAGAGGAGAGTTATTTCCCTTCCAGTTATCTCCTACTTCCTTTTCATGCTGCTGTTACCACAACTACAGTTGGCAGATCCAGCCAAAAAACCCTCCAAAAACATAACCACAAAGTGTATGCCACTCAACAGCCCCCAACAAAATGCATGTCCTGCTGTTCCCTCCATACCACGGTGCCTGTCTCCTAATGCAGGGGTGGTTTCATAATGGAGAAGAAAAAGCAGGAAGCCATCCAATTTACAGCTGGAAGTGAGCCTTGTTATCAGATTTAAATGCATTTATCACATACATGTGCTCTGGCTCAACTGTGAGGCACAGAGAGGGCAGAGAGATGGGAGAGTACTTGAATGTACAAGAAAGAAAATCAGTCTTTACTCAGTGAGTGATTTGTCTCCTCTGTGGTCCCAAAGCACCTGAACAACAATGAATGCTCCCAGTCTAACTGCAGATAGTTGTTAATAAAACCAACAGCAGCATCCAGCCTTAAAACATCTCTAAATAATACAGTAATAAATAAAATATCTCTGTTTACAAAATTAAATACATATTAACAGGTAACACATGATGACCAGCTGTGCCTGCCTTTACAGACTTCCAAAGAAGAGCGAGGGAGCTGCAGGAGCTGCTCACATCCCAGTACACTGGAGATGGGAATCTTCTACAAGCTCCCTCACCCAAAGACATCATCTGCAACTGTGAGGATAAACTCTCAGTTGGAAACAGATGTTTCTCATTGCTCAGGCAACTGCTAGAGCCAAAGAAGCTCAGAAAGATTCAGTTCTCTGTATCAAGGAGAAAGTTCTGTTTATGTCCAGCCATGCAGCCCAGCTCTCATTTCTTTTAACAAGTGTTAGAGGAAGGAAAAAAGATGAAACAGAGCAATTAACAAAAGTACCACTTGATTTAAATAAAAATCCTTGTCATTTAGAGACTGAAAGCATAGGGATGTCCAAGTCCTATGTTGGAGGGACAGAAAACATTAAGGGTGACAGGTCTGCCAAAAAAATTGACTTATCCTCCCAGGTGAATGCAACAGGGACAGGAGAGCTTCAACAACAGCAAGGTAAAAGTCTCAGATGCAGAGAGAGGCCCCATGAACATGCCAATAATGTCCAGAGGAAAGGTGGCACCTGAAAGTCGTTAAATCACTCCCAGGATTTAAATCACAAAGATGTAAAACAGAATTACAATTTGAAAGAAGTCACAGGAAGCAATCACACTGAACCCAGCTAATGAATACTCCTCACACACCGCCCCAGAAAGCAGCTGCTCTGAAGCAGTAACTCAGCTCTGGGCTAACCAGGAACAAAAATGCTCTTGCTTGCAGCAAGATCTGAAATCTAAAAAGGTTCTACAGCATATCCACCCACTAGAAAACAGTGGGGAGTACAGCTCAATTACCAGGTGTGAAATAAAAGCCCCAAAAATATATATTGAAGAGATGCATCATTCAACTTCCACGCAGAAATAATGTACACAAAAAATAAAACTATTGTACAATATATGTACAAAAACAGTTGTAGCACTGTCAGTCCTTTACTGCACAAACATTCAATGCCTTTTCCAGTATCTCCTGTTCCACATCAGAAGGAATAAAATAAAGCAAGTTTCCTAAAGCTTGGGTAAGCATACTTGGAAACACACACAAAATTCAAAACGTGCCAGCAAGTTTGGCCTACCCTTGTGATTCAAAGGAATTACACACCGAGTGCAAAATATTTATGAAATAAATATATTTGAATGTATCAGGAGCCCTACAGATGTGCTTATCCTGAACATTTTAATTAAAGAAAACAGAGAAACTACATTTCAGTTCCTACCTGCCAAAGCTGCATCCTCATCACTTTCGGATCCATATTGCAGTGCCATGGTTATTGCTGATAAACGATCCCCTTGGGCTGATCTTTTGTTACTATGAAAAAGTAAAGGAAGAAATTTTAAAAAATGAATAAAAGAAATTAAAATGGAAAAAAAATGACAGGGTTATCATGTTTACCATTAACAGCCACCCAGAGAGTGTAAGCAAACAAATGAAGCTCATGACTCCATGACCAGAAATACAGCCATGATATCAAAGAAAAGGCTGGAGCCTTTTACAAGAGAAACTGTTACCAACCCTGTCTGTCTCCATTTTAAGAACTGGTCCATCAAACAAGTCAGAAAACTGAGCTCCAGCCTGCTGTCTTCTGTCCTATTTTGTGTACTTGAGTATTTGATTAATTGGGATTTAATTGGGAGAAAGGGGATGGCAAGTTATTTGATCCTGGTTTATATGCATTTGTCCCCAGGAAGGAATTCAGCATGCTCTAAGCTATATACGCTGTCTCCTCCCATTCCCCATCCCCACCTCAGGCATTTTCAGCACACACTGTGCCTGTTCATGAACCACCTTCCTCTGTTTCCTGAGTGCAGTAAATCGGTGTCCACGCTGGCTCTGGTCCCACAAACACTTCCTCAGTGTCCCTCCCTGCCCCTCTTCTGTCCCAAACCCGGGGCACAGCATTTCACACCCACACTGCAGGCTGTGCCTCACATTCTCTGCCTCCTTACCAGGCCCACGGCACCTCCAGGGCTCAGCCTTGTCCTGGGGGAGCAAAGTGAAGCCTGGGCAAAAGCAGACGGGTCACTGTGGTGAGAGTGCAGGTCCCCCACTTCCCAAAATAGACTTTCTTGTCTTCTGATGTACACACAGATAGCATTCCCTCAGCCTAGGGGCCATCCCTCTAAACATCTGTGCATGACTCTGGGCTCCACCTGCCCCTGCAGTCCCTCGGGGCAGGAGCTGCTGAGTGGTGCTGAGCTGCTGCTGCTGCAGCCACTTCTGGTTCTGTCAGAGCTGCACTTTTGTCTCCTTTCATCAGAAATCCTTCTTCATTGACCTGGTGATTTTTATTGGAACACCACTGACATGGCAGGTAAGTCCACACCTTATCACAAGCCACTCTATGTTGCAGTTCTTCCCTGATGGCCTGAGGTGCCACGGGCCCACGGAGCTGTAAGGAATTCCCCTTCACACTGCTGGTCCAGACCCACCTGAGCCACTCCAGCCCCAGCATCCTGACCCACCCACTGGCTGCTCTGCTGTTCTCCAGTGGCCCAGCTCTCGGGTACATGACTATCTACATGCTGTTCTTTCACAGCCAGGTTCTCTACCTGAGCAACAACATCTTGCCCTAACTGAGCAGCTCCAGGTTGTTTCACCTCTGTGCTGCCAGTTTTGATTGCTGCAGCCCCACAGAGCATTTACCACCACCCATCAGTCAGTGTGGATCAAGTACTGGACATTCCTCTCACTCAGCAATAACTAAAACATCAGTGTGTTATCAACATTATTCTCATCCTAATCCAAAGCACGGCACTGGACCGGGTACAAGGAAGAGAATTAACCCTGTCCCAAAACCAGGACAGCTGCTGAAAGTGCCACCAAGTCCGTACAGATGCCCAATTCCTTAAAGAGCCCTGTGTTCAGCCACGGCTCCAGAGCACACAGCCAGGGAATTAGCCAGGAGCAGCACTGTTTCAGGACAATAACCCAGAGACCGACCAGGAGACATCTGCTAGGTACCAAAATTCTCAGCTGATGATTAAAAGAACAGACTAGAAAGCCTCCAGTCCACTCAGGAAGTTTGCCATAAATGCATCCCATTGCATGCAAAACTTCCATCTTACAGGCTTCATTGGTTTCCACCATCCACCCCTTAATTATTTAGTCCTTACTATTATTTCTTTTTAGTCTCCAAATATATTTTTTCTAGGTTTACAGCACATTTCCATGGGTTTTTTGCCTTCTTTATTTTGTAATGGAGCTTAGCATGCTGTTCCTCTAACAGAACAGTATTTCTGAGGAAATGACTGCATACAGAGTATTTCACAACAGGTGCTTCGAAACGTTAAATAAAATGCCAAATACGGAAGAGTAACTACAGCAAAGCAACTTATTAAATCACACTTAATAGGTATTTGACTGATACATTTGAATCTCAGAAGTATCTGAGTCAACAGTGAAGAGGACTCTCAACAGCAACAACAAAAACCCAACCAAACATAACGTGGTATTTCCACATGACGACGAGCCAGCTTTTCCTCCAAGTGCACAGTTTACTTACCGATAATATTTGTTAGAAGAATTTCTCTCATCCCCAACACTGCCTTTACCCTGTGAGGAAGGACCTGTCAGCTTGGAAGCAGCCAAATTTGATGCAGTCCTTAAGGCAGAAGAGACAAGCCAAGGAAAGGGGGAGGGAAAAAAAAACAGGCCCACCTTAGACCCATGAAAAGATGCAGCAAAGGAAAAAGCTTTTTACAGAATCACTTTGGTAGATCAGCCAAAAAGTCCAGAGACGGGTGTGTTTTGAAGCTGAAAGTTAAATAATACTGGGATTCATTCAGTGCTCCAGCATTAATGTGGATTTTGTTTATAAAGGCAGAGGAGGGTTTAGCTCAAGCATTAATAGCTGTACACACAGCTCAGCCTAAATAGCAGTGGAAGCAGCCAACAAAATGTTCCTCAGCACCCAGATAAAGCTCATCATACAGGTCCAACCGGGTTGGATTAAGTTTTAAAGTCACTGTCAGGTTGGCTGGCAGGGCATATTGCCAAGCAAATGAATTTTGCCACTTGATTTAAGGGAGGACAGTTAAATGCACCCACAAAGAGCAGTTCAGTACAACAAAGGAGACAATGAGCTCGGCAGTGAAAAACATGACTTGACACAGGGGCAACATACACAACTTAGGTTAGTAGCACTGTGATGAATTTGAGTTTGATCCATCAATGACAAAGAATAACAGAGGTAAATTGCAAAGAAAAATACAGGAAATTAACTTGAAGTGAGTTTATGAGGGAATTTTACTGAAATCAGCAACAGGTAAAGGAGAACTCTTCTTTAAGACAATTAAACATTCGGGAATTTAAATGAAAAATAATGATTTTGTGAAGCTGATTCAGGACAAAAACAAAAAAGAATAATGGTTCAATAAAAAAAAGCAACCAGTGAAATACAGAAGAGCAGGTCTGGTTTCCATGATACTTTTACTCTCATCTCCATTTTTTTTGCATGCAGCCCAATGTTATTGCAGCCCGCTTCAGGCCTTCTTTTTTTCCCCAAGTTAGAGAAACAAAGAAGGGAGCTGTCAATTGTTCTGACAGATGACTTCAGGATTTCTATTGAGAACACAGTACATGACAAAACATCCAGAACAAGGGAGCTGAGAAGTGGAAATGGGTTGGCAGTGCAAGAGAGGAATTCAACTAACAAATATCAGTGTGATTTATCTGTCATCCCTTCTTATACAATCAGCTTTATTTTGAAGAAAAATGGTTAAGCCTTAAAATTAAATATGACACCCTGAGCTTCATCAGTGGCCAATACAGTGAGAAAAATAAAATCAAATCACAATTTAAATAGGAAACCTCTGTGTCTTTATGTAATTCTGTTAATGCAAAGCAAACATGTATGTTCAGTGTCTGTACAATCAAGGTCTTCTGGCACTACACACACATTTAAGAAGGAAAATTACTAAAATATACGTCAGGAATTACTCCCTAATAGTATTTCTGCTTTCATATTTTTATATGCTCCAACAGTGATTCACCCAACCATGGGAAGGAAGCTGATGCTGAACAAACCAACCAGAACAAACACCTCTCAAAAAATACCAAACAGCAAAAATCAATCAGGTCACTTCCACTTCTTTCACACATAACAATCCCAGGCAACACTTTTAATACTGACACCACCTACACAAAAATAAATTAAACTACCTTTCAGTTAAGTAAGGAGGCAGTTAAATAAGGGTCTCCAGTTGTACCATACAAACCTTTGCAGGAAATGTCAGCAGCTGTTTTCCAGCACCAGAAAGCAGTAAACAGCTCAAATACATAAAGATATTCCACCTTGTAAGAGCTTCACAACTCCCTGAATGACTTGCAAGACTTGACTTTACTTTTGTTTATATAAATGGCACGGCTTATACTGGCAAATAATATCTAAACCGACTTTTGATGCTACTCGTAAGTAAAAAGTTTATATAAGAAGAAATCTAATTGCATTTCAGATGAGAAACATTTATAATGACTGCATCCCTTCTCTGCACGAACTTTGACAGGAAGAAAATGTTGTTTCCTAAATAAAACCATTCCAAGAAACAAATAGAGCTGTCAACAGTGTTTTATACCTGTCTGTTCAGGACCAAATCTACATTTCACTGACAATAAGTCCAGATGTTCAGTGTCCTGTGGCTCTTCTTAGAGCTACTAATCACTTCTCAAATGAGTTTATATAATGTGGATTTCCCTCCAAATATCTTTTGCCCAAGGTCCTGTTCCTAGATTTTTGCCCCTACCTAATTAACTGTGAGCTCTTGTGTGTCAGCTCCTAACAAGCCTGAAGAATATCCAGCATTTTTCATCAAACAAAGCCCCTTGTTCCTCACTACTCCTTTTCTGGTATTGACTTACAACCACATGGTGGAAGTTGGCCACAGCTTAAGTTCTAAAAGAGCCAGTGACAATATTTTCTATAATCAAGCACATCACAGAAATATTTCACCACAGCAGTAATTCAGTGAAAAAGCTTCCTTCCAAAACCTGTAATTTATAACTTGGCAAACAACAATAAACTGAGTTTCCAAGCAATTATTTCCCACGATATTCTCCACAGCAAAATTAAGGGAATGTCTATAGAGGTGTTTAGATGAGATTACAGAAAGAACTCTTTATTTGCAGTACCTGATTCGGAGGCTTGACTTGGCCAACTCACTGTGTTCAATTTCAGCCTTTTTCATGTTAAATATCTTTTTAATAGCATTTGCATCCTGTCAATTAAAAGAGGTTTTTTGTTTAATGCTGAAAGTGAAGAACGTTATAATCAGGTATATTCATCTATCTAAAAATCTAAAACAAAAATGAAGGTGTTTTTACACTTAGATATAAAACAATTCTGCATGAGAAATGAAGCAAAAGAACAAAGTCTGCCTGAAATACACCCACACTCATTTTACAGTGGCCTTAAAAAACTGAATAGAACAGCTGAGGAGCTTAGAGCTGGTTTTTTTGTCATCTAGTTAAAAAAAAATCTACAATTTGCAAATATACAAAAATACCACGGAGAACTAAACAGGAAAAATAAAATCTGTGCCTTTGCAATCAAAGAGTTACCACCAGCACCAAGGCTGACAATGCCTGTTCCCTCTCATTCTACACCCAGGGACTGCATTCCAAGAGTAACAGCTCACAAAACAGGGATGGCAGTTCTGAGTGGGGTTCCAAGTGTGAGTAATCCCACCAGGAACTGAAACTACAATCCAGACACAAGAGCAGTTGGGACAGTCCAAGAGCCACTTACGTAACAGTGCTCTGCATGCACAAGGTCTCTTGCTAAAATGCCCTTAGAACCAGAGCACACAAAGGAACCCTTTGCCACTGCAATTCTCTCTTGCAGAGTACATGGAGACAGCAAAGTGACAGTCTGAACATCAAACGCTGCTGAACTCGGTATGGAAAAGACAGGAGGTGCAATTTGGTCACAAAAACATGGCTAAAAGGGAGAGGATCTCTGGGCAATAGTTCTAAGATCTGTGGGCTCCTTTCTTATTGCATAATAATCTGGACATAGCTGGAAAACGAAAACAATCTGTGCATTCCCATAAACTTGTCACAAAGCCATTGTTCTCCCAGCTCACAGAACAAAGGAGGCAGGACTCTGCTTTTGGACCTTATGATGCCAATCACAGACAGTTCCTGCAGTGTGCAAAGAGGTCCCAGCTCAGCACTGCCCCTGACACTTGAAATTGTCGTTTCAGCCACTTTGACTTCAACCACAAGAACAGGGATCCTCCACTCGGCCAAAGAAGTCGTGTCATTCATATCCCAAGATAAAATTTAACTGGAAAAAGTCATGTAACTCAGGGGAAAAAAAAAAAAAGTTGCATGTACCCCAATTCTACTAAAAGCAATATACAAAAGAAAAAGCCACTAATAGCTATTTTCACAACATGCAAAGAGTCTTGTGAGCCTTATGCTAAAGATTCATTAATGGCTCAATCAGCACAGAAAGCAGCAAAAATCTGAACTCAAACTGTGAATTGAAACCAACCTTGAATACTTGTGATCCAGGCTCATTGTAGGTTTTGGCATTCTTTGCCAGAAGATCTATGTCCTTGGCCATTGCATGAATGCTTTTGTAAGTTCCATTCTACACAACAGAAACCAGGACTGGTTAAAGTGGCAACGTTCAGACAGCATCAGAACTAAGTCAACAGTGAAAAGCAAAGGGAGTTCATATAGAATAAGGGGAATGTTTACAGGAAAATGATAATGTATTTATAAAGAGGACAGATCAGTATCTGGAAAAAGTAATCAAAAAAAGAAAGTAACATACACACAGGCTAAGTCCTTATAAAGCTTATGAATGCTAAGTAAAAGACTGAAAAAATACTTAATAGACCATATTATCTTAATTTGGAAGAGTTCTGACAAAATGCTGGTTTATCTTTATTCTCTAGTTCAATCACTCTATGTCCTTTCCCTCACTACTACACAAAATGCTAAAATTACAGAACAAACCTTCAAATTACTGGAGAAGTAAGATGAAAAATGCAACAGTACAAACCATCTATTTATAGCACTAGAACAAAAGGAGGTGATGATAATGCACGACCAAGCCCCAGTACTTCAGTGTTTCACATTAGCAGCACTTGCCAAGGAACTGCTTTAAACCACTAAACATCAAGGGACCCAAAATATTCCGGCTCAGTGCCAGCCCACCACAGTTTACAAGGCTTGATCTTCCACACAGCTACTTCTCCTAACCCAGGACAGATTAAATCAGCACAGTGTGCAGATTTTTTAACAGCAGGAGAAAAACACATTCCCTTCCCCACCACCCTGAATTCTGACTTCTAACAATTTTAGGATGCTCATTGTTACACAGGTCTGATATATTAATATGTTCATGCTGTACCTGTATCCTTTGGGCAATAGTTTTGAGATCTATGGGTTCCTTTATTATTGCATAATAATCTGGATATTGCTGGAAAACAAGAATTAGGTTTGTATTACTATAAAGAGTCACAAAGCTGTGGTTCCAACAGCTCACAGGAGAACTGCTGATCAGGACAGTGTAAACTTCACAGACAGGGCACTAGGCTTCAGCTGGGACAAGCCAGGTCATAAGGCACACACAAGGAATTGTAATTCATCAACAACCTGACCTAAAGGAGCAGTTCTGACTGAAAGTCAAACACATGGTGATGGTCTTCAGAGTGTTTATTCTGCTGGTTAAAACTTTTTCACCACAGAACAGTGGAATCAGACATATTTAAAAAGTTAAAAACTCTGCATCCAAAAACCCCCACAACAACAGTTCCCTAAAGTGGCAGAACAGGGTAAGCCCTGATGGGTAGGAATAAAGAAGGGAGGGAAGTTCTCCCAACAGCTGGAGTTTGTCAGTGATGAGATAGAACCAAAGAACTGCATCCTGAGTGAGGCCATCACAGAATATAACACCAATTATAAATATAGCCAAGTTTCCAACTCAGATCACAGCGATGTTACTGAAATACTCACCACTTTAGAGGGAAGTTTCTGAAACAGTTCACTTATGAGGCGCCCTGATGGGTTTGTGGCAACAGCTACAGCTTCAAGAAGCTGTTCAAGAATTTCCTTCAGGTAACCTGGAGATGACTAATGTAAGAAATGATGTCACAAGAAGTTCTAATAGCAGCCACAGTGGAATGCTTCAAATTGCACTGATATATAGGAATTGAAAGTTCAAACACAGAAAAAATCAGCTACAAAACATGGATGCAACTTTTGAAGACAACATCGTTTATGTGTTTAGGGAAAACAGGACAGCAAACTTTAATTTCAGGTTTACACTGCAGACTGTCAGACACACATCACACTGTCAGTGAAAATGTGAATCCCAACATGACACAGTCCAGACAAGCCCAAACTTCCTCTCATCCTATCTGGCTTGTAAACCCCTCCAGGAACAGCTGCACTAACTGAATGGGACACTTGCTGGAAAATGATGTCATCAGATGGAAGGCTTGCCTGCAACAAGGCTCAGTGTTGGCCCAGTATCGAGAACACATCATATTATTTCAGCTGAACCAGAACCAGGCTTTATCCATATCAGAAAACTCCAGTGCTTTTTGCTTTTGCTAAGCAGAATAAAACACACATCCCAATGCTTGCATAAGAAATACCCTTTGGGGTGTAATTTAACGATGAAAATACCACTCAATGCTTTTTCACCCTCTCAGACTCAGCTGACACACACAGCCACGGCCTCCCCCACCTGCAGCTGTCATGCCCACACTTACCAATTCCGAATTTGCTTGATTGTCGTGCCCTTCCTCGTCATCATCTTCCTCCTCAGCATCACCTTTCTGCACAAACTCGTTTTTTGTGCGCAGGTAGAGCTCCCAGAGCTTGCAGGCAGCTTTATACTCAGGAGAATCGGGCTGCAAAACCAAACCAAACATTCTAGGTACAATTCAGATTGCTCTCATCTGAAGGAAACTTATAAATTATTTGCTGAAAGGTATTAAATGCAGTTAGTAAGCAACAGAAAACCTGGGAAGTTCCTGCTTCACTCATTCCTCAACAAAGAAGTTAAGAATCGCAAAAAGCACTAGAAAATATAACTCCTATCACTCCAAAGCATCTAAGTCTTCAGAAAACTTTTAGCAATAAAATTACCTGGATTGAGGCATGGATAAGCCAATTAGATGAATCTGGAGAAATCACTAAGGTTTGCTGAAGCACAACATCACCAGTATTTAAAACAGAGTGAGTATCAGTTAAAAATGTGATTTAAGCCAATACTGCTGCCACTGTGTGGTACTTAAAAATTAACTTGTCCAGAAGACTGCCAATAAACGTGCCAATATCTCTGAAAGCACTGCAATGATTTACACTCAGCATTAACTGGGAAATTCTAACAAACTTGACAACATGCTCCCAGCTGGGTACACCTCCAGCTGCACGTTTTGGAAGAGCTAAAAGAATTACTCAGAAAATTACCCTCTGTAAGTACAGAGTTGGTAGTGGCAGGCAAGCACGTGCCTATTAACATCACTGCTTCAGAACACCACCCAGAACAAAGAGAGCTTTTCAACTCATTTATTTTTCTTTCCCTTTCCTCTGTCATTTAAGCTCTATTTCAGGTACTCCTGCTGATATGTCACCTTATTACTGCTGATTACACCCTTCTTACTTCACCCTCTCAGCCTCTGACAGCTTGTAACACAAATGAGAAACCAGCATGAGAACTGCTCTTAATCTTAAATATCCTCAGCACCTCAGAGCAGGTGTTGGTTACGAGCAGCACATTTTAAGGGTGTTCTGCTCCACATTAATACTCCTTCTGTATTAATGCAAGATGCTCACAAGTGTGAGGCTTGAACTGTGATGCCAAAACCCCAAAGGTTTCTGTTCTGCTCCAGCACTGCCAAGAACCCCCCTGCTGCAGTAAAACCCTTGGCAATGACTCCCTGTCCCTGGTTCACACGTGCCACGGAGCTGTGTGGGTAAGGGAAAAGATGAGAAAAGGTTATGTTTGTGTGCCACCCCTCCAGCTCACAACTCCATAACTATATCCAGAAACTTCAGCACTCCTTCATCCCAGAATAATGGCCACCTGTTTCTATTCTACATTCAGGATTTTTATGATGCAGTCATAATTTCAAATCCCCCACTCTGCAGGCAAAGGCAGCACACGTTCTGTAAAACTCTGCTCATTCTTTCCTGCCATCAGGTCCTTCTCCCTCAAATATAAACCCATTCATGTTGGCTTTTTCATGGTGAGTGCCTTGCAAAGCTCCAGGAGCACACAATGAATTTGGAAATCTTTGTAGTTTTTCCACTGGAAGCAGAATGTACAAATGCATTAATCCATAAATCTGTTTTTCAAAAAGCTACACACACACATTAGCAAAACACGCCCTGCTTTTCTGAATATCACCTGGTTATGGCTGCTGAGTTATTCAGAAATCATTTCAGATCATCTCCAAAGTCAAAGATACATGAAAGAGAATATCAGAGGGTTTAGATTTGCTGTATCAGCTCAGTCACTACCTACAATCTCAGTTTTATGGATTTAAAGTAGCCTTTCATTAAACAAGAGAAATCCAATTTTTTCCCACCTTCTTATGGAAACTGCAATGAAAGCATTTACATTAACATGTAAAATAAAACAAACACACACAGTTTGGGGGAATGGCCAGGGGGTTGCACCCTTGATGAAATCCATTGTCATGTGCACTCACAATTTATCATCGCTGACCATGACAATCAATGTGCCTTTTTTCACTTCAGTAAGTGGCAAATGGGAGAGAAGGATTCAACACTCCTACTGGATGCTTGTTGTTATGTATAAACATTTCCTTTTGGGGAAAAAAAATAAATCTTTTTCTATTTCTAAAGGTTAAACAGTCTGTGTTGTAAAATGAGAAGGCTTTGACAGAAGAATATTTTTCTCAGTTTACATCTCTATTTTTGTTTTTGATCTCTTTTGGAAAACTACAAGAAGATCCTCCCCACGTTACTTTACAGTTTTGCACAGAGAAATTGCTGTTGTAGCATGTCTAATGAGGAGGATACAGTCAACCTGATGGAAATATATGCAAATAACTGCAATGTGTGCTGTTCTCTCACTAGTAATACAGGCTAAACTGAAGTTTATTGGCCAAACCAAGGAAGAATTTGAACATATCTTTACTCTTTCACAACAAATTTGAGCCTTTACATGTATTTTCCTCACCTTATAGTAAGCCTTTGCGTTGTTGAAGAGAAGCTGGAAATCAGCAGTCAGCACGTTCACATCATCATATTCCTCCATCTTTAGCTTTTGTTGGATTTTCATTAAATCAATTGGCTGAGAGACCACTTCATAATAATCTGGCTGATTCCTGTTGCAATGACAAAAACAGGCATTATAATCCAAGAGTAAAACCAAAACCACAGCACTAAAGCTTGTACATGTCTGTGACTAAAGAAAGAAAGTTCCAACGCATTTTTGTTCCAGCTAAAAGATCTGCACAGTGGTCCATTAGTCAGCTTACTTTAGATATGTCCTGTTATCATCCTCAGTTTTCTGAGCTTAAGATAAAATTCAGTCTCTTACTTATCTACTGCATTTTTCAAGGGTCACCTCTATTAACCTCTCCAAGATATACCCCAAGTGTTACATTCCACCACTTATGTACAGTATTTTATAATCAAAGGCAGAGATGTCTTGGGAAGGTGCCACAAAAAACATTTTAAATTAATTCAGTGGCTTTTTTGCCTGGAAAAGGGCACTAATGTTAGCACATCCCACTGAATAACGAGATCAAATACGTGGATCAAACACTGGTGTGAAACTATGACATGTGTAGCTTAGATTTTGCACAAATTAATGCTGAAGTATTTCTCAATTTCCACCTTCCTCCCTGACTCCCTCTCAGGTTGGAGGCCTCACCTTCGCTTCGGTGCCCTGATGAAGAGCTCGCAGAGGAGCCTGCCCTGCTCATCCTTGTAATCCCGGATGGTGTTGTAGAGCTCATGGCATACAGCAATCTGAAATGCAGCAGCAATGAAGTCAGGAGAAAGGACAACGTCTCAAGGAGGCAACAAACCAAATCCTGCTTAGAAAGGTTAAGACAAGCTGCCAATGCCCAGCTCTCAAGCAGAAGTGAGATGTGACTGGAGCACCTCCCACAAGTATGCCACGTATGCACAATTTTCATTTATCTTTTGGACCCAGGGAGCTTTATTTCAATGCTAATTCTAAGTAAGACAGGCAAAATGTAAATGAATTCAGTGCAATTCTCTCCAAGTTACAGCCATCTATGAAAACAACAGGGGTTCTTCTGCCCTGCAATTAATTACCATCAGACTGCTAACTCAGAGGCGTCACAGAAGCTTTGTACACTTGAGCAATCACTGCCTGTGCTATTCCCCACTTATCCTCTCTGCATCTGCTATGCAGACACAGCTCTCAACTCCTGCAAATTATGATTCCAGCTCCTTCCCCAACATCCTCCCATCTGCTAAAATCATCAGCAGAAAAAGCAAAGCAGCAAAAGCAGAACAGGAAAGAAAAAGATGAAACTGGGGAGACAAGACCAAACCAAAGCTGAGTGAGATCTGAAACAAAGCTCAGCCGAGGTAGGAACAGATTGAGAACCAGTGCACGCTGTTCCATATGATCACCCATTTCACAATCCCAGACAGGAGACAGTATCCCCAAGAAAAAAAGCTGGATAATAAGAAGGTACTAACAGGATCTACGGTTGGGAGATTGGAAAGTCTCCTCCTTTTCCTGCTTGGGCCTGGTGTGTTTGTGGAGTGATGGGCATCGTCGAAGTCTCCTCCGCTGACGCTGCTGGAAGGTGAGGTAGCTCTTCGCCTCTTGGAACCCATGGAATCCAACTTCTTCTATAATGAAGAGACATGTTCTTAAACTCGTGACACTGCACCCACACCCTCTGGGAGGGCTCTGGAGGAGTTATGTATGTGTGTTATACACTACAGGTCAGTTAAACCACAGATCCAAACCCCAGCTTTGGGGAAATTCCCAAGAGCAAAGGGAAGTCAAAATGTTCCCCCAGTTTTATAGTCACCAATGGCAGCAAGGTCAGAAACTCTCAGGGTCACAGTGATGGGATGAATTTAGTAGCTCTTACCAGAATATGTTCTTCAACTATCTAAATTTTGATACCCCATCCCATGCATGGTAACTAAGCAAGAACCACTGTTTTCACCAAAAAAGCTGTACAGAAACACATGCTCAGTTCTGGTGTGAAAGCACATCATCCCATGTCAAACTAAAAAAACAAAACCAAACAAAAAACAGACCAACAAAACAAAAATGCAGACAAACAAGCAAAACCAGGAAGAAAACAGATTACAAATGAAAATGGTTACTGAATACCTTGTGTTATTGTCAAGTGGAAAAAAGTTCTGGACCGTCCTGTGCCCTCCCACTCCCACTTTATGTGTAGGATGAATGGCTCAGTCACTGAGAAGCAGAAAAAGCCACCCCCTCTTTCAGCCATAGCTTTCCATTTACCAACACAAACAGTGACAAAAGAACAACCAGCGTGCAACAACTACGGTCATTTATGGAACAAGCTGTTGGCTCTTTCCCAACTTCCAGTGACAGCATCAGAAAAATATCTTTATTTGTGGCTATCTCAAAGGCTGGAGACAGAACAGATCCATCTAACCCAGCCCATAACCATTTTCCAACCAGATCAAGGAATTTTCCTCCAGGAAGCTGGTGTTGCTCGGCTGATTTACAAGGTATGGTAGCACAAGGTAACTGCACTAAAACAGTTATGTCAGAGGCAGGTCCAAGCACACAAACGAGATGAATAAGGCAGGAATAATTAACAGCAAAAAGCAAAACAAAAGGCTAAGGCAGAGGAATGGAGACCCAATCAATAATTTACCAGATTTACCAGAGTAGAACCAGCACCTCGAAAAGCCAGTCTCCTCATAGTGTCTGATGGCCAAGCACAGATACTGGGAGAAGGTGACACTCTAAGAGTAGCAGAGCAGTAATGGGGTTAGGACAGCCAGAACTGGAAGACAAGAAGAAGGAAAGAGAGAGAGGAGAAAATTGAGAGTAGATAGATAAGGAATAACTACATATGGATAATTACAGCAACAGAGGAAAAAAAGCAAGAAACAGAAGGTAACTTTTTTTAGCCCAGCAGAAACTCTACAAAGTAATTTTGTACACAGAATGCCAGACACTTCTGTCATTTTCACAGCAAAAATACATTTCTCTAATGTTCCTGAATACATATTACAGATTTCACAGCCACTTGCTGGAGAATGATTCATCAAGCAGAGCAGAGAGTAAACATAAGTGATATCTGACCTGAGAGTAAAAACCAGAAAGCAGTAAAAGTTACAGAATGCAAAGTACTACAGTGCTTACAACAACAAGATCATGCTAAGGTCAAGAAACGTTTCATAAACACCACAGTGATGATGCACCTCCATCACTCTTCAGAGTGGGGTTTTACCCTCAGAACTAAGCAATATTAAGTATCCAGCCACACAGGCTCACTAAAGATATTCTGTTTCAATTCCTAATCAGTCTCTAAGCCTTGGTTTTTTCCCCCATAAATTCCATGTGAAACGCACAGAACCATTTTACAGCAAAATCTTTGCTTCTTATGGAGTTTATCCAACCACTGCCTTCAGTCAAACCCCAGAGAGACTCTTTTCCTGTTCAGCACTCTGGACATCATCATAACACAGACAGGCAGAGAAATCCTGTGCTTTATCAGCAGGCAATTCATCTTGGGAACAACCAGCCCCTTGCTTTGGCACTGCCTCCAACTTCTGTCTGCGGGCCACAGTTTGGAATGGCCAAGAGCAGGAGTGCTGGTGGGCAGGCTGATGGGAGACACCAGTCCTGCTGCGGAATAAAGGCAGGAGGGACTACATCTGGTCCAGCCAGGAACCCAAAAGTACACACTCAGTCCAATCCCACCCCGAAATAAAGATTTGGGGACCTTCCAACCAGCACCTGCCTCCAAACTGCACAGCAGCTTCTCCACATCCACGACCCAAGGCACGACTGCCATGCACTGTCTCTCAGCCACACACCGACCCTGGTGAACACCTGTGGGATCCTGACACCCTGAGCACTCTGTACACAGCCCCCAAAACCCACTTTTCTCCTCTAAAAACCGTGCAAAACACACATCAGTCTGCACAACCTCGTGAATACTCGGTGAGGGATCTGCTTAAGCAAAACTCCTGCAAAACATGAGGCTCCTAAATGCAAACTTCCCTCCAGATCTCCATGCTCCCAAGCACAGATAACCCTGCTGCCCACAGAAATGTATTGTTTTGCTTAAGAACACATCTCCTAGACTTTCTTCTGCAGTCTAGCTGTGAAGCCAACGTGTGAGCTGGCTCACAAGCCTCAACAGTCACACCAAGAATCTCCACCTCCAGCGCAACAGGAGCTTGAGCATCTTCTCAGGAATCGCTCTCACCACCCGTAAAAATGTCACAAAGGCACAGACAGCTCCACGAGAAATGCTCTGGCCATCTCTAGCTCTGCTGCACACACAACAGGTGGAGGGGCTGTCTCTCCCAAAGCTGAACCAGACTGAGCACCACAAGTGTTACCCTCCCTCACCTCACCACACGGAGCAGTTTTAGGCACATCAGACACAACACGCTCAAAACAAGCCGATCTGCTCTAGCACACGCTTCATTTTCTGCCTCCGTGTAGAGAAGCGCTGGAAGCCCAGAGATACCACGGGTGTCGTTATCGGGGTCTGCCACGTTTCAACAGAAACACCGAACACGGCAAATTTAGCCGAGGGAACGAGGGCGGGAAACGCGTCCAGAACTTCCCCGTCACCGATCCCATTGAAACCCGCGCCAGGACGGGACGAGGGGGGCGGCAGCACCGGACACCGCAACAGGACCGAGCCGGGGAAGGAGAGAGAGGCGCCGACACCCCCCGACACCAACCCGGGGAACAAACAAAGAGCCGGACACACGATTCGCGCGGAGCGCCCCGAGCGCCGGCCGGGGGGAGCGGCACACAAAGAGAACGCCGGGGCTGGCCCCAGGCCCACGGGACAGCGGTGCCGGCCCGGCCGCAGCACCGGCACCCGGCCCGGCCCGGCCCGGCAGCACGGCGGGAACGCGGCGGGCCCAGCGGCGCGGCCCAGCGCCCGCGGGAGGGTGACAGGGAACAGGCGGCGTTCCGCGCCCCGGGCCCGGCGCGGCGGGGCCGCTGCGCGCTCGGGCGGCGCCGCCGCCGCCGCCACACAAAGAAAGGCAGCAGCGGCCTCCAGGCTCCGGCCCGCACCTCCCTCCCCGCTCCCCGCGCCGCTCACCCCGCCGGCTCCGCTCCGCGCGCCGCCGCCGCCGCCGCGGGCAGCCCCGGTGGGTGCGCGAGGTCCGCCCGGCCCGGCCCGGCCCGTCCCGCCGGTCCCGCCCGCACCGACACCGACACCGCCGCCGCTGCCGCAAAGCGCGCCACGGCCCGCGCGACACACAGCCCCCCCGCGGCCCGGCAGCGCCGGCGCGCTTTACGGCAGCGCCCGGGAGGCGGGAGCACGTGGCGGCGCCATGAGGAGACCGAGTGAGGGGCGGGGAGCGGGATCGGGGAACGGGAACGGGCACCGGGAACAGCGACAGACGGAGCCCTGCGGGCGGGGGTGGCGGTGGAGGGAGGCGGCGCGGCACCGCGGGCTGCCCGCGGCCGAGCGAGCGACAGGGGCCCGGGGCGAGGGATGGGACACCGGGACAAGAGAATCGGGCACCGGGACAGGGGAATGGGACACCGGGACAGGGGAATGGGACACCGGGACAGGGGAATCGGGCACGGGAGCTCGGGGGAACGGCGGCGGCGGGAGCTCGGCCGTGTCCCGGGGTGGGGGGATGTCTGTGTCGGTACTCGGTGATCCCGGTTCCCGGTGATCCCGGTTCCCGGTGATCCCGGCACACGCTGATCCCGGTGCGTTGCAGAGCTGAGGAAGGCGAGCAAGAGGCTGAGCTGCCACAAGCGCTATAAGATCCAGAAGAAGGTGAGTCCCCATGGTGCGGGATCTGCTGCTAGTTAAAGCTCCGTGTTAATTAGTTTAACGCTAAAAGCATTTTTACATGTTACTATAGAATACTGAAAGCATTTTTTGGTGTTAGTACAGAAATATGTTGCGCGTGTAGGTGTACACAGTAAAGTTATTATACTGCACGGTAAAGAGTCCGGGCTCCAGTGAGGAATTTGTTTTCGAGTGTAGCTCTTTTACATCTTTCTGTTTTACATGATTTGGGGCTGGTGCATTCACGTGTAGCTTTATGATGACACATTATGCAGACAGACCCCCTGGCGCAGGTCAGAAATGTGCCGGGTTTTACTCTCGAAGTTTTTTTTGGGGGGGGAGGGGGCCTTAGACTGAGTAAGTGTTCTTGTTCCTGCCTCCAGATCAGAGAACACCACCGGAAGGTCAGGAAGGAGGCCAAGAAACGTGGGCACAAAAAGCCCAAGAAGGATCCCGGAGTTCCCAGCGCTGCACCGTTCAAGGGGGAGCTTCTACGGGAGGCGGAGCAAAGAAAGCAGAGGGTAAAATAGACCTTGTGGCAAAGAGGGCAAGAACTGAAACCATTCCTGTCTTCGAGGAAGCTTTGTGTGTGCACCAAAGGTGCAGCTGTGGTAGATTGCAGATGGTCCCGGTAGACACAAACCTCGGAAAAACAATATGTTTATTTCCAGGAATGTACAGTGTGCAACAATTGGCTCTTTTATTTTTAACCTTCTGTTTCTCACTGTAAGTATAAACATGGCAGAAGAGTCATTTTTAATGTGCTCCAGAGTAACTCTGATGGTGAGATACAGGGATGTGCTGAAAGTTAAACCTTGGCATGATGGGATTATACAGAAAATAAGGATATGCTGGCTGCAGTAATGTGGATGGGAGCAGCACAGCTGCAGTGGTTGCTGCACAGCTGATATTTTGGGGTCAAGCAAATGGCTGGTTGGCTCTGGGTTTGAGGCAGTTGAAGGTGACAGTACTCTTTTCAGGGTAGGATGCAAAAAAACATGTCCCAGTGTCACTTGGATAGCCAGGACTTCAAATTGAGCTGTGTCAGGAACTTGGGTCAGACACAGGGAAATGGGGAGAAAGAACAGTCTTCCTTGCCACCTTCAAAGACGTTTTATCTGGCTTGGGTTTTGTTTGCAATCAGCTTGAAGAACTGAAACAAAAGCAGAAGCTCAACAGACAGAAAGAACATGAAAAGAAGAGGAAGCTGGAAGCTAAAAAGAATGCAGCCAAAATCAAGGAAAAAGCAGAGGGAAAGGTGGGTGTCCTGTATGATTTTGATTCTGTGAGGCTTATAAAAGTCATCCTGAAACTGCACCTTCTCAAGCAGCATGTTACATGTTACATTTTTCATGCTGTGTACACACACAAGTGTTTACACTAATTCTCATTGAAATAATTCCTTTCTGTTTTTATTTGCCTTCAGGAATCCTCTGGCAAATCTAAAGGAAAGACTAAAAAGCCTCTGAATAAAAATTCAAAGAAATCCTTCTGCAGGGAGCTCAACAAGGTGAAATGCTTCAGCTATCTTTATATCATTTGATGAGAGTCAGCAACGAGACCACTTGTTATTTCCCTTTCTTTGGCATTACTGTGCAGTTGCTGGAAGGGATTTTACAACAGGGAGTGTTAACAACACAGTAACTTTTGTTGTCATCTGGTGTGTGATACCTTATTTGAGAGTCTTGTCTCGTTTCTAACCCAGGTGCTTGAGGCCTCAGATGTGGTTCTGGAGGTTTTAGATGCCAGAGATCCAATGGGCTGCCGCTGTCCTCAGCTGGAGCAAGCTGTCATTTCCTCTGGGGGAAACAAAAAGCTGCTCTTGGTCCTGAACAAAATCGGTAAGAAACACAGGTTTTCTCCAAGTGTTACTTGGTCACTGTGTGGTGCTGTGGTAGGTGAGCTATGAAGAAGATTTTAAAGGAATCTGAGATTCCATTGAAGACATTTGTTCCAACTCTGAGCTCACTAAAAAAGCTGGAAATTACTGAGTTACCAACAGCTAAAAAACCCAAAATAAAATACCAAGAACAAAGGGAACTTTGTATTAGAGTAGCCCTTTCAGGGATGGTGGGATAATAGTTCACAGAACATCACTCTGGATCATACACAGTCCTCTAGCAAGACCCCAGCCTTAAAAACCTAATACAGGGGCCAAAAATGTAATTGGGATGTGTTCTGCTTAGGGCAGGAAAAGCAGACACTGGGTGCCTTGGGGGAAGGTACCCTGCACTTTAGTAGCATTTTCAGCCCAACATTATGTATCATAAAGGAACATCCTAAATGGACAAAATGTGGCCAGATTTCTAATTCCACATCAGATTTCCTACACACAGTGATATTTAAGATTCACAGGAGTGAAAGAACTCTTTTTTTTCCCAGATTTAGTGCCAAAGGACAACTTGGAGAAATGGTTGAATTATTTGAAGAAGGAGTTTCCAACAGTTGCTTTTAAATCAGCAACGCTGATGAAGGACAAGACTGTGGTAAGAGAGACAAGGCATGTTGTCTCCTGAGTGAGCTGTGTGTTTGCAATCATAAATGCTGAGGAACAGGAACTCTTTATTCTATGAAATTCCTTCTCCCCTTGTTTGATTACACTGCTGTGACTGATGGATATGCCTCTACACTTCAGCTGAGCTTTGCAGTACAGGGTGGGGGATTCTTGCCATTTGAAATTACAGTAGATTGATAAATATAGATCAATAAACAGAATATATATATTTTACCTTCCTAAATAGCTCCTGACCGTGGGGTTTTTTTGCCTTTGAATCCTGTAGCAGGAACAGTTCACAAAAAGACGTAGACATGTTGATTTATCAAAACCCTCTCAGTGTTTTGGAACCAAATGCCTTTTGAAACTTCTTCAAGAGCACGGCAAGACTGAAAACAGAGCCATTCAGGTTGGGGTAGTAGGTGAGTGTTTCTGGACAGACAGGAGGAGTTTCCTTCTTCCCTGTAAAGCTTTGGGATCCTGTGATACAAAGTGGGTAAAACTGTTAACCCAGGGTTTGCTAAGGAGCTTTCCAGTCCTTGTATCAGTGTGAGAAATGAGGATACACACTTTGTCTGACTTCTGTAGTGAAGACTTCAGATCCAACTCTGATCTCACACTGATGATGCACCTTAGCACAGACACTTGGAAGAAGCAGTTTTGATCAGTGTTATTTAACTTACAGGGATTTATGTGATTTCCTTCAGGTTTCCCTAATGTGGGAAAGAGCAGCATAATCAACAGCCTCAAAGGAGCGCGTGTTTGCAATGTCAGCATAGCAAGAGGTGTTACCAAGTAAGTTGAGTCTGATAAAAGCTGATCCTCTCCCTGTTTCTTGTGTTCCACTTACCTTGAGTTTTGTTTGTGTAGTTTCCCTCCATTGGGTGCAAAACAAACCCTTGTGTGCAGTTTTAAACGCACACTTCAGTTTGCAAGATGAAAGAGGTTGATCTGTGTGATGGAAGCTCTCACCAGAGGATACAGTGTAGAAACTTTTTGTAGGTTTAGATTTCTGTCCTACACAAAGCACATGATGACAAAACACTGAAACTGAGACTGTATGAAGTCCATTCAATCCAACACTGAGCTTTGTGTCTTACATCCCTCACCATCATTACTGCCTTCACTGACCATCTACTCACAGTGCATTTTTCTCTGAATAGGTCCATGCAAATTGTGCACATTGATAAGCAAACAAAGATACTGGACAGTCCAAGTATAATTGCAGATCCTTCCAACAGTGCCCTGGCTCTGGCCTTGAGAAGTATCATAGACACTGAAGAACCAGGCTCAGCAGATGTGCTTGAAGCAGTAAATGCCATTATAAATAACTGCAGTAAGCAGCAGGTGAGCTCCATCTTTTTCCACATCTCTCCCTGCATTTCACTTCTCTCTAGGTTTCTTAGGCCCAATAATGAAAGTTCCTTTCATTTCAGCTAATTCTGATAGTTTTTGCACTGCTTTCCCCTACCCATGCAGAGTAGCAGTGCCAAGTGTGATCCTTCATCCTTACCAGCAGAAGGCAGAACAGCATGCCATGATCCTGATGGCCGGAGCATTATCACAGTAGCTTTCCTGATATTTAAACAACACTGCTTTTAAGATCTCATCACACTATCACTGAGTGAAAAATGATGATATTCTTTCTGTATCCTATTGTTACAGTGAAGACCTCAGATCCAACTCTGATTTCACTCAAATTAACCTAAGCCTAATGCCCATGCAGTGACTGCTCTCACAGACCAGTGCTCTGTCTCTGTACACCCACCAGTCTGGGTGAATGCCCAGGAGGTTGTTGGTGAAGAAGGCATTTTGCTTTGCAATGTTTACTCCCACCTGCAAGAGAAAAACAGCTCTTCACACACTCACATGTCCTCATTGTAATGCAATTTGATTTGCTCTTTTATTCCTAAAGCTAAGAGGAAGGTGGGTCTCTCTTAATATGCCATCTTCTTTTGCCCTAGGTAATGATGCACTACAGTATGCCAGATTTCAGGAACCCTGAGGAGTTTCTATCTTTACTTGCTCAGAGGAGGGGCATGCTGAAAAAGGGAGGTGTTCCTGACATAGAAAATGTAGCTAAGCTGGTGCTCTGTGACTGGACAGGGTATGTATGCTGTGAACTTGGCTCTGTGCTGCTCACCTTTCTCGTGTTGTTAATCCAGCACAGCAGAAACCCCAAGTCATGCAGAGCACTTAGAAAGTTCCTTTTTTCCAATTTTTTCCCTTGATTTCTCACATTTTACTTCAGTAAAGAGCTGGATTGGCCAACAGAGTTAGGGAATGCCATCCATGGATAATTTTCTGAAGTAGAGAGGGATACATGACAGAAGTCAAAGCACATTAACTCCAGAGCCAGTTTGCTGACTTACACTGTGACTCTCTCAGGGAAATTCGCCTTCTTCTCCAATGCAGAGTCCATGTAGTTCTCTTCTACACAGGAAAGGATGTGGCAAATTTTCTGTGGAAATTTATGCTGGTTCCTGTGTTCTGAGGGTGGGAATAAATGTAACTCAGAATCAGTAATTGACTGTGATTATTTCTCTTGCTCAAGTTGTTCAGCTGCTTTTACAGCTCATGATTATACAGGCAGGTGATTTGTGGTGACACAATGTATGCCACTTCTTTTCCCTTTCAGGAGTGGGCAATCCACTTAATACTGTTGACAACTTCAGAGTCAAAATTAAACAGCTATTAAACTGCTATTAAACAGCTATTAGTGCATGAGTATTTAGGTTGAGAAGTTTGAGAGCTTTGTGCTCTGGGTTTATTTTTAAATACAGTGATTTAACTATGTTATCTTTAGTTAGTTTTTAATGCTGATTTTTATTTCCCAGAGGCAGAATAAGCTACCACTCAGAACCTCCAGGATCTCAGACACCACCACCCTATCTTACAGAACAAAAAATAGCTGAAATGCAGGAGGGCTTTAATTTAAAGAACCTAGAAGAAGAAAACAGGAACACTGTTCAAGGTAGGGCTGTTACTGTGATACACTGCCATTAATCACAGAATGGTTTGGGTTGGAAGGACATGAAAGATCCATCTCACTTCAATCCCCCTGCCATGGGCAGGGACACCTTCCACTAGACCAGGTTGCTCAGAGCCCCATCCAGCCTGGCCTTGAACACTTCCAGGGATTGGGGAGCCACAGCTTCTCTGGGCAACCTGTGCCACTGCCTCACCACCCTCACAGGGAAGATGTTTTCCTAATATCTAATCTAACCCTACTTAGGCAAACTTACCTGTACTCAAATCCAAGATTTTCAGCTGCTAGCAGTCTCAGAATTGTCCTTTGTTCTGCCTGCCTATGTGGGAGTGCTCTGGCAGGGAGGGGACAAGACTAAAATGTGTCCTCTCAGGGTGGGCATTATACCTGGTGCTGTCTGACTGGGACTTAACAGACACTTACCATGCCTTTGCCAGCTTTAAAATACCCCAGCCCAGCAAGCAGCATCATTTTCCAGTCAGCTGGTATGGCAAATGGGACAATAGAGGAAAATAAAGTGATAGAGGAAGGATCAAACTGGAAAAACGTGGGAAGAACCAAGGAGGAGGAAGAGGAAGAAGAAGAAGAGGAGGAAGAGGAAGAAGAGGAGGAGGAATTTACAGAAAGCGATGATGATGAAGATGATATGGAAGAAGAAGAAGATGATGTTGAAGAGGTAAATTAAGGTTTCTACCTGTTTAGATCCTGACACCAAGAACCCAGTCAGTGTCCTGCTGTGAAAATGAGGCACTGAGGCCCTGTGGAGACACTGGATGTGATCAAAAAGCCTTTCTCCTCCAGATAAGGGCTGGGCTGTTTCCCTCAGTTAAGGAAACAACATTGTTCTGAGTCACTTGCCTCAGCAGTGTGTTTAACCAACTGTCCAAGGGGACATCCACTTTATCCTCAGGGTCTATTAGGTTTCATCTGCATGGGAGGTCTCATTAGTCATGTTTGAATAACACACCTCTGATCTCTCTGACTTGTAGGAAAACAAAGTTCAGGTCACCAGGAAAGCAAAGCTTGGAAAACAAGAAGCAAACCCTCCCAGTTCAGAAGAGCAGATGGCAGGTCTGTATGAAGAACTCTGGCTTCAAGGGTGGTCTCTAGTACTCAGCACTGGCACTGGTTTCACTAACACCTGATTTTTTGTTCTCAGAAGGTGAACATTCCACTTCCCTGTCCTTCAGCTTAGACAAGCCAGCAGAGGAGGATGATGCCTACGATTTTAATACAGACTATGTGTAACAATCAGGTGGGCAGGCACTGGTTGGACACTCTTACTGCTGGCCTGCAGAACAGCCCTGAAGACTTGAGTTGCAGCAAAGCTGGAGGAAAGCTGCACACCAGAGCTGCTGGAAAGACTTACAGCTGTTGCTGTATCAAATAATGTATATAATATCCCTTGATGGTTCCAGATTTTATACAGTCTGGGAAACTGTTATTCAGCTTTGAGCTATAAAGTTTATTTCCTGTATTAAATCCTATTGAAAAAAATTCCTAATATGCTGAGTTAAGTCTGTTCACTTTGTCTTATAAAAAGGTGTTTCAAAAGGATAAATGGTTTGTCCTTTTCACTGCAAAACTATGATAGATCTTTAATTCTAGTCACATTCAAGCAATTCAATTTCAAGATGAGCTTTTGTTCCTGCATCAAATTTAATGGTTTTTCCTAGAGGATTACAGGGACTGTATCCCTAGAGCATGAGTTCAGACAGTAACTCTTCAGTATATTTTTGCAAAACTTGTAGAACTTTATTATGTAAAAAGTGGCTAAAAAATGCTCCCTATTTGAGCTAGACATAAGGTACTTTAATCTGTTCTGGACCTTCATGGGGAAAAGTAACTGAGATACATTAGTAACCCTCCTTCACTGGGGAACGAGGTGCTTGTTCTTACAGTGCTCTTCACCAAAAGAGTTATTTCCTGGTGACACCTGTCCTACCTGGCCAACAACTTTGAAATATAAAGCAAAACACTGCCCTGTGCAGTCAGGAAGCGTTACTGTGCTCAGCCTGTAGCAGAGCTGGGATAGCAAGAGAATTGCCAAGAGGCCCTACAGCTGCTCCAAGAATAAATGCCTTATATTGAGCATCTTCATGCTGTGAATCTTCCTATTAAGTCTGATTTCTGTGTTCTTTAATAGATAGGTGTGTTTTCCCTAAAGGTATGAGGCATGGTCCTCGTAGGCAGCTCAAAAAGGTGTCAAGTGCTGACACAAACAGATGGAGTTTCTTCAAGCCTCCTAAAACACAGCCTGCTCATCTGAATTAAGATGGTGAATTAAGCTGATACAGTACAATATTTCAAATTTTGGTAAGTGAACTTATTACTGCTTCAAGGACAAGAATTGTTCATCAACACCCAGCAAAAGAAACAAAAGACAACAAACCAGATCGACATCCACAACAGAACTATAGGCAGTGACTGCAATGAGACAAGCAGTTTGAAATCCTTTTAAATGACAAAGCAGAATTAAAACCATACTCAGAGTCCTGAAGGAGCCCTTGTCCTCTGCTGCCCTGTATCTCACACCATGCAGCACTCAGCTGTCATTGCATGAACACAAAGCCTTTTGTCTAAACATCTTGCACAGAGAACTGTTCACAAGCATGTGGCTTCAGTTCTAACCTCTATTAAAAGGAACAGTTGGCACAACAGCTGCTGGGATAAACCAGCTAATAATAACTACTACTCAAACTTCACAGTACAGCTCTAAAAAAAACAATCCAAAAGGACTTACTGTAGCATGGGTGATGGGCAGCCATTTACCCGAGCCTTGAGTCAACATGTTACAGTCAGCTTTATTTTTGAACAAGGTTTCATCCACCACTTTACAAAAAATGGTTTAGTGTTCACGGGCAGTTAAAACCACTTTGCATAGCGAAATAATACTTGAAGAATTCATCTTTTTCATAAAAAGTTCAGTTTTGTAGAGTTCTGCAAGAAAGACTTACACAGAAATGGTTGGGAGATTTCATGCATGAAAGGGTTGTTGAGGGAACTATTTCACAGAATAACAAACCAAACCAAACAACAAAAACCAAACCCAGAACCCAAGCAACTCTCAATTACAGTACATTGATGTGCAAGATTTGCGTGGTGCAAGCACCAAATGAATTTCTATCTTGTTCTTAGAAACGTCGTTTCTGTAACTGACAAAATGATCCTCTGCTAAAAGACTTGTAGTAAAGAGCAGAAGGACACGACTGAAATGATCTAAACAAAGTGCCTGTTTGTGGAGATCCTCCCTTGCTTTCTGTAGTGCTGCTGGAGCAGCATCTTCTGTCACACAGGTGACACGAGCCTGCTTTGGACCTGTGCATTGCAGAACTGCAGCTGAATGAGTGCATCACCTTGTGCTCCAGAAGGCAAGGATGGCTCTGTACTACAAGTTGGCTAAAGCAAAAAAAAAATAAAAAAAATAAAAATGTTCTGCTTGGCTCCAGAAGTTTCCTGAGAAAGCACCATCAGTTATTGACATTGACTCTACTTGGCTTCATAGGCTTCCGAGTGTCTGCGGAGCGGGCTGAACTTGCCCGTGGGGTCAGGGACATACCACTTCTCCCAGACCTCAGCATAGGAAGCTGTTCTTCCCCAAGGTTTGAAATGTCCATTCCAGTGGAGCAGCTTGGCAGCTTTCACAAACTGAGGAGAGTACCTTTTCCCAGCACTAGACCCTGTTATTGAAAAAGCAGCGTCAGTGCCTGAAATGAAGGCAGCGGGAACACCAACATGCAAAATGTTAACTTCAGAACAAAGGATTTAACAAAGGAAATCTTGTCATTTATGGAGAAAGGAGGGGACATGGGAGGCAGACATAAGGGCTAAGTGAAAACAAATCAGGTGCAACTGAATGCCACTTTAATCTCTCTTAGTGTCTATTTTAATACACTGCCTTAACTTTCAAGTTCCTGACAACCCCCTTAACACTCAGATGTGTTCAGCAGCCTCGCTACTGTTCATCAGAAACAAAACCTAAAGCTTTCCCAGCACTGGGGTTTCATCAGTAACAGAACAGACATAAATGTCTGTTCTTCTCAACAGTCTTGGAAAAAAACACCTCAAATCACTTCAGATACAATATATATGTGGAAAATTACAAGTATTTTGTGAATAAATTTTGGAAAAAGACCATGAAGGCTCAGGCCCACAAGCCCCAAGAAGATAAGCAAAGCTGTGTTTCTTAAAGAACAAGAGACAGAATAGGGGAATAAGAGATGCATTTGCTGCCTCATCGACCAAGTGTCCAACTACAGGCCTGGAAAACCACCCTGGGGGAGCAGCATCACAGATGTTTCACACGTACCGAGATGTCGGACGTTCCACATGGGATCAATACTGGAATGTTGCTTGTAGAACACAATCAGCAGTGGAGGTGTTGTGATGCTGCCAGCCAGAGTCTTACTGTAAAGTTCCTCTCTGGAAGAGAAGATGAAGAGAAGCTGGGAAAGGATGCTGGTTGACTTTTCACTTGCAGCAGCGTGACAGGAACCCCCAAAGACACACACAGCCCTTCATCCAACAAATGCCACCAGCACAGCCCCAGCCCTGACCTGCTGCCACCCCAGCTTGGGGGTACCTACACGACATTAAGTGCCATCCACTTCTCCAGCTGTTTGGTGATGTTCTGTAATCTCCACTCTGTCAGATTGGCCACGAACACTCCTGGGTTGAAGGAGCAGGTGTTGGCTTTCATGGCCAGCTTTCGGATGGTTTCTTTTTTGTAGTCTAGAAAGCCAATGTAATTATACTGGGGGGAAAGGACAGAGCAGAAATTAGCTCAAAAAATATGGTGAAACTCCTATTTAAAGAAAAATTCCGCACAACTCGCAACAAGACAGGCATAAAGTGAAGTTGTTGAAGTAAACAGTCCTTCCTTTAAAATAATAAGAAGAAAGCTTAAGAGCTTTTTTAAGCTATTTTAGAGGTATGATTGTATACACTACATATTTTAAGGAATGCTGCATGGTCTTAAGACTACCATATTATTAATATGATACCAGTCTCAGAAAAAGCACTTTTTATCCATTCACAAATGAAAAATTCTCCTTCTGATGTTCTAACACCTCTTGCTGTTCCATGCTAGAAATTGCCCTCATTGTAAAGCACAGCAAAAATTCAAACTGCTTTTACTGTGCCTAAACAGAAACTGCAGGTGCTATCTGTAACAAAAACATCTGTATGAATTGGTTTGGGTAGGGACAGTCACACCTTTAGGTCCCTTTAGAACATTCCAAAATGCCTGGGATCTGTGGTATTGTTCCCACTGGATGAGAACAAAACTAACCTGATTCCCTGCTCCACGGACAGCAACTTTGCTAGTGGTTGAGTCACAATCATCTGAAAACGCAGCTGCATGGCCAGGTTTCAATGGAGTGTTGTAAAGGTCAAGAATATCATCTGGAAAATGGAAGGAAGCACAGAAAAATCAAAAGCAATCCTGATTAAGTGCCGAGTTACTCTTTGTTCGGGGCATTGCTACAGCAGGTGAAACCATTCAGTTTAACCCAGCTCATTCATATTTACAAAGTTCTGACATCTTTCCTCGAAGTGTTTGGGCTCTGTGAGAGATGGGATGCTGCCCTCAGCACGAGGCCAGTGGCAGCTGACAAAGGTGCCATACCTTGCACTATCACATCATCATCCACATAGATCACCTTCTCGGCATGGGGTACCAAACTGGGCAAGTAGAATCTTGCAAAGGTTAACTGTGAGAACAAGAAAGCAAGAGAAGTGAAGAATCAAATGAAAAAATGTCCAAATAAATGTGACACTGACTGATTCTTCTGGCACTAATGTCCAAGACAACTCACATAAAGGAAATAAAATAGGCAGCAATATCCTACAAGTCATTTAAAATAAGCAGGTTCCATCAATTCCTGGTTTCCTGTGAATTTATGTATTGATAAACTAACTTTAAAATTTGTCTGTATTAGAATTTCTTATTTCTCCACATATATCTGCAGTATCTCCAAGGTATTGGCACGTTTGACATGCAGTGTCTCACTGTAGCAGCAAACAGTGATACTAAGCATGCATATGCAGACATTCAAATGCATCTCTTATTAGATGGAAATTTGTTTTTACTGATATTTAGGCCTTTTATTATAAAAGATTCTTTCTATGCTAATAGATGTGGTTTTGATCTCTAGTTCTGTTAAAAGCCAACATCAAAATATGTTGCTATTAACTAATAATTGCAAAAAGTAATTAACAGCATCCTCACTGGTTTGAAGGTGTCTGCCTTTTGGGGATCCACTTGTACTTTCCCTTCTAAGACACGAGGGTCAAAATCCAGAATTCGGTATCTCATGTTTTTCAGAGCAGTGCCACTTAGCCACAGCCTGCAAACAGGGAAAGGCACAGATCTTGTTAATGACACAAAAATCAAATGAAAAGCAAGAGGTCTGACTGCAGTGACCCAGATCCTGCTGTGCCCCCTCACTTCCCTACCCACAAACACGTGTGTGGGACGTCACCCGTGGCTGAGGCCAGCGGTGTCCGTGTGGCTGCAGGGCCATGCCCACTGCTCACCTGGGGCACGGGAGAAGTGGGAGGCTCTGATTTGTGAGACATACACAGTCCTGTTATCACAGCTCCTTCCCAAAAAACATCAGCGTGGACAGAGGTGGGTGGGGAAAAATAAAAGGGTCAGAGAACAATCTAGGAAAATGGAGAAACCTGACTGACAGTATTTGAATTGCTTGATGAAATGTGTAAGTAACATCAACAACCCTTCCACCAACGAACTCCAAGCCCACTGGTTGGATACAATCCCACTAGAAAAGATGGCTCTTTTCCATCCTAAAACTTTTCCAGAGGGAATAGCTGCAGGACTCCCCAGAGCAGCCTTGCCAAAAAGCTGCAGTAGGCAGCAGCAGGTAGGACTGCAGGTCAGGAGAGCAGCTCCAGGGAAAGGCAGCTCTCTCCTCAGAGATACTGGAGTTTACAGAGTTGAGGGAATCCAGTGAAAAGGTCGTTACCTCAAGTGATCCACTGTATCATTCAAAGTAACAATGTGGAAAACCACGTTGGATCTGGTGTGATGGTAAATGCTATTCATGGCTGCAATTGCACCCCCAAGCCTCTCATCTGACGCTGCAATGACCACAGAAATCTCCTTATCATTCCTCTCATCTATCAGCCTCTGGGGAGCTGCAGGAATGAAGTCTATAGGCTGAAGTCCTAAGGGACTCGAATCTGTGGAGTACAAATGGCATCACATACTTGTTTTTATTATTACACGTTATTGTTACCACACCAGAATTCCCAACACCTTCAGTTATTTCTGCTCTGCAAGCACTTGGATGTCTCAGCAGGATCACAACCTGCCAGCATCAAACACTAAAAACAGAGCCACCTGCTTTTGAGAATCTGAGATGTTAATGAATAGAGCATCACAGCAATAGAATACACATATTTAGCCACACATATTCACACACAGCACAAGGAGCTAAAGTAAGGCTGTGCTACAGTGGGTCCCTTTTTTATATGTCTAGAACCTCACTGACTTCCCCCTCCCATTTACCTAAACCACTCTCTGGCATGTGCTTTCCCCCTAATCTTAGAAAGAACAGTATTTTTTTCAAAATTAAAATAAAACCCAACGTACCTGATAACTCCCGTTTCAGGAAGTCACTGAGGCTCAGGAAGTTATGATGAAGAACTAGCAAAAATATTACAACAGCCACAATAAGGATGGAAATGTTCACTGAAAATTTGCAAGAAAAAAGTTCGTTAGGATAAGCAGAGAAAAAGAAACTCAGACACAAAAGATACTTTAAAAAAATTAGACACACACACATATACACATACCTTTCCTTAATGTCATTTTTCTATTATTTTATTTATGAGCATAAGGTTCCTGAAAACCTGCAAGAAAAAAACACAGCAGTCACTTCCTACTTCCAGTGTATGCCTACACAAGACATTGCCATCACCAGGAGTGTCAAAACAGTTTCTGAATGCAGTGAATGTGTCCTTCTCTAAAAAAAAGATAAAGCTATGCCACGTTTTAATAACTGTGGTACCTCAGTATCATACACAGCTACAGCCCTAGAATGGCTTGGGTTGAAAGGGACATTAAAGCTCATCTCATTCCAACCCCCTGCCATGGGCAGGGACACCTCCCACTATTCCAGGCTGCTCCAAGCCCTGCCTAACCTGACCTGGACACTTCCAGGGATGGGGCAGCCACAGCTTCTCTGGGCAACCTGTGCCAGGGCCTCAGCATCCTCAGAGTAAAGAATTCCTTCCCAATATTCCATCTAACCCTGCCCTCTGCTTTTAAAGCCATTCTCCTTTGTTCTGTCACTCCACACCCCTGTCCCAAGCCCCTCTCCAGCTCTCCTGGAGCCCCTTTAGGCACTGTCCTGAGAGCAAAGGTGCTCCAGCCCTCAGAGCATCTTTGTGACCTTACTCTGGACCTGCTCCAACAGGTCCACATCCTTCTTATGTTGGGGACTCTCCCCGCTTACAATGACTTACCTAAAGAAGAACTTGGACATAAAAAGGAGACATACAGATCTATGTATGACAGGAAAAAAAAAAAGTCACTTTCTTCAGTGACAGAAAAAAAAATACCGAATTCCTTCCACCAGGCAAAATTACCTGAAAAGATCTGGAAAATTATGTGGGATTTGTTTGTTGTTGAAACAATTTATTTAACTATCTGAACTGGAAGCATCTAAACAATAAGATAAATATTATACATTTCTTTTCACGCTTAACCAACAGCAAGATTTTGGCAGGACACAGGTCAAATAGCACTTTCCAAACCATGGAAGTCTCTACATAGGATATAACAGAATATCAGCTAAAGTGTTGTCACACCAAAAAACAAAACACAAAAGTGGGCAAGAGGGTATTACCATCATGTTATAGAAGAGGGTAAAACCACAACACTGATGCAATTCTGGTAAGAAATTCAAACACACTTGTTTGTATTTAAGGGTAAAGGTGACTGTGAAATCAGAACAAGAGCTGTGTATCCTCGAGTGTGAAGGATCTCTCAAATAACACATAGAAAGCACCGTAACAACATGCAAAATTCCAGAAACGGTGACAGACTCGCAAAATCTCCCTATTAAAGCACCGCAGGCTGCGCTGTGGCCGTTCCGTGTGTCAGACCCAACCACCTTCTGTCCGCTGCTGCATTTCTGCCCCAGGGCAGATGCATTTTCGGAGCACAACAAAGCCCAGGCGAGAGCCCTGTTCTCCAGCAGCACCGCACCGCTGGCACGGGCGGGACACGGGGCTCTGCTTACACAGCACAACGCCACGGCTCGCCGGGGAACAGAGCTCTTCGCGATTCCCAGCGCACAGACACAGCCTGTGCCTCTGAGCAGCGGCTGAGGGAGCCGGGGGGGCTCAGCCTGGAGAGGAGGCGGCTCAGGGGAGACCTCATCACTCTCTACAACCCCCTGACAGGAGGCGGTAGCCGGGTGGGGATCGGGCTCTTCTCCCAGGCAACCAGCGGTAGGACAAGAGGGCTCGGTCTTGAGCTGCGCTAGGGGAGGTTTAGATTGGACATCAGGAAAAAGTTCTTTACAGAGAGTGACCGGGCACTGAAATGGGCTGCCCAGGGAGGTCGCGGAGTCACCGTCCCTGGAGGTGTGTAAGAAGAGTCTGGACACGGCTCTCAGTGCCACGATTTAGTAGACGAGGCGGTGTCAGGCCAAAGGTTGGACTCGGTGATCTCAGAGGAAACCCCGGCTGATTCTGTGACTCTGACACGCGGCACAGCCGGGGCTGGAGGCACCGACACAGCCCCCGGTAAAACACAGCCCGCGCGGGGCCCACGCTGCCCGCCCCCGCCGCTCCCCTCCCTCACGGGCCGCCCGCCCGCGCCGCCACCGCGGCACCCCCAGAGCGGGGGCTGAGCCCGCCTCGGCCCCCAGCGCTGCCGCACCTGCCGGGGAAGCGCCTCCGCCGCGGGCCCGCGGGGCCGAGCCGCCAGAGCCGAGGAGACGCGCCCGAGCGGGAGCGGGGACGGCACCGGGATGGGGAGCGGGCGCGGAGCAGCCCGCGGCAGCGGCGCTGAGCGAGGCGGGAGGCGGCACCGGGAGCGGCGGGGCGGGGCGGCCGGGTGAGTTTCCGGCCAGCTCAGCAGCCGCCTTCCGCCGCCGCCGCGCCGAGCCGGGCACCGCGGGCTGCAGCGCCCTGACCAGCAGCAGCGGGGAGGAGGCCGCGGAGGCGCCGCCGCCATGCTGAGCGTGTTCCGCTCCATCCCCACGCAGATGGTGGGTCGGGCCCGCCGGGCCGCGGCACGGGGGACCGCACCGGGGAGGGGGCTGTCCCCTGCGGGCTTGGGTGTCCCCCTGCATCCCCCGCGAAGGGTGGGGTGTCCCCTGCATTCCCCCCCCTTCCCGCGGGATGGGTACCTGTGTACGAGGCGCGTGGGAGTGCAGGGTGAATCCCGTATAATTCCGGTTTACGAGCTGGGAAGTGGAGTTTTAACATGCTGTAATGCAGAGCTGTGCAGGGGACATCCCTCCGTGCTTTCCCGCCTCGGCTATAGACAGAAGGCAGCGTGTGTTTCTAAAGTCATGCAAACAAAGAGTAGTTGGGGTTGGAAGGAACCTCTGGACCTCATCCAGTCCAACCCCTCGGCCCAGGCAGGGGCACCTGGGGCAGGTGACCCAGGAGCGCATCCAGGTGGGTTTGGAATGTCTCCAGAGAGGGACACTCCACACCCTCCCTAGGCAGCCTGTTCCAGGGCTCTGCCACCCTCACTGGAAAGAAGTTCTTCCTGGTGTTGAGGTGGAACTTGTGTTTTAGTTTGTGTCTGTTACTCCTCATCCTGTCTCTGGGCACCATCCTCTTGGCACCCGCCTTGGAGGCTTTAATCTCATTTATGAGATCCCCCCTCGAAGTGCCACCCCCACCGTATCCCCGCAGGCACACACTGGGCTGTGGTGTTACAGCTTTTTCTTAGTGATGATAAGCTGACTACAATGGCATTTTGAACTGGCATTACTTACCTTGAACAGGCAGCACTTGCTTCTGTTTCCAGGTGGGGTGGTCAAGCCTGCAGGGGAGGTGTTCCCAGACACTGTAAGAAAAGTAATTCCAGTCTGGTTTGAAAATTGAACAAAAGAGCTGAGAAGCCGTGGTCAGGCTGAGTGTGGGCTCTAACCTGAAGGACTTTAAGGGGCAGGTTTGTGTTTGAATAACTGACCAAAAAGTGTCTCTTTCCACAGGACTACAAGGGCCAAAAATTAGCAGAACAGATTTTTCAAGGAATCATTCTTTTCTCTGCAGTAAGTATACCAGAACTGTGGGTGAGAACATCAAAGGACTATTTTGTTTTCTGATTTTACAAACAATTTTTTTTTTTATTATTTGGGGTCACTAAAATCTTTAGACAAAATCAGAGGGGCTGCCATGCATTAAAACTTTACATCTCCCCATGTTTTACTTATATTATTGGCCTGCAATTTTGAAAAGAAGGTTAAAAAGATAGAGGAACTCTGCTTTTGAAAAACCTGTATTCTTCTACTTCCCCCAATTTAATCATGGCATGGGAAATGTTTTTCTTCATTTAGAGTTTGATTTTTTTTTAATATACTTTTTTCCCAGGTAATTGGTTTCATCTATGGATACATCACTGAACAGTTTGGATGGACTGTCTACATAGTTATGGCTGGATTTGCTTTATCATGTTTGGTAAGAATTTTTTTTTTCCCCAAACCAGAAAATACATGCACTATTTAACATGGAATAACTGTTAAATTAAGGGGCTGTCAGCACAGACTAATGTTTGCTATATAATTCAGATTGTTAAAATGCATTTCTACTTCCTTTGATCTGCAGTGCCTTTTCTGAAATGCTAGCAGGATTTCAGAGAACACTGCAATTAAATACGGGGTTGGAGTTTATTTTTGCTTCAGTTAAATGTTACTCTTAAGTCCAGCTGACAGCACTGGTAATAAAAAGGACAGTGAGGCTTCCTTTTCAGTAGGATCTTGTCACAATAATTTTGCAGCTGGCCTGTGCTGCCCCAGGAGAGAGGCAAGAAGGCAGAGTATGGAATTAGAGGAGTAATTCCTTATTCATACACATGAGGTGTCCCATTCCAATTGGGGCACACCAAATCCAGTTTTACACCTGGTTCCTATGCCTTTCAAGAGTTCAGATACAACAGGATTTGACCAATGACTACTTAACTCACACACACACACTACTGTTTTGAAAAGCCACTATACTTCTCTGGCTTCATCATCCGTCTACTCCTTACTTACTTGAGCATCCCTGAGTTGCTCTGGCCAGAGTTACTGATCCATGATGCCAGGCACAGGGAGGGTCTCATAGCAGTGTTGGGATGCTGGTGTCACCTCAGGAGTCCCTTTTCCTTTAGAGTGGGTACTGTCCTCGTCCTTGCAATGACCTGGGGTCCTTTAGCCACATACTTCAGTATAAACTGTAAATATATGTGCCTTTATAGCATGAAATTGCGTGAGTCTTCTTTGATAGAACAGTTAAGGATTAAGGTTTTCCTAACAAGCTGTAAATTGAGATGCCAAAGAGCTGCTCTGTACATGCTGTGACCCCATCCCTTGTCTCCCAGCTGACGCTCCCTCCGTGGCCCATGTACCGCCGCAACCCCCTCAAGTGGCTGCCTGTGCAGGAGTCGGGCACAGAAGAGAAGAAATCGGCAGACAGAAAGCCAAAGAGACACGCTAAAAGCTAAAAATTACGGGTCTTCACGCTGTTACTTCGATTTGTTCAATGAATTTCCACTGGGACATACTTCTTGGCTTAGTGTTTGGTTTTTTAATTAGAGCTTTGTATCCTGCCATGAGCACAGCAAGCCCCGCAGAGAGCGTGAAGGCTCTGACACTGGAGCTTCAGGGAAGTCCCTGGGAGCACAGGGATGGGCAAAGGGTAAAGCAAATACCTGCTGAAATTCTTCTGTGCTGTATTCATCTCTGAGGCACCTGTAAGAGATTGCTTACACGGGTAGTTAACATATCAGACTGGGTTTAGACAAATTTGCTCCATGTCCTTCCTGTAGCTTTCAGTTACTGGATGTTTTTCTCCCCTCCACATTAGCTGGTCCCCCTTCTTTGGCAGAACACATCACGATTATGATTCTATGTGTCTAAACACTGTACAGTAATTTAGGTAACTTACTTTTTTTCTAGTTAATACTTCAGTTTCCAGCACAAGTTGTACTGGCTTTTTTAACATCTTAGCAGCAGAAACTTAAATAACTTTAGAAGGCTACTGGAGGTCATCTCACTCAAGTATTTTAGTAAAAAGGAACACAGTGAATCAAATCAAGTCCAGTTAAGCTACTGTTATAGCATAAAAGATAATACAAACCTGGACTTACAGTGAAATATTTCTAACCATGTGTAAAACAAGCTTGTAACAAGTACTGTGATATGGTACATACCCCACAGCTCTGAAAATCACTAAGAACTGCAAACTGTCCTGGGATAGGAGACTGAAGAATGGCATTTTTTGTTTAAAATAAATTTTCCTGGGAAGAGAAAGTAACGTTTGGACTCTGCAAAACACAATAGCTCTTGAAACATTGTAACCTGAGCATCTAGTGTATGAGAGGCCATAAGATCCATAGGTACGGCCTTTTTTTTTTTTTTACTATTGACTCATGTCTGTAACCTCCCTCACAGGTGCTGGAGGTCCCAATATTTCAGCTACAGGCAGGAAGAGAGACAGGTTGTTCATTTAGAATTTTATTTTACAAATTCAGTTTATTTGACTTCTTTATCCTTAAAAAAAGAACATGTGCTTTTTCTGTAGGGATGGTACAACAATGCCTGGGGGGGTGTAGTGAGACAGTTGGGATGCAAAGAGGGGGGGAAAAGCTAAGACATCTATTTCTGTAAGTGATTCTGGTCTTGGGCACTTTCATTCCTGAAAGGAATTAATATTTGTAAGGCAAAGGGATTTCTCCAGCTGGGACCATGGTAACTATGGCTGCATTCCTTTCAAACATTTCCAGACTGACTTTATCCAGTTACCAAATGCTTTCCCCCACCTTGGCAACTACCTCAGCAACAAAACACAAAAGCAAAGTCTCTCCTTAAAAGCAGTACAGCCACCCCCTTCAGCACTTGGGCTTGGCAATTTCCAGCATTTTGGTTCTACAAAAATTAATAATTCTTTCTCTTGCTAAGTTTTCACAACTCTCTGATGCACTATCACACCAGCACCTTGGCAGAGATTTTGTTACTCTATTTACGTGACCATCCCAAAAACCTTTTGCTATGAGAAATTCAAACCAAAACATAATTTTTTTGACACTCTTTAGTATACAAAACTTGGTACCCATCCCTATGTGCATCTATGAAAAGCAACATTTTAAAGTTTCATTAAGAGAATAAAAACTAAACTAACGGTTTCTTTTCTGAGAAAGTGATAGCCTGGTTCACAGTTTAACATGAAAAATATTACTACAAACTCTAACGTCTTCTGCAAGTTCACCTCCTTGTTCCAGCAAAGGAGATCGACAGGTAAACGTGCTTTGTAAGCTGGTCCAGTCTGTCATAGGGGCTATAAAAGAGTCCTTTTCTCTAAGGAAAAGATTGTGGTCAGAGCTTCACGTTTTCCTCAAGGAATTTCAGATGGCGAGCCTTGGCGCTGTAACTCCCGTACTTGTCCCCCAGGCGCTCCCGCAGCTGCCGCTGTTCAGAACACACACACACAAAACAGAGCCCACAAAACTTACTGAGTGCACAAAGAGCAGGAACTACCAAAACATTAACAAAAAAATACCCAGGCACTCGACTGAAAGCAGCACGTGAAGCCTGGCAAGCAGATGAGAAGAAAGGAAAATGAAAGTCTTGGTTGTGTGAAGGCAAGAGAGTTCCGAATCCCACCCAACAATTTAAAATACAACTCAGATCTTCACAGGTTACAAATGAAATACTGCATGGGTAAGACAAAAAATTGCAATATACAGGTCCTTGCCTGCCCATGACTACATAAAGACTTTCTGGAATCAAGGTTTACTCTGTATCAATAGGGTAAAGGCCCTGCTCATTTCTCTAGGTTTATGAAGAAATTAAACCATTTTATTATGAAAGACATTCACCTCTCTTTTCACTTCATCGTCATCTTCCATGATTCTGTACACCTCCTCAAGAAGTTTCACTCCCAATCCTTGCACCACATCAGATCTCAGGATTTCAACCATTCTCCTAATCTTGTCAGGAACTGATAACATATCTATTAAAAATAAAATACCATTAAAAATCAGTGCAGTAGTAATTACTTTCAGTAATTTTCATACTCTGCAGAAGATGAATATGGGATGATTGTAATTATTACCACAGAATTCCAGAGCAACAGACCTGAAGGAATCTCTTCAACGTTTAACTCCTCTGATTCATCAGGCAATTTTCCATGCAAAATCAAAGTGTCCCGATATTTTTTATGGAGTTTGAACTCTGGGGCTGGAGTTGAGGCTACACAATACTCAGAGTTCTCCTTAGAGTCCATTTTCAGTGTCCAAGTCATCAGCTGCACCAAGTCATTCATTTCATTCCCATTGCTTTTCCTAGGAGATGTAATTCAGTCATCACTTACGATGCAACTTCCACTCCACACTGCAAGTACTTCCAATAAGATTAGTAAGGTCCTAGTAAGTATTCCATGTTAAATTCCTCCTTGTGGGGCACTTTTATCAACAGCAGCACTGGCAATATTTCTTCTAACAAAGGCTCAGAGCCCTGTCAGCCTGTAGAAATCCACAACCCTACTGGCTGCTGCCAACTCTGGAGCTGCACCTCCAGTAATGCAACAGATTGCAGCTTTTGAAAAGCTGCTTACACTGACTGACAAAATCAGAAATCAATTCAGCCTCATTCACAGTGGAAAGGAGGCACATTGGCACCTTTTAATTAATGCTTTTACTGCATCCTGACAGTGCTGGAATTCTGGTTTCCTGGGAAGCTACAGCTGACAAAAACCAGAGGTAAAAAGTCACATGTCCCAGAAAATTCAGCACTGGAAGTGTACAATCACAGAAAAACAATGAAATGGAATTCTTCTCCTTAATGCACTACATACTTCTTCACTCACTCGCTATGTGGAGATAAAGGGTGAAAGCCATTTTGTTTTCCAGTTCAAGTCAAGGTCTAATATATATATATATATATAGCAGTGAAAACTCTTGCACAGTGTTAAAATACTGACCTGTCCTTGGAATCACCATCAGACTTCTCTGTGGAGCTTGTGGAAGAGCTCAACTCATCATCAGACAGGCAATGGGTTTCTCTCTTTTTCTAAGTGAAGAGGGAATAAATGACAAAAATTTTAATAGCTAAAAATAATTTGGCAATACTTAGCAGTAATTCATACTGTTCTTATGTGGATGAAACACTTTTAACAAGCATATTTTTACACACTCCTCCTGATTATATTTAAGAGGTATAACCTTTGGTTTTAAAAACAAGTTAATACCCAGGGCATTATGAACATACTTTATGAAATGCTGATGTGACTACTGTGACATCTGAATCACAAACCATTGCAAATGCTTCACCAAGTGTCTCTATTTCTTAAATCACGTATTTCTGTCAGTTCTTTGCCACCTATATTAAAATGGCATCACCCTTAGCCCAGCTATTGGTCTTAAAGACACATTTAAAAATATTAAAATACATTTTCATCAGTTCAGTAAGTTAAATTCCTGGGATTTTAACCACTTGGTTGCTAAAGCATCACCAGCATATGCACACACAAGCAGTCTGTACCCTGTAACCCCAGTTTGTGACTGCACACAAGTTTTTGCATTTAGGTGACACTTCTAAGCAAACACAAATAGGTAGAACATGCAAAACACTTCCCATGCAAGTGCTGGGCTGAGACAACTTGAATTTCAGACTCAAATTTCTTCACTATAACTCTTCTGCATTTAACTACAGATTAAAAAAAGAAAAACGTTCAACACCATGAACAAAGCAAAATCAGCAAAATTCATTTAAAAACACTTGAAAGGCAGGTGATCCTGCTTTACCTGAGAAATACTGGGATCTGATGAGGACTGAGCAACTTTAACACAATTTTCCACGTGTGATTTTGCTTCAACTACTGCACCATTTGACGACTGTCTCACCGGAGGCACTGGAAGGATGACATTTTTACAGTATTTACAACTTAGCCACGTGTATTCTGAATTAGTTTCATGCTCATGCAAGAAAAAGTCTATCACCTGGCAGAAGGCAGGCAGGTAGGTATTCTGCTAAGGGAAAACATTGAAGCTTCTGTCTGAAAGGTGACAGAGTTTTGAGTTTCATGTACATTTCCAAGACAAGTTGTCACCACAGAACATAACTGAACATAACTCACTAAGCAGCAGAAAAACGTGGGCATGTTAACAGAAATTTTTATCTAACACAGAACTAGACCCCATGTGCATCTTTCTGAAGATGGCAGTGAAGAACAAACAAGTTATAATTTCTTCACAAAGAAGTTATTAGCCCACTTATACATAAAATGTTAATATGTAAACATAAAAGCTACCAGAGGGAAGCATCTCCCGAGACTGTTTCAGCCTCCTTCGCTCTCTTGCTGACAGGGGCCGCTCCTGCAAAGGAAGTTAATTTGATATTAATTTGCAATCACCATAATGGCTTCTGTTATCTAATCACTGATACAGCAAAGACTCCTTTTCAACTCACACTGGGGAGAGAGAGCTATTACAGCAAACTTCCTGATCATCTAACAAATGCTTAATTATTTAATACAAAATGGCCCAGTGCTGTGAGACCAATCTGCACTCTAGGAAAGGGGCTTCTGAATTCCACCGTTCAGCAAGGCAGCTGCTCATCCTGCACTGAGCAGGTGCTTGGCAGCACTTCCATTAGGTAGGAAGCTACTACACATTTCTTTACTCACTGTGCATACACTCCAAGTGCAAACTGCTCGGAGGGAGTGAGAGACAAAACACCAAGCAGAGCCAGCATCCAGCACTAACCGTTGGAATGGCAGCTTTGGCACCATTTCCAGGCTCGGAGGCTCCAGCACTGGGCTGCTCTGCACACCTCTGGGCTGTCCTGGTGCTCACATCAGAAGGAACTGGCAGAGGTCGAGGAGAAACTGTTCTGAACTTGACAGAGAAGTGAGCAAGAGTTTATATATTGTTTTTATTACAAGATAAGGTACTCTGCAATCTAGACATTCTTGCAGGGTAAAGCCGGATGCCAGAGGTGGTGAATCCTGCACATCTCCCAGCTTCATCCTTCCCTCTCCACATTTCTGCTTGCATCCATTTCCTTTCTCTCCATCCCTACATCTTGTCCCCCTCCTCACAGACAATTTTTCAGCCAATGCCTTCGCAAACACTGTCCCAACCCTCAAACAGGAAAACCTGAGAGAAAAACAGGGTATCAATCATCAATCACCCTCCCCTGTCTCCTTGTGTAGCCAGTGCCTTTCCCCAAAGCAACCTCTCTGCTCAGTGTGGAAGCATTGACAGGAGCCCTGTCCCATGTGCATGCCAAGATTTTCTTCTTACAGTTTGCACAGGGCAGCCAAAACGTGTTTGTTCTAAAGTACTGGAAAGGTCCCACCCACCTCAAGCAGCCTCATCAACAACAGTCAGGAAAGGCACTGACTTGTAGTCACAGAAGTGAGAAGTGCTGATGGAATTTTCTAGGCAAGACTGCAGCACAACAGAGGCAAAACCCATCTGGCCCAGCCACCTCACCCCTGGGAGATCTTCAAATAGGCTGCTTCTAACCCTGAAGTTATACAGGCACACATCAAACAAGAACAGCACTAAAACACCCACCCTTTTTTAAAAACCAGGTCCCACTTTTAAAGAGGAAAAACACAGTAGTCTTAAAGGAAAGAGGAGAGTTATTTTTTGAGTGTCTGCACCTTGTCTGAGCAGCCTTCAGCCAGCTCTCTTCTCTTCTGCTGCTGCTGCTGTGAGAGAGAAGGTTCACTGGCAGAGCTGTGAGGCTCCAAACGGAAGGTTTTTCCCTGAGCATCTCCCGAAGCTCCATGACTGACATCATCCTAATAAGTAAAAGTGTTTTTAAAAAATGTAGGCATGGCATTTCCAGATTTACACACTTTTAAAAAAAAATTTACACAGGCCAAAGACTATTTGGACTGTAAACACCTTAACACAGCATAGGTGCAGCCACAATAAACTCTTATTTGATGGACTGTTAAAAAAAATACCTTCTGTACCAGGATTTCTAAGCTACTAAACCTTCAAGGAAGGACACTTACTTGAATAACAACAGGAACAAAGGGTCCTAGCAGCTCTTCAGTGGAATCCAAGCTCTACAAGAAATAATGATTTCTCATTAGAAAAGTGTCTATGAAAATCTCACTGTAGACCAAAATGGACTGAAAAGACAATCATCACCAATTAGCTCCCCATCCAAATCAGGATAAACTTGAGATTAGCCAGGCCTACTTAGTACATGGAACAAAGAAATTACAAAGCAATTCTAACCCTTCTTTTGAGTTGGAAAAGAAAACTGTTGTTCTCTGGAAAAACAGAATTTCCATCACTCAGATGAAAAGCCCAAAACCACTTCACTGCCTTTGCAGACCTGAAGCCAAGGCTCCTAACTACTTAAGAATCTCAGTAACTGCATCAGCAGCATCCTACTTTCACAGAAAGACATATGCAGCAGCTCTCTGAATTTTAAGAGCTGGCCATCAGTTAAGTCTATTTCAAATAAGCATAAATGCATTACCAGGTCAGTCTGCTTTTGGTCTTTTGATAAAGGCTGCAGGAGTTTCAAAGTGTCATCATTATCTTCTACAGCATTAACAGAGGACAGCTGAGACTCAACTTTTTCAGCTTTAGAAGCTGGTTTTGCTCTTTGCTGTGGTCCATCTTCCTTAACTGGTGGGCTGTGAGATGTTATTTTAGAATTGCCTGGAACATTTGAATACTTTGCTTTATTATCCTCTGGGACACACTCACTGCCACACTTCTCACTTCCACACTTGATCCTTTCACGTGGGAAGATATCAATGTTCACTCCACTAATTGTAGCTATGGAATCTCCCAGGTTGTTCAGATCATTATTGCTCGGTTTTCTTTCCACCTCAACAACTGGTTTCTCTGAGGGACAAACTTTGGTGGCTTTATGCTTGACGTTGCAGTCTTCCTCGTTCTAGAATTAAAAGGAAAACAAAAAAAAATTAATTACTTTTTGGGTATTACACACATATTAAGGAATTCTCTAAGCCCCTGAGGAAAAATCAAGAACATACCAGATACTGCAAGGAAATTATGATCAATCACAGATTAAGAGCCTCACAAAAGTCAAACCCCAGGTCATGAAAGAACAGCTGCCCTCACTTGGCCCTCCCTTCATGGAGGTGCCAACAAGCACCGAGTTTAAGATGTACTGCACCACATACCTTCAGGATTTCCACATTTAAAGCTCAAACCCAGAACAGCAGACTCATTACAGAAAATAAAAAACATGCACAAGATTAACCATTACAAAGGAATTGTTCTGAACGCTGGAAAGAATTTCAACAATAAATAATTTTGGTTGTAACTATAATTTGTTTAAGTATATGATTTTGATTGGAAAAAATGATTGCTACTGGTCTTGAAATATTTGACCCCAAATATTCCATGAGTAATTCACACTGTGACCCACAAATGAGAAACCAGGCATTGCTTAATTAACATCTTAAAGACATCGCAATTATTTTCACTGATCCATAGCTGAGAATTTACTTCCACTCTTGCCTAAACAAAATTCCTTCCTTAATATGAATTTCATGAATTCCTAGGGATCAGATCTATATTCTCACAAATGCTCAAGGCACTTCTTATAAAACTGAGAGTTTTTTCTCTGGAAAAAGCAAGAGGGATTTGGGATTTGTTGGGTCTCATTGTTGTTGTTTTACTGTTTGGTTTTTTTTTAAAGAAAAAAAAAAAGTCTCACAACTTTGTATGTCCTGGCTTGCTCAGAGGACCGGTTTTGGTGTGTAACAGTCCTGCTGTGAGACTCGTTCTTTGCTGAGATGACAGAACAAGGATCTTTAGGTTTAGAATTCACTGTTTTCTTCTGATTTCTAGCTGCTTTCCTGTAAAGAAAATCAAAGTCACTCATTTAATCACCATCAGCAAGTCTAAAGACATTTCTTTAGATTATACTAATTAAAAAAAAAATCCACTTTGCTTTTCACACAAGGAGTATCAGGTCCTGGGCTTTCTCAACAGACTGTGCACAACATGCTCCTTTTCATTTCTAGAAAAGGAGCTTAAAAACACGACTCAGACCCTGCCAGCAACGTGCACTGGTTCTGCAGAGCATCAAGGTCAGTCCTACCTGGGGGCAGTAACACAACTGACTAAACCTGACAGAGAAAAAAAATTATATCTGTGTATATCAAAAGGAACTTGGTTTTGCAACTCCCAGATGATAAATGGCCTCAGAACTTCTGCATTCCTGACCACTGCCCAGTTTTACTCTGCATTTGCAGAAAAAACACCTATTTTCCACTCTAATTCCCTCCTGTTTCCTGGAGAATCCGAAGAAACTCAGGCGTTCATACGCTCTGTAGCCACACATAACAAAACTCATTTCACCCCTCCACAAAAAAACAGGAAAAGTTGTAAAAGAAAGACAGCAGTAACATGAAGATTTTGCACAGAATCACCCAGAGGAAAAGCTCTTACGCCTTTGTGGCCTCCAGAAACAGAGCAATCTGTTGCTTGATATAGGGCTGGCGCAGGACGCTCTTCACGCTGGGTCGTTCCTCGGGTTTTTTACTCAGCATGGTTTGGATTATTGCCACCAGCTGTGGGCTGTAATCCTTGGGCATGGGTGGCAGCTGGGAAAGCAAAAGGGAAACCTGATATTATTTAACTGATATTGTTAATATCAGCAGGTGAAGTTCTGTACATAGGCTTAAAAATTTATATAAATTAAAGCCATAATAATTTCATTGTATGATAAAGCAAGGCAGACACTTAAATAAGCTAATCTTACCTAACGGGAAAATGGCATCCCACGGACAACAATTTAACTTTTTACACAAGGTTTAAACCAGAAGAAAAGTAGAAATTATTCTCAGAACTCTGGGGATTAATCAATATACTAGGTATACAAAGGGGCAACAAAAAACTCTAGCAATACCTACAAATGAGTGACTCCCTTGGCCTCATATTACATCATATACCACCATCAAACAGCCTTACAACATAATGATGGCACAGGTAACAGGCAAAGTATTTTTAATTCCATGCAATATTTCTGATTAAGAAAGAATCTCAAGTTCTAGCCAGAAAAATCAAGCCACATCTAAAAATTTTTTTCCACAGAAAGTGTTTACCTTTCCTTCAATAATTCGATAAACCAAGGAGTTCATGTCTTTAGCATTGAAGGCGTGTTTCAGTGTAGCCATCTCATAAACACAGCAGCCCAGTGCCCAAACATCAGACTGGAAAAAGGCAAAAAAAAAAAAAAAAGCTTTGGGAACTTTTTATTAATTGTAAAAGTTTTATCTCCAGACTCAGTCATCTGCTTTCAAAGAAGCCTTTAATGACATTAAGCTAATTAAGACCAAACCCCATTACAAACTTTTGGCTTTACTCTCTTCTTTTTAATTTTGATCAGCTGAGCTACTTTCTTCCATATGTCACCATTTTTCTTCCCAAAAAGAAGTGTAGAAATTAGCTATTTGTAGCAGGGTTTGCTTGTTTCCTTTCTTAGTACAGTATCAGTCCTAACTGGCAAATGAGAATCTTTTGATTTTCCACTGGAAGAACAGTTTGCCCTCAGCTCTTGCTCACTGCAGACCTCATTTATGGAGTGTGTGGTTTGCAGCAAGAGCTGAGCAGGGAAAATGTTTGCTTTATTCTGTTAGATTTGAAATTCCCAGTAGCACTGCTTATTCCTCTACTTAAAATTTCCTTTTTCTTTTCTTTTTTAACACTGCCCTTGTGTCTAATCCAAACTTCTGAGTATAAAGCTTCCTGTGTGATATTTAATAAACTTAGAATATGCACCTAACACAGACTGATATTTCTGTTCCCATTGCCCTGCTGTGAGAGGTACAGGCAGCCTGCTCATCAAATGGGCTGTGAGAACTTAGCACATGCCACAAATTCCCAAACAATTCCAGAAATAAAGGTGCCTACAAATCTCTCTATTTTTTTGTTTGGTCTTCGGGAACATTAAAAAGAGCTGTAACCAATACAAAATTAAAACCCACAGATAAGATTGCAACGTTCTCAGACAAACACAATGAGGTGCCTCAGAAAACAGAAAATAAAATACAGAAAACATTATACTCTACCTTGTGGTTGTAGGGTTTGTTGGAAAAGAGCTCAGGGCTCATGTAGTAGGGGGTGCCTATCAGAGTGCTGGCCATGTCATACTGGTTTTCCAACACTCTGGCTATTCCCAGGTCACCCACTTTGATTATGTTGGTTCGTGTCAGGAAAATATTTTGAGTTTTAAGATCTCTGTGCAGAATGTGCTTTTCATGTAAATACTGGGGGGAAAAAATCCACATAGAGTTAATTAACTCCTAATTCATTGCTCTACACTGAAAAGTAAAATTTCATTACACAAGTCAAAGAGGGAACACACAAAAGCAGAAGAGAACCATAAATCACTCTCAAAGTCAGAAATGCCTTGATAAAACACTATTAGTGAATTAAAGAGTGAGACAAGATTTAATAGAAAGAATTAATTAGGAGTCTAAATCTACCATTAAAAAAAAAAAACAGCAACAAAAGCACAGAACACAAAACACTTCTGAAATAATCTGCCCCCCCCCTTTTTTTTCTCCTCCAAAAACCACATTTTATAAATTTAACCTAAACTTTCAAACCAGAGAGCATTTCAGACTAGAGTTGCAAACACCTGTGATGGTTTTAGTTAACCCTGGAGATTACCACTGTCTACTGTACTATAGAGGTATAACATAAAATATGACAGAAACTTCTCACTTCAAATATTTGATTTGACTGTAGTGACCCCATGAGCATTTTTCATACACTAATAACCACTGTATTTACATGCCAACCCAGCCAAACAGGAGCTGAATAAATGCAGGTGACAAATTTATACTTTATTTTACCTGCAGTGCCATGGCAATCTGGACAAACCACTCCACCACCTGACTCTCGGGCAGGAGTTTGCCCTTCTGCTCCTTAAGTTTGTGGTAGAGGTCTCCTCCCTCACAGAAGCCCATGACAATGTACAGGTGGCCATCCTGCCCCTGCCAGGACTCCCTGTAGGTGACGATGTTGGGGTGTCTCAGCTGGGACAGCAGCTGTGCCTCCTGCTCTGCCGCCCTCCTCTCACGGCTGGAAGCGTTCCGGAGGTTTAACTTCTTGATGACGTACTGGAAAGCAAATGGCAAAGGTGTATCCCAAGGGATCCAGGTGGCTGTGCAGAAGCCCCAGGGGGTTCCCCAGGTCTCAGGAAATGCAGGATTTGAAACTCCACTCTGTGTTGTAGGTGGAGGCTGCAGTTTGTTCAACAGTTACGCATCGTTTCTACCCTTACACCGTAAAAATGGAACAAGTGTGGCCATTCTATTCCTCTTCCTCTGTACAGGAATTTCCTGTTTTACTTTCTTTTGACCAGTGTTCACATTTATCTTCACCCCCCCCCTTCTCATTTTAAATGTGTGTCTTTTGTTCATCTCTTAAGCCTGAAATACCTGTTTGTGCACCACAGTTACTCTCAAAAAGGGCCACTTCAATAGTTACTTTAAATATATAATAATAATAAGGAAAGTATACACCACATGCAAAAAATTAACAATGATATCTAGGATAAAAATTATCTGAAAGAGACAATAGGTCTCATGCTCATTACTAAATTTCTTTTTTTCTGTATTAAGAATTTTTCAAAGCTACAGGTAAGAGATATTATTTACCTCTCTAATATGTACTATTGTAATTCTAAGGAACTTCAGGTTTTAGCAAAAATACAGATGACACAATAAAATTCACAGCACACTTTTATCACCCACAGCACCAATGCTTAGTTCTGACCTGGCCCCATCCCGATGTAAATTTTGTGGTAATCACTTTAGAGCATCAGCTTTCCACAGAACAAACGTGCCATGGTTACACCTGACCCCCCCTCTTATCTGAGAGCTTTTAAATTTCAGCATTCTCAGCAATTGTTCAGTGTTTGCTGCCCAGGCTGGGCCTAATAATTAGCCCAACAGAATTAATTAGTGCTAAGGAGACACCCCTATATACGAAGGGAACCAATTACCCAGAAAATCCCCAGCACCTCCTGACTCTGTGTTTCAGCAATCTGCTGGATATAACCTGTGATGGTGCAAAGCTTCCAAGAGGAATATCCCAAAACTAATTGTGTACAGCATCATCTAAGTTTAAAATACAATGGAAATGCTGCAACTACTGTGTTGACATGGCAAGTCAACTACAATTCTATCTTTGAGCATGGAAACCGAAAGCTTTTAGCTTTATATCAGCATCTTTTAGATGATACACTACTAGAATGCAAAATGCACGTCTATTAGCCTTATTTTAAACTTGGCATTGATTATATTTGGTTTAATGAGCATGTTCTGCTGGCAAGATTCCCATGAAATCTATTGCAATGCCCTTCTGACTTATTTGATAACGAATTGTGTACAAATTGCATTTTCTTCTGTTTTAAACATTCAGAGCCACTTGACTTTCTCCACAAATAAACAGCATTCCGTTATCAACAAATATGCTTAAATAAGACATAATTTCTTTCACAGAACACAGGGCACTATGCCAGAGCCACAACAAAAAAAAAATGCTGATCATCCTGCTACAGAAGAGAAAGTTTGTAAAAGTTGGCAGAAGACGCAGTAAAACACACCAAATATTTAAGATGAAATAACAAACAGGAAGCAAGGTTCTCACTAATGTTAATGACCAGCAGCACAAAGAAATCCAAGGACCTGTATCCAGGTGAAAGTCACCTCAAAGCACTGTTTACTTTTAGGACACTGGACTATGCACTGTGGTGATGGCCTGGAGGGAATAAGCCCTGCAATCACTACTACCCAATCCACACATCTCACCTCTGGATTCCAGCCAGGGAACTGCCTTTATCCGGGAAGGACACACCCTCTGATCCCTGCTGGGAGCAAACCTTTCCCATCATCTCCAGTAGAATCCCTGCATAAGGCTCATACCCGAGGTTGCTGTGGTACTGCTCTGTGGGTGTTCTCCATCCTCATTTCTCTGCCCTCTCACATTTCCTATCAAACACCTCTGCTTTGGCCAGATAAGACAGATTATTTCAGTTTTCCAACGAAAATCGTTGCACTTAACTCTGACACAACCAAAACCTCCCCAGGCTGTGCCACAGCTGCTACAGCAAACACAGAGCCCGTGTTCCTCCCTCAGAGCTGATGCCAGAGAAAGCCAACACCAGGAGCTGGTTTTTCCACCCGTGCCATCATTTTATCTCCACCACACGTGCACATCTTGAAGACATTACACAACGTGTTCTGGTGCACGCTACGAGCAGGCTGTCACCCAAAGGACTACCCAAAACAGCTTTTCTCCACAAAAGATGGCATTATACATACAAAAAAACCCCATTTTTTTTTAATTTAAATTAAGAATAAAAGTTACTTGGGGGGCTTGGCGGGGCAGTTGAGATTAAAAAGACAAGAGAGGGCGGAAGAGTCTTCTTCTCTTCTTTAACAAAAGTCTTCAGACAAAGGAGGAGAACAGGAACAGCATAGCTGGACCAGCCCAGCTCACCTGGCTGCAGCCACACCCTGACACCAAGTGACAGTCACAGCCTTGTCCCAACACCAGGCGATGGTCAACAGCCCTGCCTTGACTCCAGGCAATGGTCACAGCTACATCCTCACACAGGTGATGGTCAACAGCCCTGCCTTGACTCTAGACGATGGTCACAGCCATAACCTCACACCAGGTGATGGTCAACAGCCCTGCCTTGACTCCAGGCTGGTCACAGCTACATCCTCACACAGGTGATGCTCACAGACACACCCGACACGAGGCCACGTCCCTACTGGTCCCGAGCCTATTGCCAGGGCCACAAGCCAAGGCCAGGCCACATCTGGGTGTCGGTCACAGCCCAAGCAGACCCCGCGGCACCCCCAGCCCAGCCCAGCCCCGGCCATTCCCCTCACGCCGAGCCGCGGCCCCCGCCGTGCCAGCGCCCTGCGAGCCGCCCCTCGCTACCTGCTTGCGGTCCTGGCGGTGCCGCGCCAGGCTCACCTCCCCGTAGCTGCCCTTCCCCACGGCCCCCAGGAAGCAATAGGCAGCCAGGGACATCCTCCTCCCGCCGCCGGGGCCGGGCAGCGCCCGCTGCCATAGAGATGCCCGGGACAGCCACGGCCATGGGGCGCCCGCCGCGCAGCTTTATAGCGCGGGAGCGGCGCCGCGGCGGCCATTTTGGAAGCGGGCGAGGCCGCCATGTTGAGAGCGGGCAGTGAGCCTGAGGGATGCCTGAGGCGGAGGCGAAGGCGTCGAGGCTTTCCCTCTTCTGCGGCCCTAGAAACACAAGTGTCCCCTCACAAACACTGCAGCTCCATGAGATCCATGTGCTGAGCCCCGGGGAAGGCTGGCGACAGCCAGGGCACGGTGACAGCCCAGTGGGCAGCTGTGCAGTAACACCTCACAGCAGGTCCCACCACCTCACCTGCCGTGGGCACAGCTGCCCCTGTCAGCAGCTCACAGAGCCATCCTGTCCCTTTGGGTGGGGCACAGAGTTGGTCAAAAATCATCCAGACGGGTTTAAAAGGAGCTCCTGGACCTGCTCCTGTGTCCCTCACATGGCTGAGCGCCTCAGAACACTCACTGCAGGAAAACCACAAAATAAAATGTTTTATTGTCACTGGGCATTTAACTCCCAGTCCTCAAAGTTGATCAACAGAGATGAACCAGGGAAAAAGTTTAAGAGATAATTGACATTGTCAAAATAACAAATAGAGGAAAAGGGCCAGGCAGCTGCAGGCTGGATGGGCACTGAGGGTGCAAGATGCAAGACCTGGGAGCTTGGACCTGTTTTCAGCCACAAAGATGAACAGGAAGCAATGTGACGGGAAGTTTCTGTACTAGGCAGGACACATCAAATAATGATACCTAAATCGGGTACCTGGGTGATAACACAGGATTACAGGAGTAGTTTTGAAGAGGAGGTTAAATGGGTGTCACAGACGGCAGGTTCTGTCGTGGCTGCAGTAATTTGGGCCAGGAAAAGCCTTTAGGGAAGTATCAGAAAGATGACAGTTTTCCTTTGGCAAAGAAGCGAGTCTGCAGAAGAGATTAATCTCAGTTGCCCCTACAGTTATTAAGTAGAAGAGACATTGCTGAAATAGTCTGTAACAGATTTTGTAACAGTATTCTGTAGACTATGAAAATTAAAAAATCTGTGTTTGATTTTTCCTAAATGTCTAATGTTTAATCCCACTTTTCTCATTGAGTTATTTATTAACACTTGGTAAACAAAGCATTATATATATGTATGCACATCGTTCCAATTTGAACATTACTTTCTTTTCCAAAATGGAAAACAATCTATTGCTTTGTATTTTATTATTGATTCCCACCTTTGCATCATCAGACGTTTTGGTAACACATATCAGAAACATCAAGGTAAGTAAACAACCGCGTATGGAGCTCCCACTCCTCAGAGATTAATCTCTTGCAATTTATCAGCATTTATCAGAGAGTTCCTACAGTGCTGGCAGCAGGAGCTCTGTGTGGACACAAGATCAAACTTGGGACCCAGCACTGGTTGACCTCTAATCAGCCTTAATGTTCAATAAGCTCTGAAATTCTTCTACCTCTCTTTTTAAAAACATCCCTTTCTTCTGTTTTCTCTGTCAGCACCACATAATGGTAAAATGTTTTAGTGGTTTTCTATTTAAATGTGTAAAGCAATCAGCGCTTCCAGTGGGGAACTGACTTTAGTACCTTTTGCAATGCAAAATATCAGTGAAAAGATGCCTCCAAGAAGTAGAAAACAGAGATGGCATCATGGTATCAAGATAAATGTCCACTGTCCAAATGACATGGTAGGTTTTTTCTCAAAGGATTTGCATGTTAGCACAGCATGAAATATATCTCTTAAAAATATCTGTCCCTCAAGGGGGCCATTCTGGTTTTGATCGATCTCTGAGTAAAGCAGTGCTGCTTGATGCTTTGCTTAATTTTCTTTGGTTAAGTTGCTGCCCACTACTCCTCACCTCCATAAATTGTTTTCCTCTCTCTCTGTCCTTAAATACTCTGAAAAGTTACAGAGGGCAAATATCCTTAGGGAAGATTTTGAGTTACTGGGTAGGACAGGACAAAGCAAATTGGAGTTCATTTCTGTTGATTAGGTTATAGTCTTTGCCAACACTATTTCTTTGAAAATGAGGATAGTAACATGTCTAACTTTCAAAAATCAAAATGCAATTTAATGCTGCAAACTGGAAATGCCAGTGATTCTTATTATTTAAGCATTATGTAGCCAGATATAATGTAGCTTTTTCCTGCTGATTACCATAATACCTGTTGCTCTCGGTGTGTCTTGCAACTCTAAAGCCTTTCTAAGTGGAGAACTGCCAAAGCTCTGGGCAACGTTCCATCCATACATGCAGAATGCTATGGAAGTCAGTTGATTTTCCCAGTTTTGTTATATACTTTATGCAAATGTGTTGTGATTGAAATGGATGGGGTTGCTGTGTAGTGTGAAGGTCTCTGTCCCCATCTGTGTCCTGGCCCTAAGGAGTGTGCCAGCAGGGAGTGGTGGAGTGTGGTTGGAAGCCTGGCTGGCTGATGACCTGCAGGCTGCCAAAGCTGCTTTTAGAGCCACAGTCAGGTAAGCACAGTTGGCAGACCCAGTTCTTGTGAAAATTGAACAAAAATCCGAACCAAAGATCCCTGTGTGCACTGGCACACCTTGTTCCTGTGCATGCAGCTACAAAGGCTGGGAAAGATTTTCCCAGGTTGAAAACAACCTGTAGAACTCCATAATCAGAGCCTTTATGGCCCTCTCATTTTGGCAGCACTGGGACTCCTTCAGCTCACAGGTTTGGTTTGTGTAGATGAGCTGCATTGTGGTCTCTTCTCCGTGGCAGCCAAGTAGCATCCCTTGGGATGATGAAATCTTCAATGTTGCTGTACATTTGGAAATAATTTTCATGCCTTGTTTCTCCTGTGTAACACTTTGGGGTATATGCAAATACCTCATTCCCAGAGGTCACTTCAAGTTCACTGTGCACTCTTTGCTGAGTCTTTTAGTCACGCTGTGGTTCAGTTTTCCAAGCTGTACAATCAGGGCTTCTTTCAGCAAGTACTGTAATGGGAGCCCTCTTTTCCCTCTCTGTTTTGGGAGTTCAAATTTCTCTTTTCCTCTCTAATTTCTATAGATTTTTTGCACCTCTGTTTTTTGTTGTTGCCACACCAAAACAGTATTGAACAAAGGAAGAATTTGTTGCTGTTGCACAAGGGAAAAAAACCCAACATAAATTCTAATAATTGGTGCACCTGGCAAATATATAGAAATAGTAGAGAAACATTTTACCAAGTGATGATTATCCAAGGTAGAGGATATTAAAATCTCACTTTTGTCTAGAATTGCATCACCTTTTTGAGTGGCACACTATCACTTTCTACCCACACAGCCTAAAACGGCCTTGATGTTAGTGACATCTCAAGCTACATCCTAGTGAATCATTAAAAACTAAAACAAACAAACAAACAAAACCAGAACAAAATCACAGACTCAGTCCCCTCCCCTGTGCAAATCAGGGTCAGGTAGGGCAGGTAGCTGAGCTGAGCTGAGCTGGGTATCTCTACTGAAGATCAGCCCAAGTACGAAGTCAGAAATGCCTTTCACTGAGATCTTTCTGTAGTTTCTTTTTCAATGAAAATTGCAGAGTACCCCTCTAAAGATTTACAGAATCGAAACAGAACTCCTTCAAAACTACTGTCAAATACATGATCCTGATAAAGAATCTGAACAATCAGCAATCCTGTAAAACTTAAATGCAGGTAAAGCATCTTTTAATTTGGAGGCAGCAGTCAGAATTGCAGAATTTGTGACCAAAGAACACATTTTTGTGTGTGTTTTTTGTATCCTTAAACTGCTTTGTAATTCCACTGTGAGGAAAAGTTTGTACCAAGCAAACTGACATTTCAGTGATTTCCAGCTTTTCATTTCCCAAGGTTTGTGTTTTGTAAGGGTACAAATTTTCCCTCAGTTTGTGTTTTGTAAGGGGACATGGCAAGCTGTAGTGACAGCGTAGATACAGAAAAGATAATTTCACTTCTGGAAAGGACAGGTTTGAATTGGTGCACAGTCTACACAGGCATTAAAGAAATCCATGGAGGTTTGTGAAAGGGGAGCTGCATGCACAGAAATTATCTGGATGGCAATAACAGCTTGAAAGATGAACCTAGAGAAACGTGTCCAGATTTCTTGGCCAGACTCTTCGAGCAGTTGAGAAGCCTCCCCTCAAACCTTGCATTACCTAAGATTTAATAGTGTCTTGAAAGGAACTCCAAAATAGACAAAAAAATAACCCTCTGTGTCTCAGTTTCCAACCTGCAAAACCCCGAAGTGTGAAAGGTACCAAAAGCCTTAAATGTACCTGAGATGTGTATCTGACTTAGGACCTCATTAAATCCTTATCCCTCTGTTCCCTGGAGCAGCCAAATATTCCTGCACAAAATGTGACCCTCGAGGCTCTGGGAGCCAAGCCAGATAAGGGGTTTGCAGCAGAGCTGATGAGCAGAGTTACACAAGCTGTTACTGTGCCAGGAATCAGTCAGTTTATTTAGTGCCTGTCCTCTCTATCAGAAGAGAGGACGTGACATTTTTGTACAACTTCTGATATTGGCACCTACTCTGAGAGCAAACATGGCAAAAGAAATGTTCTGCATTTTTTGGTTGGTTGGTTGTTTTTCCCTCCATGCAGCCTTTCATAGTGACCACCTCTGCTCTTTGTAATCCTGCTGAGTTACCAAACTGGGTTTTTATGCTTTGATACAACCGCTTCCTTTACTTCCAAAGGAGAATAAGTTTGAAAAGAAAATATACGCTACAGGACCAAGATCCAGGAATTGCCAAGAAAAAGTTGTCACTCTGAGGAGAAGATATTCTAGTTTTACTTGATGTCACCACAGAGCCTCAAGGAGTCCTGTTAAGCAAATTTTAATGTATTTTTTAATCTCATTTTTTTGTCTCAGTGACACTTAATTAATGCACTGAACATTCTTTTCCTCTCTCTCTCCCCTCGTCTCTCAGGGGTCCATGACTGTTTTCAGCTGGAAGAAGACACTTTTTGTGTCACTTGAGCAAAATACAAAGCAAGCAATGTGCCTTACTTGCTCTTCCCTCTAATGCAGACCTT